GATGTCGATGGGGTTTTTTTTGTGATAAGTTATAGATTCATATAAATTGTAGTTGTTTTAAAACCGTGTTATTGTTTTTTATTATTATTGTTATTTATTTGTTTGTCTTAGTTTTTGTATGAAAAAAAAATAATCCTACAAATAAAAAAACTCTTCGAACCCAGGAAAATAAATTCGTTATCTAATTTACTTTTGGTCATGAAACCAGCACAAATCTTCCTCATCATACACCCAATGGACAATTTGTTCAAGTCTAGGCAAATTTTAGATATACAATTATTTTTAGCAACTCCCCTTCCTACTCCTGTCCATAAAATGGTTTCTGATGTATGGTAAAAAAACCATTTCGCTTAAAAATGCCAAACATTTTATCATATCTTGACACTTGGGATTAAATCTAAAACAAGTAATTGGTTTTCCGTTGCCAATAGCTTATCGACCCGTACAATTAATAGTTAAGTCGTTGTATGGCGTGTATTCATTTAGGCAAAAACAAATTTTCTTAACGCATAAAAGTGAAACACAAAACAAAATATAATGTTGTCTGAATATTATGTCGGCGGACAATTTATTTGAAAGTCGAGATCGCTGTCGCATGACAATGGACTGTGTCCTATCGCAGCTAATGGTTTTGCTTGTGTATTAAATACCAAAAGTATGTATACATATATAATACTCCAAAAAAATGTCTTGAAATCAACCCAAACCGGCGAACGGTACAAACATAATCGAGATAACAACTCGCTCAAAACTCCAACAATAATTAATAATGTGTGCTGTGTATAAAATATATATAATTTATAAATATTAAAAATTAGACAGTTAACCTGCACCTATTGAAAAGGTATGAAATGGCCAATCTCTCTTTTTCTAATAAACTGTATATATAATTTTTCAACTTTTGTCCTGAGTAACATTTACCCGCTATAAAAGGGCACTATATCAGATATCTGTTTAGTTGAGTGTTCTAATTTTTACAAAACAAAAAATTGAAACTGGCCCTTTTAGACACACGAATATTTAAGTAATAGTATTTTAATTATTATTTGCCTATGTCTAATAAATTCCATAATAGTACATATTATTTAAACGTATAAATGTAATTTTTTTGTCTTTAAAGCTGTTTGGCTCTACAATTATTTAAAAAAAAAAATGTTTAACCAATGATAACTTTTTAACTGTTATGAATTCTGTAAATGTTAAAAAGGTTGTCTCAATTTTTATAGAGAAAGTGGCTTTTTGTCGGCTTTTAGACTTTATGGTCTTGGACAGTTATATTTTTGTTTTTTGGTTTAGGTCTAGAGGCTTTAAACCTTTTAAGGGATCCTTCAAATGTAGTTTTTGGGTCTAAAAATTTATTATTTATATTCCTACAGAATTATTCATTTTTCATGTTACAGTATTTTTTTTTTTTGTAATAGCCGTTATCTTAGCTAAAAAGAGTTTCAAGCAAAATCATTACATAATTTTTTTTTTTTGAAAGGATGAACAATAGCTATTCCCTGTTATATTATTATACATAAAAGTAATTTTAATGTTTATAGACTATAGTTTCTACTTTTATTTTCGTGTAATTTATATTTATATTTCAATAAATTAATATGTATATGAAAACAAAGTTGTTGAATACTAAAAAATTAACTGGGTAATAATTAATACCGTTAATGGAACACCTGTGCTGCGACTCGGTATAACGCCATGCACTTTGGCTATTTTATATTATACTTAACGGGGTTGTGATTTAGTGCGTGTTCGGACCGATCATAAACGACTACTTAGTTGAATTATAAATGTATTTTTATTTGTTGTTTTTTCACCACTGCCTTATGGCCAGTAGCTTTTAAATTGTATTCCCCAAAAAGCACATTTTTTGGATGCTCCAGGCCAAGACAATCTGTTTACCTTCGGAAGTTAAGACACCCCAGAACGTTTTTTTTTTGCTGTTTGGGCAGCAACTTATAGCCAAGTCAAGCCTGTGGAGTGATAAATAAACTCTGAAAAAAAATCGCTTCGATGCGAATCTACGGCGGATAAAAAATATTAAATACGGGAAAAAATCATATTACAAAAGCTTAATATGACTACCGTGTATGTATAATTTATATTATCATGTTTTTTTCCTGTTCTGAAATAACAGTACGCAGTTACAATATTGGCTTCTTTTTTTTTTTTTGCCTTATATAAGAAGAGTTCAATGATATATGTTATTATTATTGTTTTGATACTCTTTGAAATGTAGTGTTAATAGAGCATTATTACTCCAACAGTTATTTTAATCCCTCGGGCAACCCTTCAGTTCATGAACTTTAAGTGTTATTTTATAAAAGCGCCTAGGTATAAATTATAAACGTATATTATATCTAACGTTTTTTTTAGTAATAGATATTTGTTTTGTTTTAGACTTAAAGCTTGACGAAAGTAATTTACTGGGAATTTTTATATTCAAGTTTGTGTTTTATTTTTTGCTATAAGTCATTATTTTAATATATTTGGGCTCGCTTGGTATAGAGCGAAATCCAGTAATACTAGTATATTTTCCAGTCATTGAAAATTTAATTATTAAAAACATAAATTGTTTTCGAGACATACAATAAAATATAGTATGGTAATATAATATGTATGTAAAATATTTTATACCGAACATCAACATTACAATAATAACATATTAAAAAATTGCTACGTACATAATAAGGTATTAATAAAAAGACGTATGGGCTACGTTTTAATAAAGATGCCTCGGAGTAGTTAGAAAAAAAAATAACAATAATAATATAATAAAATATTTAAACAAATTAAATTATTTTTTAATATTGTTGTATTTTGATTACTACCAATTTAGGCCTTGTTATAAATATTAATATATATTTTATCTCGTATCTAACAAAAAAAAACATTATTACTCTTACATCTAACAGTGTATAGATTTATGAATCCCGGTAAAATGTATATACTTTATACAACAAGCGTTTAAACGATGATAAAGGGGTATAATAATACCTTTAAAAAAAAATATATATAAATTGTAGGTATAGGCAGTGTTTTGGGAAAAAAATCCATGAACGTGGTTTGAACGATTATAAAATGCCATAACTTGTAAAACATACATTTATTAGTTTTAATAAACAAAATTATTGTTGGAAAAATAGTATTAACTAAGATAACGGGTTATTATTTAACATGGCTTAAAATTAATGTAAATCTGGATAATTGATTAGTCCAAATTTCAGTGCCATTCCTAAAAGATAGTACAAATATATTAAATTTAAAAAAAAATCCCACGGCAAATGTATAACCAAGTAGTTTATGTCATTGACCATGATATAAAGGCGATTTGAATGAACACATTTATTGTTTACGATTAATGTTAATAAAGACTTAAGTCAAGTATTATTAAAACCCTATCTAAATTAGTATATTCTGGTAATTTAGGTTTTTGGAGTATATTTATGTGCGAGCCCTGCAAGTTAGTTTTAGATGAGAAAATATATATATATTATGCTATAACTTTCTATTTTTTAAGAGATTTTTATTTGAATGGTCGGTTGCACAAAAACAAATGTAATGGTTTGACCAAATTTAATGGTTTATTAACATTTAATGGACCAATCATGAGACATTAAACGATGTTTAATGAACTAGTAAACGAACTGATTCATTAGACGATTTAATTAACGTTCATGCGACACGGTTTTTGTTTAGCTGTTAGAGCGGATAGTATTTTTTTATTTTTAGTTTTAAACAGCAGATTTCGAAATATTAAAATGTATTTATATGTAACAAGAAGTATTATCATTAGTGTAGTACAAAATGTCTCCCAAATCCATATTGATCATAAAGCCACGAATCTAAAATTGTGTTTGGATATAATTGCATATTTTGGCTTTAAGACAATATATGAATGTATACATTATTTACAAATTATGAAAACAACATGTATGATTATATGGTATGAGTAACCAAGGGTGCCCACAAGGTGGGGCAGGGGGACAACTCCTCTTTCTAGCTTCTCTGCAAGTTAAAAAAATGTATATCCATTATCCCAAATTTGTAAAATCTATTACAAAATCATAGGCCCTTGATAGAAACTAGGGAAAAAAGTGTTCACTGTAAAGATTTAATAATTTATAAAGAGGTTTAACTAATTGTGTATCTCCAGAGGAGTCTAAGCTGAGAGACAAATGACTCTTAAAGAGTTCTCATTTCACTTATAACTGTCTCTGAATAAGGGCTGACCAGTGTGGAAGAAAAATTAATACAATTAAATGTTCTAGTAGGTAATTATCTAAAGTGTTTATTAATATCGAGCTTGCAATTCAAATAATTGAACGATTCCTCTTTAGTACTTTGTGTTACACATTGTATTTTTATAATGGTATCTTAAATACAAACAAGAAAAAAAAAATTGTTTTAGGTATATTAAAAGAATGATATGCTATTATTTATCCCTACGACAGTTCTTGTATACGTACTGAAAACTAGTAGTAGTGAGCACAACTGTTATATTAGTTTTATATCACTATACGTATACACCATAGGTTAGGCCGTTAATAAGTCATATAGTAAGTCAAACATACTACAATAGAATGCCATTAAGTACGGATTTGACGTATGAGCGATGCCGAGCGAGTGACAATAAGAGAGAGATGTTTAAAGACAATGGACACAGGATTTATGAATGGCGCATTGGGTTGGTGTGTGAATTATTCTACAGATAAATCACTAGGATTAAGAGAACTAGTCGCTCCTCGGCGCTTTTATCGAAGCCGTATAAGCATAACACGATTTAGTTGGTTAAGTAGTGAAGTAAAAAGCCAAGCTACAACGTGAGTCGTCTGACATTTCGGTTTGATAATAACTTATTCGGGTTGGATTAGTTGTTTAAAACATATTTTGTTTTTACACACTAATTGAGAGAAAACATTTAACGAGGAAAATTGTCAATAATAATATTAAAAAACATTTAACCGGCGTAATCAAAGTGTATTGTTTTTTTTTCACAGGTGAACACGCAAAACCGTTTGAGAAAATCGTATAGTCGTTTAACAGAAACGATGCGTCTGTTCTTGCTGACAATAACATTAATGATGTTGACTGTGGTCGCATCATATTCGATTTTCGACACCAATGAAAACGAATACAAACACAAAAACAAAGCCAAAGGAAGAGCCATCAGAGGTTTCTTAAACAGGGACTTGTCCACGGCTAGAGGTTTTGGCAAACGGAACGACAACTTACTGGAAAACTTTTCTCCCGCTGACCTTCCAAGGATTTTCAACGAAGACACCATCAAACAGAAGTGAGTGTTTTGAATATTAGGCCTTATATCGTGCTGGTAATATTATAATACCAGGTAAGAGGTTGAGGACAATCGTGACGCATTTATAAAACATATCCAAGTATTTGGGATTATATATTTATTTATATTTTTAACTTAAAAAATAAAAATAATTGTTTATATTTCTTGATGAAATGTCCAAAATTAAAAATCTCTAGTTGAGAAATATGTATAGCTAAAAAAATGTTCAGATAAGAAATGCTCCATTTAATGTTATAATGTCATATAATAGTTTAAAAAAAAACATTTAGGTTTATAACTTATAAAAAATAATCATTTACTAATTATAATATAATTAAACAATACATAGAATAAATTATAAAAATACAATATTAGTTGTTTTCGAGTTGGACTTGATTTTTATATGCACATTTTTACAACACATTGACACTTTTTTATTGACGTTTTTAATTTTGGACAACTGTTCCGCGATTAATAGAAAAGGGTAAGCAGGTGGGTTCATAGATAATGAAAATTAATGTTCAACCATGCACCTTTATCGTCGCAAATGTGTTTGATAGGCAAGTATGCTTGAACATTTCGTTGACAAAACGACATTGTAGGCAACAACATGTTGTCCATACTAATGTAATATGTTTTATTAACTCGCCTTATGGTCTGTTACTATAGTTTTGCTACATTTCAATTGTGATTGTGTTAATTATCTTTAGGTCAATGAGTTGTCCAAAGTGTTGTAAAATTAATTTGCATTTGTCCGTGTCGACTTCGATCGTTTTAGTTGCTTAACTTTTGAGATGGCTATCTAACTTTGATTTAACAGCTGCAACAATTATAATTTATTATTTTCGACAGTCAGAGGAGGGTTAATTATTTTGACTTCCGGTTATTTTCCTGATAATATTCTACAAAGTTCAGCTGTAACATTAGTATGACCTAAGTTCCAGGAACACTAGCGAAGAAGCCCATAAATTGTATTAACTCAAAACGCCACCGTTATTGTGATTTCTCTTATATTTTATGCACAGCACGTCCAGTGATTGACATTATAAGGTTTAATCGGTTGTCTTATTATTATTTTGAATTCTTGAGTTTGACAAAAAAGAACACTTGGAATGATCGAAAGTTTGATCAAAACTTAGTATTGTAAAATCGCTTAAAAAAAAACCAATATTTTATTCTAAACTGGTAGGAACGGTATTTAATCGGAAAACTGTAACAGTTCTAATTTAAAACTTAACATTTCGAATCAACATTCAGAAAAATAAAGTTGTTATTGACTTGAAACACACGCAGTCAGTTGAATTTGAACTTTAATAGTAGCCACTTGTACTCTTTTGATTCTCATCCTCACATTTAAAGACGTTTGAAATACCCTGTTAAGGTTTGGTAGAAAATATTTTATAGTTATAATATTTGTTTGATTTTTTGAAAACTATTTGTTCGGCCAAGAAAAATGTCACACTCTTATACTTTAGCGGCATTTCTTGCACTGAATAAAAAAAACATTTTCTATTGACAAATTTATTTTTGTCGTCGGATGCGGATATCGGATCTTGTGTGTTTTGAAAGGGCCAAACGAAAGTTTGCCAGAGAATTTACAAGGAGTAGGGATAAATATATATATATATATATATATGATACCTATATGACATGTAGTAGTATTTTTGATATGTGAGCAACGAAATAATATTTAATAAAAGAAGAAAATAATGGCGACTATACCACGCATCCATACTAGGTCCAGAACAAAAGCCAGTATATATATTTTATTTATGTACTTTGTCCCTTAGGCGACCCACTAACAAGGGAAGGATTTTCGCTGTTTAGTGCTCAACCTCAAAGTTTTACAAAAAAAAAAAGGACCCACTAAGTGTTAGGGATTTTGCGATTAAGACGAATGAAAAAAATATATATATTTCTTACCAAGTGCCTACCACTCACAATGAATTCCTTATTAGTATAGGTACTATTCACGCCAGCACAAAGCTCTCAATATTTCATAGACAAGTAATTTATTCAATGAAATAATTGTTCAAGCTAGTCCGAATTGACAATGTTATATAGTTTTAAGTGTTTAAGTTTAAAAAAACTTTTGTTTTGATGGTAGTTATAAAGGACCAAGGCTTTAACAGCCAAATATTAACTAAAATATTATTTATTTTAACAATGACTTGTCGATTTTAACAGTTTTTAATGAACACTTCTCAAGTTATAAGAGTTAATTTCTTATATTTTGTTTGTACATAATTTTATCCTGATGAGTGATTTTTTGGTCGGTGTAATGTATTTATTTTATTTTTTATTAATAAAGGCTTTAATAAAAAGACAAATAAATGTATTTATTTTTAGTATCATTATTCTGATAATTTTTAATTCACTTCCTTTTGCAATTTACTTCTATACGGCTTTAATTATAGAATTTGAACAAATAATACATGTTTTTAATAAAAGCGATAAATGCTATTAGATAGTGTACCTATACAATTTTCTCGCCGTTGTATCCGCTGTTCTGCCCTCTTGTAAGTTATATGTATTGTAATTATTCCATAAATAAGATATTGAAAATCTGAAAGTATTATAGTTTTAAATCACTTAAACATATGTAAAGCCGCGTCGACAATGTGGACCCTTAAAACTTTCCTCGGAACTTTCTGTGAAAAAAACTTTCACCGAATCATCTCTATAATAATCCCACGCTAAGTTCCTCCTAAAACCGGCATTTTCTTTTTGAAGTTGGCAAAAAAAATTGGTAAGAACTTATGTTTTTTTTCAGCATTCCGATTGAGTGGATTTCAAAGAAAATGTCAAACGATCAGAATTTAGCGAGAGTGTTTATGGAAAATTTCGTCGACACAAACCACGACGGTCATATATCTGTGGAAGAACTGTTGCAGCCGTTGAATGGCGGTGAACAGTAAAATTATGATTTATTTATTTATTGATGTTATTTAAACTTTAAAGTCAGATCCATAACTACTAATAAAAATTGTATATTTCTTCAGAATGTTTACAAAAAAAAAAATAATAATAATAATACATGTACACAATTATCTTGATAGGCATTCATTTTGTTTTGAAAATAATTACATTATAATATGCTTAGTTTTATGATGAAAATAACAATAAATGTAATAATGATATAAATACTAATAAAGCAATTGAAGTCATTTATCGTTTACACTTATTTATATATATATATATATATATATATTGTACACAACTGCATAGTATCTGGTTGATGGGTTGCTCAAAGTTTTTTCTAGACAGAGTTGATTCTTGAAATTGTGTTACTGAATGGACAACTGGCCGGTGGACAATCGAACAAAACCGGGTACAAGCTACAACCGTCACAGAACATTTTCTACATATTTAACCATACTCTTTAGTGAAAAAGTGTATGGAATCCTATTGAAACAATTCCCTCCCACGCCTTTGGCTCAAAGGACCAACATAACTTAGTCTAGTCGCGGCTAAGACGTTTTACTAAAAAGGCTAAACTTGGTAGAGATGAATGACCATCGCACTCCAACGTGACAACCTAACACATTGAGTGCGAAACAATTTGATATTAAAGTGACTTTAAAGTGGTCGTTTAAAATATAATATGTAATCGCCATTTATTCTAACGGTACATCGTGTTTTTCTTTTTTCCTTGTTAAACAATTATTTCAAACGGCCGTTGGACAGCAAAACGGTTAAAATCAATTCGGTTCAAAACACAGTAACAAAGACAAACACAGTCAAATGCGTTCCTAGTTTTGCATGTTCTATCGTTTCTTGTTGCCATACACAATGGATCATTTTGTCTTTGTCACCTAACCGTCATCAACGTCGTTTGAAGATTCATTACATGCTACGCTAAAAACAACAATACTCGTATCAGTCAGTTGTGGTCAATAGTGGGACAACAGCTGTCGCAGAAGATGTTGAATTGAACGTTTTAATTATGATATTTGTTTACCTGTAAGTGTTCTACTTTCTTTTTTTAACGTTTGACATTTTTTACAAAATGGTTACTCCGAGGGAACGCCGTTTTGGTTTTCATTTTCTCGACAACCAGTTTATATCTCTCCACTATATCAGCCACTTCTTCGCAAAGTACACGCTCTTCTATAGCTTGGCGTTCTGTCTCGTTTAAATACATATAAAAAAAAATAAAAACAACTACAACACCCAATATCGTACAAGCAGGGCAGGAACTTGAAGTGGTAGGGGTGTGTGGGGAGGATATATTAGATCTCCAGTCTCCACTCGGCAAATTCAGTCGTTTCAGACGGCACATTTTGGTTTTGAAATAATTACACATACTCAATACCGATAACCCATCAATTTTATTAACCATACACGAGTGTGGCATTGAACTCAATATATGGAACGCGTATTGTCTTTTTGGAGCCTGCCATTTTGTGTAGTTATTATTTTTGTCTGTGATATTTATTGTTTTTTTCTATGATTTATCAAATACATGAAAATAGTCTGCGATTTGAAGGTGTTACCATCACCTAATCTAACATTTTTAATATTTATCATGGAAAAGTAACGTAGCATTTTTACTTTGTATGAAATTAGTGCACAAAATGGCTGCCTCCTAGGTCGGGACATTTTTCAATCTAAATACGCTTTCCGTATTATAATATTGAGTGCAGTAAATTAAGGAGAAAGAACCGGATATTCAAAACTTAATTTAAGTTTTTAAGTTTGCATTTTCTTTTGACTCCTTTCTCCAGGAATACTTCCTAGCGCCGTCCCTGTGTACTTGCACCTTCTACGTGTTACTTTATTACTTACCGTAGCAAAATGTCTCAAATTCATTTGTGCCGTCGTCTTTGCACGCTGTACGTTGGCCGGAATGAGTGGTGCGTGTCGGTTCTGTTGTTTTGGAATACCGATTCCCAACAAATTCTATTTCCTCTTTGTCTTGGTTCAAAGGAAATGGGCCTTCCTGCCCACGGGGCTCGTCTGGAAACCTATCCTGGTTTCCAAGTATTTCAGACGTTCCATCTGTGTCGGTTGTTTCAGTGTTTTCTTCCACGGTTTTCTTTTCAGTCTTCGGAAATGATTTATTCAGACATTCGACTACGCGTTCGGTGAGTAACCCTATCGCATCGTTTTTGCCAGCTTTTTTACCGCCTTGTCTAATACTCCTATCGCCGGCCCCGGCTGCGCCTCTCTTTGATCTGTTGCCGTCAATGTCGGTTTGATGTATTTTCTTGTACGCGGTAGTTTTCGACGGCGTTAATTTAACATTGCCGCCATTCGGATTTCCATCGTTTTTTATGTATTTTTCACCAAACGTTTTTCCACGGGCCGCATCTTTGGTTTCTTCCGTTTTTTTTAACAATGTGGAATCAATTTGTTTACACATATTTTTGAATTCGTCTCGGTTGTAGCAACGCGCCACGGGCTTCTTTCTGGTTATGTTCTCTACAAGTTCAACAATGAAATTGAGCGCCTCGTGTATGTTTGCTTTGCTTATTTTGTAGCTGATCGTTCCCAGCACGATGTGCATCACATACGACAAGTGTTTTTTTCGCCACTCCGGATCGTTCAAGTCCCTTTCGTAACCGAGGAGATAGCTGCAGAGAGCTAACACCGTCCACTGTTCGCGTATGGGCAACAATGCAAATCTTGGGAAAGGAGGAAATATTTATACATTATATTGTACACATAACAGCCATGTTAATGACCTTACTGTGGTTTCGTGGCGTACTCCACGACTTTGTCTCTCGGTTTGCCGCCATCCATTAAAGAATTCAGTTCGGATTTCCTCATAAGACGACCAAAGTATAAGAATCCGTCTGGTGAGCATACCGGTCGTGAGCGGTCTCGCTGACAAACGGTTTCGTTAAAAAGCTTCTGATGAAAACAGAAAGGGTCGTCCCATCTTCGCTTTCTATGTTTAGATGCTCCCCTGTGTCTAGCCATTTTTTAGCAGTTCTTATTGAAATAAATCTAATACCGTTGATCGTTCTAACACAGAAACGACGTTATAAATCGTTTATTTTATGTATACATTATTTCCATTGTTAGCCGGTATTAATATTGGCCAGCGATTAATCATAAAATAATTACCAATTATGATCTATATAAATATGCTTCTAATGTTATACACTGTTTTTTCTTGGTATCAACTTATTGGAAAAACATTAACATTACAAATCCCATAAATTAGGATCCATTTTCATCAATAAAATGTTATCAAATATTTAAATATAAAACAATATATTGTTTTATATTTTTCAACGTAAACTGTGATTAAAAATCAAAATATTTTCAACTGGACAGCAAAAAAACTAATGTTTAAGACATTTTCACGATATTTTTTGAGTATTAACGACAGCTCAGTTATTATATTTTTTTTATACATAATGCATGACAATAGTAGTATGAATTTATCCATCGGTCTTAGGTGGGTGATTTTAAAAAAAAAATTGGAACTAACTAAAAGTTAAAAAAAATTACTAGTACTCTGTTGAATGATATTATAAGAAGTACGTCTAAGAAAACTTCACACTTTTCGACAAAATGCTATTCAATGCAAAGAAAAAAACATATTAATGACAGAAGTTAATGTTTAGGTATAGAAATATAGTGGTGTGTTTATGTGTGTGTGTGTGGCAGCTTATTCGCCGAATCGTTTAGCAAAAGTTACTTTTACTAAGTTGCTTAGTTTCACTATTAAAAGATAGTTTTTGGTGAAAAACTTTGTACCAACGAAATTGAAAACTATCTCAATCATCAGCATAGACATCAAAACGTAATAACTACTACTTATGAGCTAAGCAATTTTGAATTTTCATTTATACAGATTGCTTCACAATAATAAAAATAAAAACGCCTTAAAGTTATTATTGTTGTGGTACTTTATCGAGATTTAAAATTGTTTCACACGACAATTGAAAAATAAGGCGCTTGTTGTAGATATTATTCACATCTTTGAATAGTAAGGGACATTTCACTATAACATTATATGTAGATTATACGTATATACAGTATAATTTTTTTAATGGTATAATAATAGTATATTATATAATATAATCTACTGTAATTGAGTAATTACGTTAAGTGATGTCGGGGCGTACTCGGCTTATCTAAAATGACCGATTTTTTTTAATAGTGCATATTATTAGTTTAATTAAGAACCATACGACGTAGGTAAAAACAAATTAAAAAATAATTATAACGCTTTTTATTTTTTAATTCGTATGGCATTTATTATAAAGTATTAGTATTAGTTTACTACTAATACGATAATTAAAATAATAACAGTATGGGTAAAATAGGTTAGATATTTTATTGATTTGATTTTTATTGTTTAGAAAAATGCAAATACCAACAAACAGTCAATATAAAATAATTTTTACAACCAGTTTTGGAGTGGAAATGTTACTATGGTAAATACGATGGAAATGTTGACGTCGCCTTAAGTCAGAATGTCCAAAAATAATAATGATACAAATCTGTTATTTTATATCAAATGCCTACCCATCTTATGCTCTAACGATATTGTTGTTCACATGACTGTTAGTAATAACGATATTGTTCACTGGCTCATAGCTGTGAGTAATGACAGTCTCGAGTCATTATAAAAAAAAAATTGACAAAATATAGGTTTTTTTTTTTATTTTGGTCTATCATAGATCTGTGAAGTGTCCTGATTTCATGTGTCAGCATCTAGTGCACGTGAACGTTTTTAACTTTTTCTTCATACATAGAGTTTGTTCTTTTAAAGTTACTGAATTTTCAAAAAAAATACTGTTTATAGTGGTATTTTCAATTTAACCCTAACCAGAGTTTGATTTTTTTTTTACTCGAATACATGAAGATACCCTACAGCGGTATGACAACATTAGTGGGTTGTGCTGCTTACACTTCCAAGGAAATGGTAACGCTGCAATTGTTTGGTGGAGATTTCTTCTGGGAAAATAATGCTATTACTCAAAAGCCGAAACGGTCGCGGGCTGGAGTACAGGAAACGGCTTTTGTTTTATATTATAAGACCGTCGTTGATGCAGCTGTTAATACTTCTGCATTAGGCACGGTCGGTCGCCTGTACAATTTTAACGGGCAATTAATGTGGCTTTATACAAACAAAATGCCCAACGCTCGCCCACGTCGTTTGCGGGTATCTTTTTACATAACCCCGGACTTAAAATAACGTCACGTTCTTTTCGCATAAATCTCCACCACAATCGTCACCGACTGTCTTGTGGTGAACTATCAAGAAGACGTCTCACCTGCATTAATTTTCAATGAGGTTCTTCGTAGGCTGTTTTTGTAGCAAAAAAAAAAAAGCCCCAATGGACAACCGTTACCAGTTAGGTGTACAGCTAGTTATTACAATAACTGTACCTCTTAAAGTAAGTAAGATTAAGAACAACGGACAAACGGTGCATTAGGAGTGCACTGAAAGAAGTATAAATATTTACTAATAATTATTAGTTTAGAAGAACAGTCCCAAAACCGACTGGACAAGAATTTCTAGGCCTTAAATAGTTACATAATATTAAACAAACAAATCATAAAATCAATATCTCTTCAGCTAGGCAGCGAAGTTAAAAATTTTCCCCGTTCGCCAATTAATTATTTTATGCAAAGGATTATTTGCCCTGACGGCCAACACTCGTGAAACACATTAGTTTATGGTATTAATAGAAATAGATTAAGTTTAGTGTGTACACCTGCAAACCGCCCAACAAAGTAACAGACTGTGTCAGGGGTAATTAATTTCTACACTAACGACAAGTTACTTTTAGCTGTTGGCACATATGCCAATAATATAGTGATTCCACAAAATTAATTCAATATAATTATGTCAAATCAAAAGAAAAAATGGAAAGTGACAAAAGTTAGTCAACGGGAAACAAAAGTAATAAAACAATAATACGACATTTTTAGCTTGGATGCGATAGCTAAGAAGGTATTAGTTTTGTAGTGATGTTATTTTTTTCCTTTTATATTTTTACTAAACTTCTACAAGAAAAATCTTTCCAGTTTATCGGAGTATGAATTTTAGAATAATGCTGGGTGGCACAACTTTAAGTATATTTTAAATTTTAGTAAAAACCCCTACGACAGAAAATTTCTTGAAATTTGTAAAATTAACTTTTAAAAATAAAGGGAAGCAAATAATATAAGTAATTTTTAAATGCTCATAATAATAGCTGTCAAGCAAATTTAATAAGAAGAGAATCGAAGTCAATGAATCAGTAAATAAACCGTAATTCAATTATCACATTATCAGTTTTTATTATTAGAATTTCGATGACCGCAATTGAATCGCTGAGTGTTGTATAATAACAACAATCTAACAAAGATGAGCTATTTTAAGTGGCCAACCCTAACCTTAAGGGATATTCGAAAACTATTTGTCATCAATGACTTTTCAGCTCATACTTTTTTTAAATTATCCAATCTTAACAAAAATGTTTATAAATGTTTTTATAGGAAGGTATCTACTTAATAAAAAAATATATAAATTCTTAAAGCGAATGGGTGGAATACAGATGGTATGAACGCCATAAGATAATTCGTCGAGTTTAAGAATAACTTGCATAACTAAAGAAACTTACCAGACAAGAGGGGGAAATTATCCGAGACAAAAGTGCTCATGAATAGTGAAAAAAATGACGTAAACATGGAAAACAAATTGATACTTCAAAAAAGTTCCAGGAAATGTTAGTCATACATCTAGTGGATATAACCTCTGGTAACTATACATAATATGTACACAACAACAATTTGTTGTAAAATTCGTGCTGCTTTATTTTAACTATTATTTCAGTTGAAGGCAGACCATATATTATATTTATAAAAACAATTGAACGAATGCTGATGTTAAAAGATAATATCAACTTGTCGAATCAACTAAAGTAAACGTTTGTAGAAATTAGCTTTACCCCACCTTTCAAGTCTCATAATTTGTTTGATTTTAAAATAACTATGTACATTTTTGAATAAAAAGTTAACTAGTTAGTTACCTAGTTAAATCAACTAATAGAAAATACCTTTTGTGATTAACTCTGACCCAAAAAAATCCAGTAGCTCAGCAGCGTGTTCATATTTTCAGCTTTGTTGTTATTATATTTAAAAAATGATAAAATAGTAAATATATATTTTCTATGTAGGTTAATTTGTAAACACTAAGTTTGTGTGTTAAGTTCATAACACTTCATACGCCTAAAAGTCAATAACAGAACACAATATTTGTTCTAAATGTTTTTATCAAGCAATTCTATTCGATTCCACGCCTTATTTCTATAAATTAAACAAAAAAAATATGAAAATTATTATTTATTTCAAATAGGTTTCCACTTGTGATTTTACTTGCTAATGGAATATCTGCTAATTCTTTATTAAAAAAAAATAATACATCAGATTTCTAAAAACAAATACATTACATAATATATAGCGAGATATTTAGTGGTATAATGTAGTTTCAGTTAAAATGGAAAATAATTAATGCATATTATTATTAAATTATATTCTTACAAGCGAATTGATTTATTTTTTATATTAACTCTATTGACTTAATTAAAATGTCTTTATTTACTCTGCAACCATTTAAGTTAAAAAAAGGGAAAGTCTATCGTAAATTATGTGCTACTAAAAAAATTTAATTGCCTTTTTTGAGCTGGTATTTAATATACTCTGGCTAGTAAAGTTTTTGACTCTTTACGGTAATTTGTTTGTCGGTGACCAAGAGCCATTAATCCTTTTGTCTTTATAATCCTTATAAATCCCCCGAAACCTTTAATAACACACCCGAGTAATTACTAAAGACTGAACATCTTAATACAACATTATGTTTTTCAGTTACTTCAAACAAACTAACATGCTAAGTAAACTGATAGCTGCTTTTGTGAATAATTGTCGTATGCAACTTAAGGGCGAACAAGAATTTCATCGACAAATATTTTTAATGTCAGAAACTCATTAAAAATAAATTATGTCGTTTAAACGTGTTTAGTTCTGATTAATAAATACAGAATTACAATGGTTGAAAAACGTGAATAGCTAAAATACTTAAAATAGCTTAGCGAAAATACTAAGCTTTTTTCTTTATAGAAGCTATAAAAATAGTATAAAATGAAAGGCAAGGTTCTATAATATTAACATTTTTACAAGTCTGCATTTCGGTCTACATGATATTGAGTCTATAAAGCAGGGACCGGAGTTAATGCCTATTTGAATTTCATTCGAACAATAAAATCTTTTCGTCCAGGAGGAAATGAGGAGGAAATTTATAACACAGGGAACGAAAACTTAAGTCAGTCAGATGAAAATGTGTTTAGGAATTAATACCGGATCATCGATATTAAAATTATTTGCCGAGTTCCAACACATACCACTTGTTATGGCCTGTAGCGGTAAATAACATATTTTTGGTAAGATAGATGAGTAATTTGCATTTTACATTAGACAAATATGAAACCTTAAAAAAATTCAAACATTCCCACCTGTACATTAATAATTACTAATTTTAAATAGCAAACAAAACATCTATCTATTTATTTGTATTTCTAATTTGTTTTAAATTAATTTCATTTTTTAATAACTTGCATAGTCATTTTCATTTTTCTGCTTAGAAATTGTTTTATTTAGCCTATTTTATAATATAGAACAAGACTAGAGAAGAACCCATATGGACTTGATTTGTTTTAAGCATTTTGCAATATCAACAGCCATACTATAACCTGGACTATGATATAGTATTTTCTACTGTATATTGGATAACGATGTCAAGGTAATGTCGATTTGACTAAAATATGTATATTAATAATTGCCGTTTTTTTTATCACAGAATAGGCATATTATAGTACTGTTATTCTGACAAATAAATGTAAGAGAGAAACGACTTTTATTCAAAACGAACTGTCCCCCCACCATGTTGGTTACAAAAAGACACAGCATACTGTTCAACACACAAATACATAAGACGATTTTAAATTTACAATACAAAGAAACACTATTGACTCCTTAACATTAACGGCTTAAAATTCAATAATATATTAAATTGCATAATGATCATGTTCAATATATAATAACAGTAATCTTTTCTTAATTATTACGTGTATTATTATTTATTAAAAAAAAATTATCGTTGTTTATATATTCTTTTCTCGCTCTGAATGTTCGAAATCGCAAACCACAACACGCGCGCAATCGCGGTACACTTTAACGCGTTCGAACACCTAAACAAATACCTTTTGTAACAGAATAGGTATAGATTTAATTTTGAAAATAAAAACATCACTGTGTTAGAAGATCTGGAATGCATCGCAGAGTCCAAACACTGCACACGCTCAACAATGATAGCTGTCGGATTGATTTCGGTAATATAAATTGTATAAATTATTTTATTTATCATATATATATATATATATCATATAATAAACTGCAACGGATTATTTGTAAAATAGTGTGCAAGTGAACATAATAACGTTCGACAGACACAGTACACAGTCTTTCTGACGATAATATCGGAATTCATTCTTCCCACGTTGCAACGCAATATTATATTTTTATATAATAAAATAAAATCAAAAAACAAGATAAAAATATTCTCACCTTTGCTATTTTTCAAATCGACAAAGCGTACACCGCCGTGTCTCTTGATACCGTTTTTTATTTGACAAAACAACAGTAGCTTATAAAAAAAATAACTGCGATTTTGTTTCTACCCGAAAACACATATTTTATTTTTATTTTGTCCGATAAAAAAAAAAGTTGGAACTTTTTAATATTTACATGTTTACAGACACGCGACACTTTATGCACATGTACTTATTACGCACACAGACCTAAGGCTTCGGTACAAATATTTAAATGGTTGTAGTTATGATGGGTATTATTATATTATGACTTGTTTTTAAATCAAACCGGATTATTGTGGGTTTCGTGTATTGCTTCACTAAAGTCTCTAAGCACTTTATCCTAGTGGAATTTTTTTTTGGAGTCTAGAATACCGGTGAATTATTTTTCAACTAGATTTTTTATTTGTCCAAGAATACTCGATTGTAATTGAACGGATTTATTCTTTTGTTTGGTTTAATATGATTTGTGTACATGGCAAAATTGAACACCTATCTGCCCGACACGCATAAAGTAGAAGTAGAATATTATGTTATTTTCAAATGAAATAAATAATAATATGTGATGACCGAAAACAGGTGTGGATTTGTTTCCAATTTGGTTGTGGTTTTTGAAATGAAAACACTTTGCGTTTGGGAAAAAAAATATTGTGTAATTTGGGTTTTGTGTACTGATTGGGGTCTAGGTTTCTAGGTCTGAGTGAGAAATAAGCCTTACCTATTGTTGTTCAAACAACAATTGGTAATTTCACTTGTTATTAAAAAACTGTATATAGCGTTTAATGTTTACACAAGAGTCCCACGCATTTCATACCATATGCTTTTGCTATGACAACAGAAATTGACCCCCTATCAAAATGCACTTGTGGCGTTGTATTGAGAATTTAAAAATATTATGTAAAATTTCGCCATGAAAAGTATAACAGAATAACGTTGTGCTGATTGCCATATTGAGATTAATCGTCTCTCAGTATAGTGTATATGTTTGTAGTATAAATGTTGAATAAATATTTTTTTATTTTAACTTATGCAACAGTTTAAATGTATTGAGCTCGATGGTATTGCCTCCCATCTCATAACTAAAAAATATATATTTTCAAGGATTATATCCGAAATGTTCTATTGTAACAAAAAAGTTTTAAAAAAATACACGACTTAAAATACTAATACTCAAAAATGTATACTCTTATGCAACGAAGGGTTAAAGAATTATTTCAATTTTTATTATTCTGCTGTCGACTATTAGCGAACTAATTAATAATAAAATATTTAAAATATAAAAGGCGAGCCTTAACGCTTTAATTAGTTTAATTATTTTTTATATTAACCTTAACTTAAACTAATGAAGACTAATTAAATTATCTATAAAAACACATGAAATCCGTTTAAAATAAAAACACCCAAGTTTATTGTGTTAAATTACTATAAAAGCTTACAAAATAATTACAATATGAATCGTTTATTTGTGAGGGGTAAGAAAATGTAAAAAAGTATATAATTATAACATTATACAATCTTTCTATACTTATATAAATTCTTAGACGTATCTAAGTCACAAAACAAAATTTAAGAAAAAAATCGAAATAATTGTATTATTAACATTTATAGTTTATATAATTTGTGTATTCAACCCCTTCCATAAATAAATATCAGAATAAAATGTAGATAAATCAACAGTATGAGAGATATTTTTTCTTGTTGATATATATTTAAGAATATGATACAAATTTATTTACTTTCTGGAAGTAAACACGTTTTGCCTTTAGGTAAAATCCATCATATCAAATTATAATTAATTATATATAGGGAAAAACAGAATATATTTTACCGAGTACATTTCGAAATTGGACAAGATACCAGTTAAACTATTATTATAGTTTCTATACGTGTAGTCCATCAGACGGTTTTGATTCGCAAAAACCATCCACCGAGTATGGTTCACCTACTCGTTCAATAAACATTACTAATGATTATTATGGCCAAGCGAGAATACAGAGTACATTTTTATAAGCGTGTCCATTATGAGAGCACAAACAACAATTTTACAATAAACGACTTTAAAACTTCAACTGCCAGAGAAGAGTATAAGAAAAAATAATAAATACAAGACTTAGAGCGACGAATAGCGAAGGCAAAACTTAATTCGCGTGTATAATATACTCGTAATAGTAAACAATAAACAGCAGATATTTGATATTAAAATAAACGCCAAAAGTTTATAACAACCAACATAAAAACTGCAACTGTCAGGATGAGTTGATTCGTACACAGGAACAGATACAACAATGGATTAATAAGGAATGGGGCAGATCTTGTCGAGAGTAGATTTAAGACGAAGGTGTCCAATCTCAATTTGATGGGGTGAAGGTGAAGGAAAAAACGGATTTTTAATGTATTATAACATGATATGCATATGTTAAACTTGAATAATTTGGATTATTTTAGAAACAAATAATATGGAGTATGTGATAAAAAACATTAAAATACTATACGGATCAATTGTGTATTTAAGTACTCCACTTGATTATACTAGGAAGTGAAAATAAGTGAATGCTAAAATAGTATTTTTCTTTTGTAGACTTCTAGATAAGGTACGAGGGTAACGACATTTCTCAATACTATGTTTTTGCGTGGGCTAGCCTGGCTTGTATAGTCCAAGTCCATAAATCAGAAACGTTAGTGGGAAGAGTAACAGTTTTAATAATTACAAAGCATTTTTTTATAAATTTATATGCTATATGCTTTAATCTCTAAAAATGTAATATATACAATCTCAGCCTTGAATAATGACAAAAATATAGCCTTACCGCTTTTTAAGAAGACGTAATCGCGTTTGAGTTTTTAATTAAAACCCTTATTGTTTACATCTTTCTTGGAAGTTTTATTATTAACACGGTGTGAATCATTAGTGGTACCTACTTGTGGGGAGCACGAGGTGCAGTTGTCCAAGTATACAAAAAACGCTTGGGAGAAGTATTATTAGGTCCTTTTGAAAAAAAAAAATGTTCTAGTCTACTTAGGATTTACAAAAATACATTTTTTCCCAAAAATAGTAACTTTTTAAAATGATAAAATGTTTGTCAATGAGCTCTGGTAGATCATTTTTTTAAAGTTACGATTTTTGAATACATTTAGAACAATTCACTTTTAGTATTGGTTGATATAATACAATATAAGAACCATTATTTGAACTCATGACTTTCATAATGTAGCAAGCATTTATATGTTTACTATCAACATTAAACTGTGGAAATGTATGGCATAGATAGATTCGTAGACGTTACTCGTTTTGTGTACGACTTTTGTTAATTTAAACTATTACATTTATCATATTGTTATTTGTAATATCAATATTTCTCTAAATGTTATTATGAAACCACAATGTTGTATGCGACATGCGATATGATCGCCGAGTGTTGTGTGGTACAGGTTGAATGTAACCCGCGTTAACGACACAATATTGCACTATGAAATGTGAGAAGAATATATTTTAGGTTAAAAGGGTAGACCATGAATGCGCTTCTTCCCTTCTCCTAATCTATGTATTATCCTACACCGCAATTGGCCACCATCGCGAATTGTATACAATGTAAAAACGACTAAATAGCTAATTTTCCAAATTGCACCGTGGTAAACGACCACGATAATATTTAACAGCTCAACTTTATGAATAAATAAATTATTCAAATACCTAGCGTAACGAGTATAATTTGTATGTCAATAATAAAAACAGTAAAATTCTATTAGGAGTTTATCATTATTTAAACTCATTAAATGTGCAGGCCAAGCATAATCTTAGCTATTTCTCCCCAACTACATTATTCTAGCACAACTTCTGACATGTATAACACTTACCTTATACTCACCAAAACATGAATTTTTACATCATCACAAAAAATAAAAACTGCCAAATGTATACTTCAAAATTTCATATTTAAAATCAACTCAGTGGGTACACTAAATATAGCGAATCGTATATCACTGTAAAATAAAATTGTACCCAATATTATGTACAAGAGAATACAAAATGTACATTGCATACGTTTATAGTATTATGCAGAATGCCCGTTTTGTTAGGGTTTTGATTTGTAAAGCTGTAATAATGTGTTTTCATTGCGCCCAACCTAAGTATAAGCATATTATGCGACCGATATGGGTTCATAAATAAATATCTAATATAGTAAGAGCGTACCATCGCTCGAAGATACAACTATTGAATATAGATTTCAATATTAGATTTGGGTTGCTCGGGATTTTTACTATTATTATCATTTTTTATGAAATGTACCATTTTCCAGTATATTATATTATTAATTTTATTTCTGACTATTATATGCGACTAGACTCTTTAATACTCGAGGGACGATTTTTTTTTGTTAACTGAATAAACGGTATTAATTATGCAAATAATAAATAACCGTCAAGTTTACCCGTTTTAATTTGGAATAATAAATGTACAATATATTATCATATTGAGTATGTATGCGTCATCTTACCTGCATTTTCTATACCTACCCACAAATCCACGTGCAAGCAAATAGCAATATTTTTGAAGTTTAAAATCCGAAATTTGCCAAATTAGAAATTATCAATTACAGCCTTCACAAAAAAACACACACGTTATATGAGGAAACTCCTCGTGGTAATGGGAATTGTAGCTGTATTGTTTTAATATGTAGAATTAACACCTGCACCTATTTTTTTTTGTGTCACAAAACAGCGTCAAGTGTGACTCCATTTGTTTTGGTTCAGTTTTTCCATAAATATCCAATCGCTAATACCTATATTGCATATGTTTAAGTTGTAAATAAATGAAGCAATGGCAAAAGCGATTATTTTTTTTAAATAAAATAAACGACAAGTTTTCATTTTTTCTATAAGGCATTGATGTATACAGTGTTTTAAATTTGAAATATTAATAAGGTTTTTTAATTGAATATTTCATTTGACATTTTTTTTCTAGACAGCAAACTAATTTACTAAGCAATGAAATATCGGTTAATTAAAAAAAAAAACGTACACATATTTTATGATAAACAATTATATTACTTCCGCTGGATTTGTTTCCTCGCCTGTATTTGCATGAGAATGTTTACAATATGAACACTATTCGAAAACAAAAATCTAAGTTTAAAAACAGACAGACACAAGTTTGTGAACAGCTCTAATCCGCATTCGCCGTCGTAACGTAATACATTCTAAACTCTATTTTGCATTTAATGTTTCCAAAAGATCTAGATTTTTTTTTTACTTTTTGCAAAAATGAGTTGTGACGCGTGAAACTCGATAAGGACGGTTTTAAAAGTTTTGTCAATTAACAACAATACAATCAAACATATACAAGTGATAAAAATGTACACGCGATCCCAGAAGTAATAGCCCGGAAAATACTTAGCTTTCGAAAAGTCTATTAATAATTTACAATAGTATACAAACACTTAGCTAGTTCACCTCGATTATGTGATCAAAAACTCGTATACAAGTATACAATACTCATACTACAGTCTACATTAAATAGTAGATGCTCACACTTTAGATTGAACTTTGGATTATACAACCCGTTTTTTACACGTCAAAATCCCTACTTTTCAATTTGAAAAGGTGAATTAGTTATTCCTAAATTCTAACTAACTGTAGTAGTCTTAACTATTACAGTAATCATTATGATATATACATATTCAGACTTTATAATGAGGTCACATGTGATCTGTGCACTTATTCATGTTTTGTTTGACCGAGGAAATCATTTTTGTAAGTTTTTATTAAGTTTCAAAATTTGTGTTGGTAAAAATGTATTTTTATCAAATAGCGGGGTAAAAATAAATATAATAGTGTTTTCAAAGTTTTTCATGCAAAACGACTATGACTCGGCTCAGCGTCATCTCTTTTTTTATAAAAGCTATCAATTTATTAGTGGAAACTTTCTAGTCTCGCCAAGTACTAATCTGTTGTCTCCGCAATATGCACATTTATTTTCTTTTTCTTTAAAAATTAGTTTCGACTGGCACGTCATTTCGCATGAGAACGTTTCAGGAAGTATACTGGAATAATTTATTTTATTTTTACACCAACACAACCGACTACAGCAAAAGACAGAGAAGAAAACTCCATTTTAGCTTTTAGATATTAAACTAAATTGAGTATGTATGCATTTGTCATTGACGTATATTTGGTAATTTTTAAAAAGTTTGCATTTAGGACCAAGATACTTAGTTGATTAATAAATGAAGAAAATTATCAACAACGTGTGACGAACCATAGGCACTATAGTTATTTTATTATCATACCTAGCTCAATGTGAACTCCCTGTTGAAATTAAAAATTTGGAATCTGTCATCTTAGTCCCCATCTTACACCTAGGTCACAACCTCTTCGCCCATTCATGCTATCCTCATACCTTTGAAATTAACCGTAAAATATTATTTTGCAGGGTTTTTCCTACTTTCCGTTCGCATTCATCTTAATCTCACCACCTTTTCTACTTCGTTGCCCAACATCATCATTCTATTATACTCACACCACTTGGTTTAGATGATAAAGAATACAAGTTGTATTTTCTTTCAATTTTTCCATAGTTAGAGAAACACACCCAAAACTACCTTACACGTACTGTGTCATATTTTCCTAGACCCTAGCCCGATAGATCAACTGTGATACAAGTTTATGATAACACCGCATTTGTTGTCGCAGGTCTTGTTGGCGTTGATCACATGCGTGGTACATTTGGACCTGTTGGGCTTGTTCGCAATTCGGCCAGTGCCCATCGAACAGTTGGTAGCCAACGACTACAACATGTGGATCCCAAGGCCGGGCACGGAAACGCCTATTCCCGGTCCTCCTTACAACCAAGATATGCCTTCGGTCACGGTACTGCCGGACCTGAGAACAGAGCACGATGACTTTAACCTATACGACGGATGTACGATGGCTGATGTGCCAGAGACCATTACCAGAGAACCTGGGGTCAGCCAACCTAACGAGACGTTTGATGTCTCCGACGTCGGCCAAGTAAATTCGGATTTGCCGGACTACGAAGACGAGGAATTCTAGATTAAGACGTGTCCATCGGTTCCTTCTGATGATAAACTATTTTTTCATCAATAACTCTTTGTTGTACATTATACATTATTACGATTAATATTGTATTTATTTTATACATATTTTTTTTGTTTATCCTAAGCTGTTTAGGTTCATTGCCACTTCCACGACGCCTCTCCTAACTTCTCCACGCGATGCTCTTCGTGGCTCTTCTTTTACAGCCGATTTCGGAGCCATGTTAAAAAAAAAGCAAAGACTTTAACACCTTACTGTGTTAAATCCTTATGTAAATTTCTATGATAACACTTAGTTAAGTATTAAAATATTGTAAACACTTAATAATACTATTAATATATAATATGAATCATCTTAACAGTATGAATTCTGAATGTACATCCTCGCTATCCTGACAAGTGTTTGAAATTAATTAAAACATTTTCTGGGTTGCTGAAAAATGTCGACCCCGGAATAGTGCACCTTATAATGACTCTTAATTTACCCTAATCTGGTTGTCGGATTGGGCTCCTTTTAATATAATTTTCATAGAAAATAGACAAATTTTATTATTTGAAAAAAAGGGTTTTAATAAATTATACGTGGAGCTATTGACGCGTATTTTTACAACAAATACACAGTTTATGGTTATGGAATTATAATTAAAAGTTTCTGGGTATAGCTATTAAATCGAAATAACCAGAATTTCTTGCTAAGTACGCTTGTTGTTAACGACAAACTATCAATGTTATATTGTTATCTAAAAAATTGTATAATATAAAAATGTTATTAAAATTTAAAATTGTCTTGTTGAATTTTACCTAAACCAATGGCACACTGATCATATTTTTCTTTATCATAAAGCAGGCTAATCAGATTTAAACAATATCACATAAGTATTATCTAGAATTGTGAACTTGAACGCATTCGGGCCATTTGTATTATGAGTGCAGTAGGAATAACATCATAGCGGCAGTATCATTAGATACTTATCTCGCTGTTGTAACTTTGTCTAATATTTTGTCATTTTAATATAAAACATAAAAAATATTTTCTACACTTTTGGGAGACTGATTTGTTGTTATTTCGTATGATAGGTAGCTTTTGTTGGCAATATAAATGTATGTTTATGTTATGACAAAAATGGAAGTTTTAACTGTTAAGACGATAGAGAACAAAACTAGCAAAAATGTTTGAAACATGATTTCGGTTCTTTCAATTTAGAAATAATTTGTTATGAAGTTGGTCGCGTCCAAATCAAATTAGAAATTGCATTAAAAATAGAAAAAATATAAATGATCACATGACGAAGTAAATACAAAGCAACTGTGTGGGTTTTTATAATAATATATGTGCAGTAAATTATTTTAATTTTAAAAAAGTCAACTTATGGGCAATTTGTAGCGACCGCCTACATATTTTGATTTCCGAGCCTGTATTATACATTTATATTATACCTAATATAATTACATTTTATTTGACTTTAATCTGGTGCATCAAAAACATTTTTTTGGCTTGCATACGTTTTCACTTTAAAAAAAAATCGATAAATTTAACGTAACAACAGAGTAACTAGAGCATGGACCTTTTTTTTCATAACTCCATTTAAACTGAAAACGCTAATGGATTTTTAAGCGGATTGTTACTTCAAGCACATTCTAACACTATTTCATACATTTAATTATTTCAAAAAGCCCATATAGATTCTTCTGGGCAACGTATGTTTGTATTAAATACTTACAAGTATTTATGTATGTATATCTAAAAATTAAGCAAGTATATTTCACTTTATAAACAACTCTTTGACGTAAATGTGTTATTTTTCTCATTTCAAAATAAGTGTTCACTATATTAAAGCTTGTAAGTTTTTCCATTTTTCATTTACACATCAAACGGAGTAGAACAAACTATAATTTAAACTTCAGACACGGTTAGATTAATAAACCGTTCTCGAGTATCTCCTTTTGAAAAACATAACGGCTAAACGATGCAAACTAGAGTCTTTACACGTCCTGAAAACATTTGAATATATTTCACGACCTTAAGCTGTTTTTTTTTTGTAATATCAAAACCATTAAAATGTATTTCTAGGCACGGTGCTAGAAATTAATAAGTAATAAATGGGTAATAACTGGTCTATAGTAGGTTTTGAATTTTGAATTTTGAAGTTATTAATTTTTAAAAGTTTAAACTATAAGCAGCGGCAGAGGTAAAATGAAACTATATTAATTACATAAAATATCTTTTTGTAAGCATAACCTACCAAAATTGTTACAAAAAAGTAACAGAATAAAGGAATAATTAAGGCGAATACAGCTTCTAAGAGATAATATGATAGCGAATAAAACCTTGATTTAATCAAGGTTTTATTACTTAAATCGTGTTGATTAAACTTAATGAGTTTCTCATTAAATATTTTACATGAAACGTAATTGGCTAAAATAATTTGCTAACAAAAAATATTAGTGTTCCATTTAAGTTTGAAAGTCCCATGATACGCTTTTTAGATAATAATACATAATTTAATATTCGGTACTAATTTTACTACCAATTTACCTTTTGATCTTAACTTCGTCCGATTTCCGTTTACGGGATCTCGAAAATATGGGCTTTAAATAACCACACAAGTTTAACATAAAGTTAATTTAAGTTATATAATGAATCAATTTAAGTTGCTCTAAACTTGATCCACTTGAAACTCTTCCATTATGCTATATTCTACATGTCTATCGTCAATGGGCTTTTCTTACTTACATTATTATTATTATTATTATTATTATTATTATTATAAAAAACCCAGCACAGTCTTGTCGGAGCAGTTGATAGTCTATAGGAATTATTTTAATTAACACACAAAAAAGCACACGAGCAGATTATGTCCAAATAATATAATATAAGAAAGTAATGAGTATTCCGAATAAGAGTAGACAAATTGGTAAGAGTGCCACTTTTAGAGGTTTCATTAGGAAAACGATGAATTTTTTCTAATTTAATCGTTTTATGTATATAAGAAAAAAGAGACCTAATGACAGGAAGTATCTTAAAACGAAAAAGATTGGACGCAAGAGCTAAAAATGTTAAAGTATAAAATACAGGACTGAGAGACAGAGCAGATAAGGAAATTTACATTGTTAGGCGAGTAGTGCACTTTGCAGTAAAAACCAAAGCAGATTTGTAAAGGTACATTGATATTAGCATTGGGTTTATATATACTCAATGATATTAGTTATAAAATATATATTATCACATCGTGCTCCCGAGACCGAGGCATATCAATAATATCTAAAGTAGAATTTTTGAATGAATATTACAAAAAGAAAAAATATTGACAACAATCGGGGAAAATAAATACAATTTAAACGCTACCTAATAAAAGGAGAAAATTTTTTTTGTCGAGAGTGGAATTTATGGAACTTGAAAATATGACAAAGGACTGGATAAAAGAAAAGCATTGCCGTATCGAAAAATAGAAAACAGAAAAGGTAGTCAATTAAATTCAGTCAATACTATCGTGTAACAGAAATCCAATATATTATCTGATGTCGATCCGAGTAAAAACTGTAAATTGAGGATGAATTGAAAAAAAAAAAGATTTAATTTTCAGGAATCACGGAAATCCTATGGAAATTAAATAGTTTGTATAGGGTGATATATATGTGAATTTTTAGGTGTAAAAGATGTGTAATTAAGGCGATTTATAACTTATATTAAATTAAAAATAACGTTCCAAAGTAATAATGTTTAACCAAAATTGGCGATTTGGTTTTCCTGTACCTAATTTATCAGTTACGACAAGTATTAAATTTATGCGTAACTAGTGCATTCAAAAATGCACTTGAAGAGTCAATATTAACATTGTTTTAATAAGTTACATTTGAAATTTTGGATAATGCTAAGTTTAAACTAAAATTAGTACGCTAATTTCGTATGGAATGACTCCCTAAAAGTAAAAACAAGGATATTTATAAAATATATTTTGTCAATTTTTTTGTGTATACTTAAACAGTGTAATTTTTATAAAGGATATTTCTTTTGTGAACTTTCACAATCATATGCCACAAAATGCGAAGACGATAAAGTTCAGGATATTATTGCCGAGTCGAAATGAAAAATTGATTACAAGTCTTTATTTTTATTTTTTGACAGTATACTCTATTCTAGACATGCTGAAATTCTCATTTGTTGTCTGAGAATTATAGTTAATAACTCAAAATAACAACCACGGCTCTTGGTCGTAAACATTGAAATTAAACAGATTATAAGGAACAGTAATTGCACAAAGCTATAATAATTAGAAAACACGAAGACGGGAAATGAATGTTCTTACCGATTAAATTTGTTAAACATCTAGTAATAATTATTACAAGTTAAAAAACTGAAAAGTTATTCTACAATAATTGTTATAGACGAACGTGATCAATGTACAACAAAATTATCATTTTGTCGAAAACGTATTACATGAGAATTCGTGTATGTGCCGGTATACGGTGTACCGATGGTATATAAAAGTAATAATAAAATATAGATTAATATAGTGTAATACTAATATACCGGATGAAACTCTGAGCTTGTGGTAAAGAATGTTAAATGTAGCTTTTGTGATTAATACGAGGGGTTCCTAGAAGCCCAACCACCGAATTTTGGGCAATCGTAGAACTCCATTTTGTAAACGGATCAGCAATATGTGTATCTCTGCGAATTATTATAATTTATAACTATATAGCTTTGAGCAAACACATACAAAGCAAACGTGGATTAATACAATATACATCAATACATTTCATAAATACCCATAATGTAAAATACGAAATTAATTTGTTCAGTAAATCAAATATACCTATGTATCATAAATCAAGTAGGTACCATAAACGTCCAATTGAAAATATAATATATATATATGATTGTATAATGTATGTACTCAACTGACTACTGAGGTTTACACCAAATGATAACATTTTTATTTTTAAACATGACTTGTTATAAATGATTATATTTTTTAACCTTTTTCCTAATAAATACAGTTAATTTTCCAATAACTAAATAAAAAACCAGCTTTTAACCAGCTAATAACCAACCCCAGAGAAAGTTGTAAGCTTAAAAAAAAATTTGTTTTGAAATCCATTTAACAGAATTCTACAATATTTCTGAATTTGGTGAAAAACATGTATTAATTAGTTTTTTTTTTTTTAAGATTTATTCTAGTTGAAATACATTTTTAGGAAATGATAAAATGAAACAAACACTCTAAAAACAGTGTTTTTTACCACTTTGTAGGTGATTTTTTAAAAACAGCTGATTTTTTAAAACAGCTGATTTTTTCTTAGCTGCTACACAAAGAAATCAGTTCAGTGGCTTAAAATATATCGTGGGTACAGGCACAAAAATATAAAAATAAAAACACATCATTGTAAATACAAAATTACAATATTTTAGTTTTCGAATAGGGTAAAATTTTGCTGTAAATAGAAAACATCACTATACCCTCATATATTTTCTAAGGGAGCCTTGAAGACAGTTTTAATGTTTAAGTTCCTCTTAATCGCATTTCCTTCGTTAAAGAGACCTCTGAAAGTGGATAAAAGGCAACTTTTGGAATACTTTTTCCTAGAAGAGTTTTTACGAAGTAGGTAGTACATTATTGAAAACTATTCGAATAATTATGTATATTACTTACGGTAGTATTTCTGCTTGAGCTTCAACTCGGCCAAGTCTTTATTGCACACAAAAGAATAAAAATCTTAAAGCGTTGGCGTACCCAAAAATAGAAGCTTGAAGATTGAAACTCAAAAGACTATTCCGGGTTAATCAAGCTTAGGGCGTTTTATACTTTTATCGCCTTAAAGCGCAATAACGCCAAACGCTTTCACCTACTCAAATGTGTACACTTATTTTACAAACTGCACACATTTACATTTACTGTCGAAATGAACACAAAATATATAATCACTAATGTTAATTGGGGAACTCTGCTCAAGGGACAGGTAGGCCATGAGTTTAGATCTTGCCCGTAGTTTACATAGATTCCCTAAACACAAAAACATAAGTACAATTATTATACAAAAAACAAATTAATAACAATACATTCAATTTTTTAAGACTCAATTCTCAAACGTGTGGCAATGAGATCAGATGGTTAAATACTTTGGTAGCAATAATGTTGGATAAACTGAGGAGTTCGAGAACCGAATTATTTATATTATTAAAATGAATAAAGTATAACAAAATAAAATCGTTACTTCTGACATCACTTACACGATAAAAACTTGATATTTAATTTTTATCATGATTCTGGCGGTCGGACTCAAAAAGCTAATATAATAGGTAACGGTTGAATTAATACAAAATATAACAAGTTTAACATAAAAAGACAGAAAAACATTAACGTAAAAACAAAACTTGACTAATCTCAAATAATGTGTGGTTATACAATGGCTTATGGCCTGAAGAGTGTTTATAAACTTTAATCATTGATCAACTTCCTTGATAACCCCTACACTTGAAAACAAAAATCGCTAAATAAATAGGTGCCGAATTTTGAATACAATACTGACAAATGGTAGTCTTACATCTAAAGTTTGGTACTAAGTCGAATAGTGCACATTTTTGCTAATTAATTAATCTACGACGTGTGGATTGGGTTTTAGACTATGCCACTATACCTACCCAAGCTATTACCAACTAGTTTTATATTATTTTTTAACTAATTTTGGGTATCTAATTGACATTTTTTTTCGAATTATAAATTTCAATGTTAGTTTATTTGGGAGCATAACCATGTAACATACCATCAATCTAAGGTAAGTCACCAACTTTCATATAAATTGTACCAATGTCTATATATTTTAATAAAAACAATTTATATATTTTTAATAACGTTTTTATTTTTAAATTTTCGATTAAAAGGTTTTATTTTTAAAACACTAAAATTAAGAAGAATATTATATTTTATTTTAACTATTATAATTTTCTAGTGCTTTATAATCCGACTAACTGATGAAAACATTTATTAGTGAATAGTGATTTTAGAAAGATAGTGGAACGTCTAATAAATGCCTCTTAAAACCATAAACTTTATCATACCATTTGTCTTACTAGGCACGTGTCAAAATTAAAAGTTTTTTTATTTGTTTGAGGGGTTTTCCTATTTGGAAGGGATAAAGTAGTACTTTCTACTTAAGACCACTTCACAAAGTACACTAACGTCTAACCTCATGCAATCGTAGAGGTGCTCCTCGTGTAAATTTGTTTCAAAGAAAAAAGTTTTAAGATACCTACAAACAAAAAAAAAAGATATTGCATCATTTAAAAACCAATTTACCTCCTCAGTTTTGCGTTGAAGCTGTAAAACGAATAATGATAATAATAACAAGTATAAAGTTGTTTATACCTTCTTGAATTTACATTGTTGCGATCGTCTGGAGAAAAAAGTCATGAAAATGTTTGTTGTATTGTCTGAAACAGTTAAAGACGCAAATAAGTAGAATGTACTCCACAAATCCACTAAATTCTAAAATGAATTAATCAATTGAAAGTACTTATTATATGGGCACGATTCAAGAATCAAGATAGTGGTTAATGTACCTAATTGTTAACACACTGGATACAGGATACTATTACCATTGTCCTGGGAGTAATATTACTATTTTGTTTAAACCAAGATCATACAAATTATAAATGCTTATAAAATTGTAGGTCAAAATTTAAACAAAAGTTGAAATAAGTAACCTAACTTCGGTTAGACTGCTTATAGTAAATTATTTTTCTATTAAAGTCCCATATTATAATCATGAAATCCAGTAAGTTTACTTAATAGAGCATTTGCTTACTTCTAAAAAGAAATGAATAAACTTTCAACCATTTTTCTGCATTGTTAAAATTTGTAATGTGTTTTCACGTATTATGTTAGGTACATGACTCCCCAATAATATTTCACTTTAATAAGTAAAACATCAAAGTATGACCAACATTCGACATTAATAAATTATAAATAATAATAAACAAAGATAATCAAATTATAAAATAATGTACACATTTACACCATATTAAAACCAAATTTTATGAAAAATAAAAGGCAAAAATGACTAAAGGCATAGGACCTAAAATTTGCACGAGTCACAAGTTTCCATTGAATGCAAAAATTTTTAGTGTACATATAAATACAATGGTATTACAAATTATTCGATTTATGTTTCTTTAAAAATGTACAAACAATTCTTTAAAGATATTGCAAAAATGATTAAGTTTTAGGTATATTCTAACAAAACTACAAGGAAAAATAATAGGAACATAGTCACAAATAATACTTTGATGGATTATTATCATCATATTATATTTATATATAATATATTATATTACATTCATGTTTAAGATACATATCACAATAAAACAGATTAAAAGGGGTCTTACAAGTTTAAAAATAATATTTTTGTAGACAGAAAACAAATATTATTTTTCATCTGAATAACACATTTTACAAGTAAATAAAAACTAGTAAAAACAAAAACTTAACTATACTTCTTGTCAATTTCATTTAAATTCTCTGTACGAAATTTGTACACACACAACAACATTCCTCAAAATACCTTTCATATACATTTAAGAGTAAAATAGTTTATTATTTTTAGCGTTTAAATATTTTGAATCTACTGATTGAGCACAAAGGGAACGCAAGTTAATTGTTATTATGTAATTATAGTAGATACCTAATACAGTAACTACTTAAATAATAAACAAACCAGCAGTAGATATTTTACGATGAATCTGTGTGTACGTGCGATACAAAATAACATAAATGGCAACCGACAAATGCAAATTGGCTCCGCAGACATTGTCTTCAAAAAAAAAAATTACATATTTTTCTTTTAAATGATATACAAATATACTACACATATTATATATTATGTGTGTTTGTGTGTATAAATTAAACAAGAAATACAATTTCAGTATAAATAGCATCCCCAACTAGATTTCGTTTATAAAATTTGTATTTTACATTTAAAAAAAATTTATAATTATAAAACAAAACAAAACAAAGTTACAATGCACCGTATAAATTCAAAATAACGACAAAATGCTTAAGTCTATTTTTACTTTGAATATAAATGAAAATCAAATGTTTTTGATCAATAACAGCAGAAATAACTAAAACATGTTATGTTAAATAACTCTAGCGACTAATATTTTGGGTAATTTATATTAATCGCTTTTGCTTCCAATATACATACAAAACTATACAATAATCAGCTTGTTAAAATATACTAGTTAAAATATAAAAAAGAAAAGCCTAACATTCTTTACTATATGGTTCGACGGAAATTATTTTAATTTCAATCCAATTATATTCATTACAAGAATACCTATTAAATATTAATCAGAAAAAAATAAAAAATAATACATAAATAAAAAAAAGGAAGGAAATGATATGTATGTACAGCTGTTTGTATAACTTTTTGGAACAAATCAAACGAATAACAATTTAATTACATAAAAAATGTACTTAAACTCCTACATCGTATTGCTCAAGTTTATAGAATTAAAATTTAAAAAATCATTTCAAACGTAAAATAATATAAAATATAAAAACTGAGAATAATATTGTTATGCAACTACATGTGTATGACTGCGTTATGTGATCAATAAATATAACTTTCATAGATATCGAGCATAATCAGATAACAAACATTTAACTTCGTCAGCCTTAGCACACAACCGAATTGCAAAAAACACTGAAAGCGTACAAGACCTATATTTGACAACAGTATTTGTGCAATTCTTATAAATATATTTTTTATTTTCTTCATTATTATTAACATTAATTATTATTTATTAACAATTAGGATAGATGTTCAAAAGTGGTAGTTGTTAAAAATTAATTATTATATAGCCAATGGGTATGTTTAACTTTTATTTTCCTTTTTATTTTTTTTCAACTTTTTCTTCAAAGAAACCATTTGACAAATTTAATCGCCTGGGTGCTCTGGACAGGATCTGTTCACTTCAAACCACCGGTCTATACAACTGAAAACAAAACAAAGTTAATTTAAGTAAACATTTTTATAATTGAAAAAGAAAAAATATATTGGTCAACAACATTTAACACTACACAACTATTTTTATTATTATATAAAAGTGTGCAGCTTAATGGTTTATTAATTATTGGTACGTCAATAAAGTTAAATGATGGGTGTCGATAGGTGTTCAGTTAAGACCATAGATAATAGTAGTTAGTACGGGTTTAGGGATCTGGAAAAAAATGAAATTGTACTTTTTTCTAAAGACACTAATAAACGTTTGGTAAATATTTAATAGTGGCGAATAACAAAGTGAAAATAGGAACTTTTTAGGTTTTAATTTAACAATAATATTATTTAAATGTGTAATGTATAATTATGATATATTATTTATGTTTAAAGTGTATGATTTCTTATGTCGACGGGTGACATCACAACTATATTAGATCCTTGACAAACAATTGTAATACACACTGCGTAGATAATATCATTGCGACGGTTTTCCCCCTACCACACATTGTGGATTTGCAATGTCTATGTAATAGAAGTCGGCAATGACTCATGTACACTTCCTAGGTCAATAATCTTTCTATTAAAAATACTACTCTGACAAGAAAAACCACCTATGACCAAACTATCTGACTGTCTACTACTGAAGAAATTCGTCCTACCCCGAACCCTCAAAAAAATTAAAAAATAAATATTTTTTATTTGTCAAATTGTTTTTTTTTATGCTAGATCCATTAATAAAATTCATAAATTAACTATACCAATAAAGTATCCTCAATTATTCGTAATAAATATAGAAAATAATTTTAGCTTAATGACGCTGTATAATTAATATAATCGATCGGAAATTCTATAGTGATAATGTGGATGACAATGACAATGAAAATAATAATAATAAATTGATGATGATAATGTACAATAGCCAACGCGGAGAATAAAAATGTATTGAAACAAAAAACAATTTAAATTATTTTTGTTTTCATAAAATTTGTTGTTATTGTCGGCGATTGCACTGGAGACGATACGATGTCACAAGAAATAACAAAGAAACTGTGAAATTAATTTTTAAAAATATTTACCGGAAAAACTTTGTTTCGAACACGCACTATTGTTCTAAAAATGGCTACCATAAGGTCACGGGAATAGGTAAAATAATAATATAATTGAGCCATCTTTGCGCACAATACAAATTTTATAAGTACATGTGTGTACTTATATTTTACAAGCAAATCGGTATTTATTTATGAAAACAAACAGTCTACACGCCTTAAAGCGCATCTCTCTATACACACAACACGTTATACCACTGTGGTTTTCCGTTTTACACAATGCCTAATTGGATATTATCAAGTCCAGTGGGAAATCAAGATTGTCATCTTAATACCCTGGTCAAATCGCCGACAACAAAATTCGCTTAACAAAATGTTAGGTCCAATCCTAACGTTATGTTATTATGATCATGATTATACCATCTGTTTTACTATAAGCCTGTTAATTAACCTATTTCTAAATTGAACGTGTAATACAAAAGAAACCCAACCTAGCCTAACCTAACCTAACATGACATATAGGGCGATGCACTTTGGTGTCTGTTTTATGCAGATGACAGTACTGAAGACGTATTAGGACTTAAAGCAAAAGGAGGTTTGGAGAGAACATCCACATCTATGCCGGCAGCTCGTGATAGATAACCGTATGGAAGAGCAAGTCGGCAGCTATTGTGAAAATTGCAAGAATTGGAACAGTTAATGAAAACCGTTTTTTTTTTTATATTAAATATAAAGTGTAGTATAATTATAAATATGAAATTAAAATAGATGGATAATTACGTTTTGTGGTATATGCAGAGACATGGCAGCCTGGCAATGGTATCGCCTTGCGTCAGTTCTTCCAAGCATATAACGCACTCGCCTTTGTCGTCTTTTAAAACGTCTTCTGCATCACAAAAGAATAACAAAAAAATAATAATAAATAATTATTTTAAAAATAAACAAAATACAAATTCTATAGTAGTTTTAATATTTTGTTACCGTTGTAAATCAGTCTGGGTTTGGTCAGGCACATGACGAGGTGTACTTCGATCTCGTCCGGCAAAACAAACTTTGAACATACTGGACACTTTATTCCTGAAAAATTATTTGTTTTAAATGGACGTAGTGTAAAATCATAATCAAAATTATCGTTATCTCTGTATAATTTTACACACAATGTTATTTGTTGTTTTATCGATTACACAATACACAGTATAATACATTTGAGAAGGTATACCTATACGATTGCGTTATTCCCTTATCGGTGCCAATAAGTTGTATTATTATACCGGGTGGTCCGTTTAACATAAGACAGCTCATTTTCTCGGAAAATAATTACAATTTTGTAATTATTTTCAAAATAGACAAAACTACAAAATTGTAATTACTTTATGGTTGTCTCACAGTAAGTGGATCACTTGTGTACATAATATATATATATATATATATAAATATATAATATTTTAATTTTTCACAAACACATTAATATTAGTAGGAATAATAATATAAAACATACATTGAGCGTTGGTCTGCGGCAGTAAGCACTGCAGTAGTTTTTGTAGGTAAAGGAGAAAATACAAAATCAAACGTAGGATTTAATATTATGATTTAAAACAAACGTTTTAAATCGTTTGATAAATAATAATTTTAAAACCCAATACAATTCCTGGAAAAACATATTATCTATTCGCATCAGATACTCGGTAAACATTAAAATATACTACACCGCGTGACCCGTGAGAAAAATTGCAAATGGCAGCACGATATGCATTATCATATTTGTAGGTAGGTATTACAAATTGCCCCGCAATATTATATTATAGTATTTTATTTGGTGAAACATCATTTCGGATTTGTATTTCTTTTTTTGTCATACACAATATTATTATGTTTGGCGACAGCGTTAATCCTCTCGAGTTTAAAACAAAAGCACATCGGTGGCACGGTCACGTTTTAATAGATAAATATTATTACTATTAAATACAAACGACGATAGCATTGTTTGGGCAGTAAATGCTGTATTTTATTATTATCTATCAGAATACCATGCGATATAATATGAAATGAGGAGTCGAGTTAGCCATGAAGTTTTATCGCCAAACAATATGAAAAGATAAACTTTTCACGATTGTAAATTAATTATCTGCACGAAGTCGTTGAACGTTAAAATATAATTTAATGTCAACGTCAAAGAAACTTTTTTTAAAAAAATTCAAGGTCATACAAAAGAAAAAAACGGCAATTTCCATATACGCAAATGCGTTAAACAATGGAACATGGTACCGTGAGATTAAATGAACGAAATGTTTTTAAACTACTCATATGATTTGAGACAATAGACGATTATAATATAATCTCGAGCAAAAAATTAAATAACACTACCTTTAGTTGGCGTTTATCTTTTAAAACTAAGGCATAAACGGCCATAATAAACACACAATTAGCAGTCATGTCAGTTTTTTGTTCACTGCCGTTTTGATTTTATTGTATTAAATTATTATTACCTATTTAGGACTCATGGATAATCTAGTAAGGGACGTTAAAAGATGATTTCAAAAGTTTGCTCTGCATTATTATTCTTAAACGACGTTAACGACCTCGTAGTTTATACTGTGATGGATAGTAGTATGTGGGTACACTAGATCATGACCACGATTTAAAATATAATCGCATATATATATGTACGACAATTGATATTCAGGTCATCGCCATAATATGTATACTATACAAGACGCCATTTACACAGTAGGTATAGCAAACGTTGTGCTAAATAGTATATTTTACAATATGTATACAGTATATAAATTATATTATAAGTATGCACTATAAAAGCAGTGATGAGAACCATTAGGGCTAGGACGATTTTTTTGGTAAAAGCAACTTTACAAAATAAAAATATTCGTTTTTTTATTTAATGCATTAATTGTTTAAAAATGATAAAAAAAAACAAATGCAAGGAAACAATATAAGGTTAATCATAATAGAGGTAAAGGTCAATGATTGAATTTAGAGAAAGGACAGGGGGATTGACCTAACCTAACGTGCCTATACCCGTTGCCAACTTATTCTCCCATTTTATTTTCGATCACAATTCTTTTAAACAGGTACAAGCGAGGTGTTGATTATTTGCATTTGTGTAAAACGTCTTTATCCAATGCTTGTCGGTTATTATCGATTTGCGGTGTGCATGAATTACCACAATTGAATAGTTATGGCTAATTATTATTAAAAAAACATCTCGGTTTGCCGTTTGGTGTATTTATTATTAAATTTTCGCGAGTGAAGATTTTAAAACGCCCCCACACCACTTTGCCAACAATGAGCTTTTGGATGACAGCCTATCCGCTCTGTTCGAAGATTAGATCAATTCCTAAATCGATGGCATATTATCTCGAATATGATATCCAATATCCGTTGTTTAATGTATTAAAAAAAAAATATATATATATATATATATTCGTTTAATTTCTCCGGTACATTTGTCCTTGAAAAAGCAATCAATATGCCATTAAGTGTTCAAGAATGATTACCTACAGGTACAGCGTTCGTTGTGGAACACATTTTGGAGCAAGCAAGGACGTCTAGTTTAGACGGCGTCTGTGTGGCCCAGACCGAATAATAATTATTATTATTATTTTCTTTGTTGCATTATTATTATGCAAAGATCGCCGTCCATAAGTTTTGTCCTCAGTTCGCCATCGGTTGACGGTGAAGAGATAAATAAATAAAAGTTAATACCATTTGCGCACTGCCACCTACTTGTGACGTCGTCGATGGCGCCCACGGCTCCATTGCAAACGTCCCTGATACATTATCATAATAATTACAATACAGCTGTTATTGTAATTTGTAGCACGTTATTTAGCAATTAGCATATTCTGTTGCTGGCGTTTCTTCAGTAAGTACAGGACAACATAGACCAAAAATCATGTCCTACACGTAGACGGGCGAAAGCCGTAACAAATTTTTTTTAAAATGTCCAAATAGGCCACCGCTGCAAACTATTACGGTTTTCAAAAATAAAACGGGTTTTCCGGGTTTTTTTGTTGTTAAACTAGAAATAATTCTATTTCGAGAAAATAGTGGAGTTTTAGGGGGGTGATGAATACAGATTATTCAAGATACATAGTGATCTATTTTAATTAGATAAACACTTCATAAGTAATAAATGTGTTTATGTAATGTAATGTTATTAGGTTCTTTCGGGTTTTTTTTACACCCCCCTAAAAAAAAAATGAATACAATTTTTTTAATTTTCTTTCCATTTATAGGCACGTATTAAATCTACTGGCAAATTACATTTTTAACACAGTTAGAAAAGTGAAATAAAGAGTTAAGAGATTTTCCACTATTTTCGAAGAAAGGGTTGATTATATTATGTTTTTAGTTTATGGCTGTACATCTTCAGTGGGGATAGAACTAACAAAATTCCAATTTACTAAAAAGTTTACTGAGCAAGTTCATTTCCTAATTATTTATTTGAATGAAAAATACAGACATTTCAGTAGAAGATTATAGCTCTTGAAATTGAAACCAAATCTTCAAATTCTTCTTTTTTTTTATTATTACAGAAGTTAACAGCGCTAAATTAATTACATTTTTCTGAAGAAGAACATCTTACAACTTTCATTCCTGACAAAAGAGATTTGAGATGCTAAAATGAAGAGGAATAATATACTAGTGATACCAACTTTTAAAGAAAGTTTACTAGTTCAAAATGGGTATTTAAAATACAATTTTTTTTTTAAACTCACAAGTTAGGACAACTTAGACCATTGGTACTTTTTACTTATTTTAATGAATTCATACATTAATTTTGATTTATAGTTTGAATTTCTAACGCCTCTCTTTCCACCCCCCCCCTCCTCTAGTACCATAATACACCCTACACCATTGCATGACACACACCTTACACCACTGCATGACACACACTTAGACTGTACTATTCAATGGTAACAATGATTGTTAAACAAAAAATTACAATTTAACGATTTATAAATAAATAGTTTGAAAGAACTATTATTTTACATTTGGTTCCACTCAATATGCGAATTGCCATATTTTATTAATATGGGTTTCACATAAACTCGTAATCAAATATCTACCCAATTTATCAGAACACCTTAAGGGTAAGACATTTATGGCTGTTAATCTAAGCAAATCATACTTAAGAGACCACTATTGTAAATGTTCTCTCCCGAGTCTTAATGAGCAATTTCTATGTGTTTAAGTGAGAGGCAAAACATTTACTATAGCGGTTCATAAATCACATGGTTATACTTGATTATCAAATAACAGTGCATAAAATACAAACCAAAATATGTTTAAAATCTTTGTCACTCTTTCTTCGCAGTTTAGCTTAATAATTAAATGAAGTTTAACGACACTAAAATTAGGTTTAACTGTACTTAAAAGTTGAGTTAAACCGTTGGGAAAGACCAATATAATAAACACAAAAATGTCTCACCATTGAAAGACCAAATATGTGCAGGTAACGAATGTGCTGAGTAAACTCGTCCAAGACTTATATTAGCCATAACTGTGGGACTGTCCATGTTTTGATCGTCGTTTGAGCTACTGTCGGCTTCGAGCACGTCGGTGATGTCGAATCGCGAGCCTGTCGAGTTACTATTGTCATCGTGGCCATCGGGCACGCTGGACAACGACCTGGCGCGTTGCCTGTCGTTAGCCACGACACTAGGCAATGAACGTAATATACTAAACCCAGCGTTGCCGGCGGTCTGCATGGAGTCCGGACCGCTGCCCGTTGAGAACGACCGGTCCGCATGACTACCACCGCTGTCATCGCCGTTGGCCGTGCTGGCCTTTGCTCCCATCTCGCATGCAACAAACTTATTTAGCACTGGTCTAAAACTAAAAAGCAGAGAACAATTTGTGTACTATAAAAGAACCGAATGTTCAGCGCGGACATCCATCACACGTCTTGACATTGATTAACGAAACTCGACGATGGAAAAACTAACGGCGGAGAACGCTTGCGGTTCGCTTAAAATAACACTCAAAAAAGACACACGGTCGTCTCGTACTAAGAAATTCTAATGAGAAAAAAATAAATTATTAACGACAGACGATACGACGACTCTTTTTGTTCTGGTTTTTTAGTTATTGTCGCAGTTACGAATTGGTAGTTCTGATAATAATGATAACGTAACATGGTCAACTGGTATAGGAAAAATAATGCAGATATAATGGCGGCGAGGGAAGGGATTTCCCGATCAGCTGTTCCCTGACGTAATGATATTATCACATTTAAAATAATAATATTATATTGTATGTAATAATAAAAATGTATAATGTACAAAAATGTACAATTTGATACGTCTTGTAGAGATGATACCCTTTGATGTAATTCGTGTATTTATTTAAAAGCACATATTATGGAAAAAAATGCATCGTGACGTGTTGAGGCGGTCGATACGTTTTAATTTTACACATTTATTGTGCCAAATTTTACCATTCTTTACCTTCACAGTAATCGATAAGCTCTGTCTCATGTGATAACTTATTGTTATTGTATGTTTCGTGGAAATCGAAACATTTGATATTGCTAATTGCACTATTCAAAAACATATCAATATGCTTCTGCGAAACTGTATTAGATTTCTATAGCGCCTACTAAACTACAATATATTATGGACTTGTAATAATATATATCGGCACGCTACACGTGCATCTAAACGCTTTGGATGTTGGACTGATTCCAACCATTATATTGTTATCATACCAAAAAAAGATACTCAAAACTAATTAGGATACAAAATACTAGATTTTATACATTAGTTACAATGTAGACAATGTTATATTATTATACTGCCGTTAAACAGGAAAAAGTAAAAGATTATGTATTAGGTATATTATTTTTACTTTATGAGTAGGTACTAGGTATTACTTAGAGGTATATTAAATAGAAATAAAATAAAAACAATTGGTGAAAAACGCAACGAATAAAAAGATGTTATTATACATGTATTTTTAGGCCTAAAAAAGCTTAATATCTAACTTTTTGTAAATGTACGTAATTATTTCGCTTTAAAGTTTTTATATCCCGTAAGGGGCTCGATATGGAATTGTTTTAAAAAAATTCTTCTTAACTGTTCCAATTTTAATTTTTTACACGACTAGAAGAGTTAATTTAAATTTGTTCATTAAATCCATATTATTTAGTATTCTAACGCTGTGTCTGGACAAGGTACACGAGACATCAAGAGATAATTAGTTATCTCTAATTAAATAGATACATAATATAGTTTGTTACAACCGACAAAAACAAGCTACATCAAAAATCAATTAATCAATGGCATTTATCAAAAACCTACATACCACTTGAGAAGTAATAACTTTTCTTTTTTTTAAATTAAGATATTGAAAATATAAAATTATTTATAATAGATATCTTATTTTAAGAGCACCTTTTGGTTAAGAAATTTAAAATTTAAAAAATGTAATTTTGTCCAATTTAATGGTTTAGGTAGGCAAATACCAAAACCATTGATTTTAGAATAATTATTACAAAGTGTAAAATAGTATTACAATTTATAAAATATAATAATTTTAGTCATTTACAAGGATAAAAGTTTGATCTTTGTTCTGTACCTTACAAGCCGTTTTTTCACTCTATATTTTAGTAGCATTAATGCAAAACTGATTTTGTATATTTTTTATACTATTTTTCAGTCATTCGATCCAACTCCATTAGTATGGAATTCATACACATGAAAATGTACATAAGTATTTATTATTCAGAAGTACATATTTATTGATGATTGCTCATATCAGTTTATGTTATAACAATAATTCAGACAATGTTCATTACAGAATAATTATACGTATCATAATTCGTAAAATTATGGTGGGCACTCATTAACAAATTAAGTATTAATGCAGTCGTATAATTCAAAATATTTAAGAAACTTGAAATATGTACTCTATATTAAAACCTTGTAACTCGAATGTACTTTTTTTGTTATCATTAAATAACAAGGAACAAGGAACTAGGAAGGTTGTAGGATAAAGAACAATGAAATAACTGAAAAACAATAATATAATGATAATATATAATAATGGACATTATTATACTTGTTTAAGGTTTATTTCAATATTGTAAACTATATTTACAAAATACCAAAATAAGTAGGTATATAATTAACTATTAAATAAAATATGTAGTCTTCGAAGAAATGAATAAATAAAAATTAAAGCGACTAAAAAAAAACCACAAGTCTAAAATAATTTCAGTAAACGTTAAAATATGTTTTGTTCAAGATCTATATTTTTAAGTATTATAGTCCTAATGAATATTTTGTAAATATGTTTGTAGTATCACACAATTACCTCTTTTGTAAAGCTCCTGTGAACAAATAAGTTTTAAAAAGTAAGTAATGAGTATAACGAAGTATTTGTTGCAAACAGTGGCAAATCCAGAAGGCATAATTTATGGGTTAGAGCCTCTTCCAAAATTAAGGTATTAAAAATATCACTCTTTTTATAAATAAAAAAAACCAAAAAAAATAAAAAATGTATTTTCTTGGTTTTTTTTTTTGGTACTTGAAAGTATTACAGGCTAAGCCACTGCTTACACACACACATTTTAGATAAAATTATTTTATTCATGTTTAAAAATAGTATGAAAAAATAATGTAAAAAATAAAAATAATCTTACCTAATAAAAAAAATCTTAACCACATTTATGATTTGCTGTTTTTGACATTAAAAAATTAGCGACATTCCTTAGATTTTGACAGACGTGTTAAAAAGATCCAACCATTTCTCATTGTTGTTAATACCCATTCTCCAATACTGAAATAAAACAATTAATGAATTAATTATTATTACGCAAACAACTTTAGAAGTTACCAATTATGAACTTACATGACTTAACCTGAAATTCCACAGATAAAATAGCACAGAGTTGTTTTGTTTGTCCTTGGTCGATTTCGATTTCTTGAATGAAGAAATGTGAGTATTCTATATTATATCACATATGCCAGTGCAAAAGATCATACTACAATGGATTATTTAGATTGGATTTTTTTAAGGAAAACAATTTAGTAAAATAACAATTAGTCGTGTGTAGATCACACACAAAACAATTGCCGCAAGCACGCCCCCAATAGTCGATAGGATCCAATATTTTTGTAGTGATGTCATTTTTTTTCTTCCACGTCGCAAGCAACAGTTTTCGTAATTCTCCGCAGACCAAACCCAGCAAAACTTTACTTACCTAACACTTGGTTAATTTCAGTATGAACAACCAAATGTCATTAGGTTTGGACAATACGTTTGTTTCTTGGACGCAAGTTTTTTATATTCAACTTTTGATATCCATTTGTTTTCCGAGCGATGATGCCAGTTAGCACTACTAACCCGTGTTACAATAGAACCCAAAATGGCAATACAAGTCGGCCAATTATGTTTGAGATAAAAGAAATGTATGGCCAATAAAAACGATGAACTTATATTCAACCGCATTTGACCCAAATACAGCATAAAACGTTTTTATGGGGAGCGAAACATTGTTGTCCAAAAATAAGGCGGCAAACCTCATCAGACAATGTAGCTGTTATTGTGAAGGATTGTTTCAAAAATACACAAGTGCCAATATCTTTTCAACAGATATACTTAAATATTTTTGGCCCATATAACTAATTATTGTAGAGATGTAGTCAGAATATGTATATAGAAGTAGAATTTCAAATATTTTGGCCCGTTGTGGTTATTTTCTATGAAGACAAATCAACGAAGACTTGTTATTTACAAATAATGTGTGCTTATGTAGGTATGAACGAAACTATTCTGAAAGTCAAGCTTCGGTCGTACCGCAGCTTGCTTTGCAGTCGATGTTCTCGTTATCAGTGCAGAAAACAGCCCCTGCGGCCTTAAGAAAATCTACGCAATCCTCGCGCTTATTGAAAGCCATTTGATCTTGAACTGTCGAAATTGGTATAGTTGGACGGTAACTGTTTATCACAACAAAATGTGTGGTTTATAAAACAATAAATACATAGGTATATAAAATAGTAGTCAAAATTTAACTAATGACATCAAATTTTTCATCTGGCCTATCAAATACAATAAAGTTGATTCATAAGTTATAAATTAAATAATGAAAAAAATTAACAGCTTACTTCCACTGAAATATTATTACTTCAAATTAAAAAATTTTAACTATTGATAACCATTTTATAAATTTAGATAAAGAAAAAACCTATAAGACGTAAATATAATTATAATTTAGAAAAAACTTAAGCAACTTATGTTTAGATATAATAAAATAACATTTAAAACCCTTATACATGACAACATTGTTGCCGAAATACGTCGTATATGTGGAGAGTATATAATTTTTAATGGTTAAGGGTTTTAAATATTAATTTATTTTTATAATTATAATTAAATGAGAAATAAAATGTTAATTTAAAATTTATAAAAAAAAAAATTGTGATTGCACATTTAAATATTACTTAAGTTAAATACCTGTTATAGTGTAATTATAATAATGTGTGTCCTGAAAAATGATTAGTTAATTAATTGATAAATTGTTTTATATACATACGATTTGGCAATAGCCAAATAGAAGTTATTGCGTTCCCGAGTTAGGAACATGTCCATCAAGTAAGACGCCATTTTCGGTGCTGTTTTGTACAAAGAAAACAGCTCAACGTGGTTACCCAGCCACCATGCTTTTTTGGTTTTTATCGCAAAATCTATGCACTCATCGCTGATTTTAGATTCTTTAATTGTTAAAAGTACATCATTCAATTCTGGAAGAACCCCAAAAATAATTAGGCCATCAAGAAAATTCCAAAAGAAAATTTTTATATAAATCTAATTAATCAAGCTTTACCACTTATTGCACGTGTATAAATGCAATACAGTACACTGTAGCATAGAAATTCATTACGATTCTTCTGTGCTGCTTGAATGTCTTTTAGCTCTTCGTACAAATCACACAATTGGGTTTGACATTGGTTAAATTCTCCCATATCACTTTTTTCTAGAGCTATCCTTGCATGAGTCTCGTACACGTCAACGGTAAAAGGATCTCTTATACCTTGAACCTATAAACAAAAAAGATTAAAACATCGACTTGGATAATACAGATTTGGAAACTCAAATGCTCCAACACAATAATTGATAATTTAAATTGGAAACCAAAATTTCAAACTTACGGTTAAATCTTGTCGTATAGATTTCAGTTGATCACAAGTGTAATGGTAATCGGCATTATTCAACCATTTTGATTTGACAAGGTGTAATGATTTAACTAACACTTTTAAAGGTCTCACAGCATCAGCATCTGGTGCCTGTAAAATAAATTGTTATTTACAGAAATTTAGGTATATGTCAAAATATAAATATTACGTTTTACATTACATCAAACCTAGGATTTTTTTTTTATAACAAACAATTAACTGCAATACACTTTATTTAGCAGATCAAATAATTTTATATTTAAAATAACTTTGTGCTTATTATGTCAAATAACCTGTAATTTTAAATAACCAATTTTGTTTTTTAATTATCTAAACTTTAATTAAAATAATTAAACTTCAATGTTTGTTCAGATAAAAGTATATAAATACAATTTTATTTATTATTTGAATTCTTATTTAAAATACATTATTATTTAAAAAAAAAAATTAAAATTTGAATTCAAATATTGTCCAGGTTTCTCATAACACGCACAAAATTCTAATTATAATAATTAAGGTTGAATGAATTTATTTAAGTGGAACTAAATAAATCCCTAAATAAATGTATATTTTATAAATAGCAAGTGTTTTACTACAAACATATTTATTTAGACAAAAAGTTTGTTTTGCATAAAACGACATTAATTTATCTTTTTCTACAATATAACCAGCTTAAAAAAATAAAGCATTATATTACGACAAAAATTAAACATTCATTTTTTTTTTTTTAATTTAAAATTAATATTCATTAATCAAGTAATGTCTAATATTTACTGTATTTTCATGTACTTGTTAATGTAAATTATCAATAGAATCTCAATGTAGATGCTTAGAAAAACCGTAGAAATAGATGCTTATTTTTTTCATTACTTAGAAGAATAAAATTAATGTAAATATGTAATATCAAAGACAAATTACCGCAGTCAATCGTAAGTATATTTTTTCTAAATCTGTGCAAGTTCCAACAATATGACAAGAATCAATTCGAAATTCGTCATCATCTATGGGCCACGTCTTTTGAGTGTTATATTCCGATTTGGCTAAATGACGTTGCTTCTTTTTCGGACTGTTTTGCGATTGAAATCTGGCTGCACGTTTGTTAAGCAAATTTTTATCACAACTGATTTTGTTATCAATAGAACCGTATTGTTGATATATATGAGCGTCTTCATTATAAAGTCTTAAACATAAGATAAACAATTACATTTTTAGAACTCATTGACTTGTGTCGCAATACAATATATTTGACCTATTACTCACTTTTTTTTTTTATTATTTTTCTTTTTATTATTGTTTTCGTTGTTATTCATACTTAACGGTATAAAATCATCACTGTTTTGTCTCTTATTTTCTCGTAAAGGACTACTATTTTTGATAGTTTCGATACTAGACCTAAAATGAAAATAATTTATTTGAATATTTTTAATCACTTAATAGATGAAAATGTCAAGTGCGTTGGCAGAAGTCTCTAAATATTATTATTAATCAGACCAATAATTTAATAACAATATTAATGTACCAGTATCAAAACTTATTATAAAACTAATGTCCAACGACATATATCTAACAAGTATGATTGTATAGATAAATTAAAATAGTTACTTACTCATTATTAACATTATTCGTGTTATTTGTTAAACTCGATTTGTACTTTGATGTAAAATAGCAGTTTACAAAATTGTTTGCTGATTTTTTGAACTGCATTTTAATTATAGAACTTTTATTCTTACCATTTTCCTGATTCTGATTTACAATAATATTTTCACTTAACAACCTAAATCCAATGTATTTATTAACATTCAATAATATTATTTGCATTTTATAATATAAAATATTAATCAAATAATAAATATATATTTACATGGGCATTGGTTCTTGTGACCAATCTTTGATCCATAATGAACCATCATGATTGGAGTTAGTAATTTTTCCTTTTAAAATAATATCCATTCGATCTCGATCCAATTTGTTGACACATTTGTCTTGGCATTTTTGGATAAATTCTCTAAAAACAATAAATGTTTTGATTAAGTTAATACAATATAATAAACTTAAATAAACGTTTCATTTGTGTAAATTACTTCAGACTGTCAGGACAATTGTCAGGCAAATCGAAACCGTTTGGTTTCTTAATGGGCATTGCTACAGGAACTGGAGGAGGTTTAGACGATGGAAGTGGTGGATTAACAGGTACTATAGGAGTGAATGGGTACGAACAATTTTTTATTACTGGAGGTTTCGGAGCTGGAGGTGGATTATTAGGAATAGGAGGAATATAAGAGATAGGGTGAAAAATGGGAGTATTATTAATCGTAGACTGATTGTTGGCGGCCATAAGTTCCATTATACTGCGTTGTTTTTTTCTCCACTTCTTTCGACCACTTTTAGATTGAGGCATCGGCGTCATATTAAAATTTGACGCTGGTACAACATTTGGTTGCGATGCTATAACAGACACAATACAATTATTAAAGCATTACAAAGTGTTATTTACATAGTATTATTTTTGTGTAAGCCAATATATTAAGAAAAAACTATACGTACGTAGTGGCACATCACTAATTCTTGGAGCTGGAGGAGGAGAACCCGGAGGTAATGGTGGTAGTTTATCGATGTCATTCATATCAAACTGAGATACAGATGACTGAGATGGCGCTGGTTCGCTAGGTAACGGTGGTGGGTTATCGGTAGTATTATTTTGTTTTCCAACACTCGAAGCCTCCAAAGTACCTTAAAAATATATTGAATATTATTAAAAATAAAATATTCATTTTTTTTTTTTTTAATGTACATTTAATACTTTGCAAATAAGAAATTAAGAAACCATAATAGTGTTATTACCTCCACTGACAAAACCTTTGAAATTGTAACCTAACGATTGACTTGGAAAATTTTGATATCCTTGCTAAAAAGTTAATACAAAAACCATACCATTATTATTCATAAGAATAAAACAACATATTAAATAAGTGTACAATTTACCTGGTTATATAATTGTGAATAATATGCGTTCATGTTATACATTTGTTGTGAAGAGTTAAAGCTAAAAAAAATTAAAAATGTGATTAAAACCATGACATTAAAACATTAAAAATAATGTAATAAAAGAAGAGATACATTGAAATTAATTCTTCTCAATTGTAATATTCAGTCTTCTTTAGTAAAGTGTAAATTAAAATCAATTTATACAACGAGATTATATTTTGTATTATTTGTAATATTATAAATTAACTTTACGGATCAAGATTTTTATTACCTTCCATAATTTGTCCAATTCATTTGCTGCCAATTTGGATAAGTGGTTTCAGTGCTACTGGAAATACCACTTGTCTGATTTTTGTCTTGTTCACTCATTTCTAAAAAAAAAAAAAATTAATGCATTATAATAATTGTTTAATATAAAGATAATTTCCCTATTTGGAACCAAATGTATGCACAAAAAAAGCCCTTTGTATATCCTAGACATTTTAAGAAAGTTCTTTGTCAAATGGTGGTGACCTGTTTCCAACCCGCAACATTGTCATAGTTCGGCACTGCGTATTGTGCATACAGATACGACCTAGGCGGCGACTGACGAGTTTTGGTTCACCGCGCAGGTACCTTCTTAAGCGTATGGAGTATAATTTGTTTTTTTACATTATTTATTCATATTGTTCAAATAGTAAAGCAATATTTTTAAAATAATGAAATTATGAAGTGTAAGTCAAATACTTCTCGTTAAATATGATTATATTTTTATTACAGTTTACGCTATTATTATTATTATTATTGCCTTTTAATGACTAATAAACAAATATATGTTTAATTCATTTCAAACAATTTTATAGGTACAATAAAATATTTAAATAATAACAATTGACATTTTGTCAACATTGTATAATGTTAAAATAATCATCAAATTTGGATAAATACACAAATTAAACAATTTGCTTTAGTTTGTAATAATTATTACATCGCTAGTTTATGTACTTAGCTGTTATTTTTTATTATATATTTAATTAATAAATATTTTGCAACTTTTCGCAGACCAAACTATATAAGGTCAGACTGAACAGACTGCGATGAACATTTCTTTTATACTAATTATAATATCAACTTGGCTGATATGAAAAAAACAAACAATTTGTCATTATTCTTGGAGTACGACATTACAGAATTAAAAGAATTATGAAAATAGAATAAAAATAAATTAATAGGAAAATCTTGAAATCAAACACAAGGTTAACAAACAATTATTTTGTATAATTGTACAACCTATATCATATTCTGGGTCAAGTAGCAGAGGGACCATTATCCACAGTAAATTGAATATTAAGCCGACCAGGAGATGGTCTAATACAAATAACATTCAGTGGCCATAATTTATGAAGACTTATTTGATCGACATACGAACCTGACGTGTTTTTGGCGATGAAAAACAACACACGATGATTACCACTTGGAACTAAAACATAATATTATTATAACGCGTTATACGGATCAAAAATCGAGCGAGTACAGTTCAAAATAAAAACATTCCACAGTTGTGTATTGTGTAATAGTAACAAAATATAAGAATTCCGACAGAGTCGAGAGAAAACTTGAGAAGAAATTCCTAATTCGCACAGAAAAACAACAATAGAAATTATAAAATTGAAATAAAAATAGTCAAGTGACAACGAGCAATGATGACTTTCCAGTAAATGCGCACATGGTGGGGGGGCCGTTAGCCCGTTACAGCCTGTAAAAACACAGCCGTGGGACGAGGTCGGACGAAAACGGCAACGTTGTAGGCAAAAGTAAAAAAACATCACCAATATATTGATCGACAGCGTTGCCGCGGTTTTCGACTACGGGTACCCAACATAATCGCGGTAACCGGTTACCGGGATACTCTAGATACAACGTCGTTACCATGACAACACGGTCGGTATCACGCATGCTATCACGTACGTTACTGCCGGAAATTTCGGGACTCGAAAGTACAACTTTGAAAGTCCTCGATGCTGTTTCCGACGCCGGGTAATCTGGAGGTAAAGTCTCTGACCATGCGTCCACACTCTACATTAACACAGACCACCGTCGCTTTGGACTTACTATGCTTGGGAAGAAGGTGTTCGTTGGACACGGCGGTAGACATACTCGAGTTCAAGAGTAATTCATTCCCAGTCAAAAGCGATCACAACTTTTTTACCACCTGTTTAACCGGCAAACCTCCAAAATGGTCTCGAGCGGACAGATGATCGAGAAGCTGGATAAATTTATTGAAGAGAATATGAGAGAACCAAAGCTGTGTAACACCGTACAATTCAGAAACGTAAGACGATTTAAAAAAAAAAAAATTATACAAGTTTTTACTTCATATTAATGTTTGTATATTATTATTATATTGTATAATTCGTAATTTGTGAACGTGTCACAATTATAAGTAACGATAGAAACATTATTATTAGAGAAATATTTACATAGGATGTGTACGATAATTTTCATTTACTTGGAACAATTCTAGTTCATGGCCCAAATTTTAAAAAGTTGTACTCAATTGGTTTTCAAAGTATTTGATAATTAATCATAGGCAAAGATGAGCGTTAAAGCGGGATCCCATGGTTCGTGGCGCATGAAAAAAACATTGACAATTACCAGAAACGTACAAGACGAGCCGCGGCCCCTTACCGATTTCACGATGCCTTAGTTGTCCCAAGTTTATACCATGCCATGCACTACGAGCTGTTCAACGCGCCGTAGGATCTCTTCTTCATGTTAACGGTATTCAAAGCGCCGATGGCTAACCACAAACAAAAATATTGTGCTTGACCCACTGAATTTTGCTCATTAATTTGTAGAACGAATTAGAGGTAGTAGTAGACCTAAGAAATTAATAAGTATTTAAAGACTAAGATATGTGTAGAAATTTAGTTATTTTTTTACTATGTATTAAGTACTATTAATTAAGCTGCTTGTAAATAATTATAAAATATGTTTAAGTGAATTAAGAATGAATATTTGTATTTTATTGTACAAAAACCATTAATTGAACCATTTTTGTTTTTAGGGGCTTAAAGCACTTAACAATAACTTTTTAAAATTGCATTCTTCTTGTTTGAATAATGTGAACTATAAAATGCTCAAGATGTTAAAACTTATATTGAATATAATAAAATATATAGAAATATCGGATTCTATGGATCCTGTAAGTCAATTTAAACTCATATATATTAACTTATACTATGGTATTTTTTAAGGAATATAGTTTTTATTTATGAACAATAAGTTAATAGGTTAATTATAGAATTATCCAATTTTTGGGAATTTTTGGAATAATATTTAACAACTTAAGCCAGGTTCCCACGACTGGATTTTTGTTGTCATGATGTAGAAATTACGTACTCCTATAATTATTTGTCTGGCAAATAAAATAGTTGCAAAAACCCCAATTATATAGAGTATTTATCAATGAATTCCACATTAAAATAGCTTATTGACTCTTTAACACCAGTGGTGTTTTACTGTTCAGAATTTTTTTAACGTGTTAACAAATTGATTTAATATTATTTTCAACTATTCTTCTAGTTACACCGTACAGTATACATCGATTATATGCAATTGAGTTGTCTCGTAACACGCTTGAAATTTGTGATTCTCAAAGAATATCCTCAAGGAGTAGAGATTATTGGGATATCACTTAAAAATTATTCTATTGAGCAAAACATAGCAAGGAATTATCAATCAAAATTTAATGCATATATTTTAACAATAAACTATGACAAAGAAATATCTGACATCGTACAAGCTTTTGTAAGTATAATAATCTATTTTTGAATTCCTAATGATATTGTCATGTAACTAAGTAACCATAATATAACATGTTATTGTGCTTTTATTTTAGAGTATGTTCTTGATTAACTATATTTTATATTTGGAAATAATAAAAGAGAATGAACTTCTTAAACAAAATTTTAAACTGTTATTGGAAGTTGGTGATTCTAAACTACTCTTTGAAAATCTAGATGAGTATGTCATTATAATTCCGCCGGAATTACAATTAGATTTTATGCAAAAATTGGCATATAATTTGAACGAAGTCGGCTATGATTTTAATATTTGTAAATTCTTCATGACCCCCGACAAAGATACCAGGTAAATATATAAAATTTAATTATTATTTAATTAGCATGTTTTGTAATATCAATATTTTTTTTTATACACAGATCAGAAGCTTGTAGTTTGACCTACTACACTTTAAAACATATGTTGAAGTCATTCCCACACGAAAATTGGAGACAAACATCAAATATTTTTGATCATTTTCCCATTAAAAGTATCCTTTCTGTACTTGAATCAGAATCGACCATTGATAATTTATGCGGAGAAGCAGTCGAATTATTTATTTTTCCAAAATATTACAAGCCTTTAGATATTATGCCTTTGGAAACGTTTGACCAAAAAATAAACAAGTGTGTTATTAGAAATAACTTCTAAAAGAATTCCCATTTACGAGATTATTTTTAATTATAGGTATATTGATGTTCTCAAATCTTTAGCAAGTACAAGTGGCGATCATGAATTTCACAACTACAGATGTCCATTTGCATTGATTTTGCTGTCGGTGTTGTATGATTTTGTAGTTAATTCGGATTTACCATTTTCCTCTTTTGTTCCATTAATACAGCTTATAATCGGTAAATATTTATCAATTGCTTAGTTGCGTTGTGAATATTTGTATTCAAGTTAGCTAGTCAGGAAAGGATCAAACCCAGATCAATCACAGATTCACTAATTATAATGTTATTCAGGACTACATTCCTAAATAATATCATATATTTTCGTGTTATAACAATAGTAAGTGATGCTTTAGAGTACACTTGCTCTTTTGTACCAGTCCTTGCTACAAGTCCAGACACAAAAAAATAGGAGAAAATGTTAAAATGTAACAATAATACCTTCTCCTTTGCACATAAAAGCTAAAATAATAATTCTATAATCATAATTAAACTAGAACCCCTATAGAGTTTGATGGTCTAGCATATCAAAGGTACAGAAATATTGACCGTAAATTAGATTCTACTATTCTTTTATTTTATACATGAAGATATCCCTTTAACAATACATTTTCTAACTGTCTACTGTATTATAATATATTTTGTACCTCTTGTTTACTTGATTTTAGACTATTTGAAAACTTGCAAACTCCCGCCTAACTTAAAAGCAGCAACTATTGTATTTGAAGTTTACCAAAGAGCAAAATGTAGGGATGAGTTCCTGGTGTTGGTGAAACCGTTGTGCAGAGCCATTTCAAAAAGTTTTGAGCCCCACACTGTCCCGGATCTTTTAGAAGTACTTGACGTGGATAACAGAATGTCAGACAGATTGATTATTACAGCAAATTTCTTATACGATCGATCGGTAAGTCACTCTTTAAAAACTAGTATATTATAGATTTGTCTCCAATGATTTAAATCACTAAGTCCGATTTGCGAATGTTAATAACCAATTAGTCACTTTGGATGTTTTTTGTGTTCATTTTTCATTTTAGGGCAATAGTATGATAAAAAACGCAGATTTGCAGCCTTTTCTTTATACGCTCAACGAAAAAGTAATATACCTCACCCATCAGTGGTTTGCAAATAAACTGTGGATTCTGCCATATAGTATATCTCTTCACATTTCACTGTTGACGGGCGATGAAGATCGTGTGAATAATAATTTGGCGGTCCTCGGCAGTTATCTCTTTATTATAGTAAATTGCTTTAAAACTATTTATTTTTTAAAACCCAACTAATTTGTTATAACATTTGCACCCTACGTTATATGGTAATTGATGTTGGGCAATATTAAAATTTAATAATAAACAATTTTTCAAAACATTTTTTATTTTGACAAATCTTATTTACGATTAACACTATTAATCAGTGCTCAAATTGAAGACGGAGTAAGTACCCCAACTATTTTCATAGAAACTTTGGCGTATTTTTTAAGTGGTGGTTTTTTAAGGGTAAAAAAAAAGCTAGATACATTTTTTTTTTAAACAAAAATGCTCCTACTTTTATTTTTAAAATTTGAGCACTGCTATTAACCGTAACTTGATAAGTAATAGATAATCTGATTATATATTATTTATAGAAGATATATTGTCTTAAATAATAAAAAACAACTTCTTTAATCCAAGACTTGAGGCTGCTGTTTCAAGGTCAAGCAATTTTTTTAATGCAGGCAAATAAAGAATTAACAACAAAATAGAAAAATGTTTGAATATCTAAATTTTTTGATTGAACATTAAATAACTATGTCATAAGTTTGTTATGTCGAATGACAAAATGTGATTTAATAAAAGATAATTATTTTATTTAATGCTTCATACGAGTAAACAAATTTTCAAATAATGTTGAAATCTGATGGTAGTTTTGTGTTTGTGTTTTTCGAAAACAACTCTTTTTGTTTTATAGCTCGATAGCAATCAAGTCATTGACCTAGATGATAAAAATTATTTTTTGATTAAATTGATTATGCATTACACCAAAATCACTGGATTAATACCTAATGACTTTTTATTGATTTGCTGGAAAAATGTTCTGACACCTAAAAATTTGGGCATCAAAGCGGCCAAAATGATTATATCGTTGTGTCCTACTAAAAAATTTAAAGTGATCTTACGGTTGTTAAAGCATGAAACTGTAAGTTTTTCTATATTACGTGAATTCTATCATTTATATTTTTGTATCTGATCTAAAAACTGTTTTTACTTTTTTAGATGAGAGTTATTGATCTACAAGACGGCTCGACAGATAACAATTATTATTTAATTTTAATTAAATTGTGGTACTGTTTGTTGAACAAGCCATGTTCACATAACCATGTCAAAAGAAGTGTTCTCAGAACTTCTGCGTACAATTTTGTTTTTGCCTTGCGCAGTAAATATAAATTCAAGAAGAAAAATTTACCAACAGTAGAGTTGATATTTTTGATGAAACTGCTTAGTTTAATGCTGAAAATACTTTGGGTAAGATTTAGTATATGTTTTTTTCGTCATAATTATTAAAGCATCAATATGTGCTGAGATTATATTTTTGTGGTAGATGAACAGTGATGATGTCATAAATTGTTCGTTGCAAGTAATTACTTACGTTGAACACGGTTCACACATAACAGAAAATGTTTTAACAGAAACAACTAAACTACTAATCAACGTGTACAAATGTCCAGTAAATGCAATAAAAATGTATTTGGGTATTTTTATGATCTCATTTTCTAAAATGTTGAAAAAATGTTGGGCTTTTGCAATGGAAAAAGAAAGGCTCGGTATTCTTCATGACGATGACAATAATTTACTAAAACCGTTCTATAAACTTGAAAAGTAAACTTTTTAATAATTGTTCATTAAATAAATTTTCATGAAAAAAATTTGGCTAAATTCTTATTAGATGTTCGAGTTTGTTTAAAGATAACGCACAATATTTTGAAAACGCAAGTCAGTATTTAGATTGTCATTTGATGCACTTCATGTTAAACTTTAATTTACCTCAAAAATTTAAGGTAATGTATATTTAAACACTTTACATAATTGTGTTTTTTTCCTTATTTGTTTTTTAATTCTAACTAATTTCTCTTACAGGAATGTTACTACAACATTATTTATAATTTAATGGATCTATGTTCTGATGCTAAAATTAAAGAAATGTTAGTCTGTGTAGATGAACTTGAACATCATGTATGGTTTACAGCTGTCTACAACAATTACAAAAATAACAGATTTATTGGAGTGTAAGATTTAGAAACACGTCCTTAATTACTATTAATCATTTTGTATTTCCATAACTATTTCTTAACAGTATTAATATATATTAATTATACAGTCATATAGTTCTTGCGTTTGGTAAGATAGTTTGTATTTTTAAACGCTGCGTGTCATTTTTGAACTAATTCAATTTAAACTAATCAATTTTGAAAACTAATAAATGATGTTTGATGTATAAAATTAATTTAAGAAATATAATTAATACTTAGTGAATTAACAACTATTATTATTATTAAACTGTTATCTATAACTATTGTCCTTTAATATATATAACTATATACTATTACTACTTATAATGTACCTATTTATTATAAATTACTAAAATAAATTCTTGTTATTCTATTCTCTTTTTATCTAGTCGTCATATTTAGGATAAGCAGTGTTTATTCACGAAAAATAATTGTTTTATTTTATTATAAAATTTACAAACAAGTAATAATATTATTCTAGAAATTACTTAAGCAATACATGTGCTTATATAATATTATAAATAAATATTTAAATAAACCCTTTACCACAAAAATAATTCTCTATAGAGTACAAGGCTATTAGATTTTTAATAACCTTGAATAGAGTATATGTATTTCGGCAGCAATGTTACCATCATAAGTGCATACAACAGACTCAGTCTGTTGACAGTCAACAGACAGATTAGGTTAGGTGTAAGTATCAGTATTAGATTAAGATCATAGGGTTATAATAGAATGATGGACAAAAACATCAAACAACACAAACGAAAAATATTTTTTAAATAATTTACTACACTCAATTTTTCAAATTTACTTTCTGAATAATTTTTAAACTATTTCGTTAGATTATTAATAACTTATACAATTTTTTAAAAAACTAATTCATAACTAATCTATTATCCGATCGATTTTAATATAATTTTGTCAGTTGGTCGAAAAAATGAATGACATTTTATTTTTATGAATTGTTTTCCAACTTACATTTCTATTGATTTTTAAATTATTTTTTTCAGTTTTTTATAAAAATAAACAAATGTAAAGTTTGTAGGCAATTTTTATAAGTTTACCTTTTCCACTATAAAATACAGAAAAACTCCCAAAATATCTACGCATTATTCAACTTCTAACATGGTACGCTATAACTTTTTTTGTTGTTTTAAATAAATTTACCTGTTATGTGTTCGTTATAAATTATGTGTTCACTGTTATCTGTTTGGAAAGTCGTAGCAAAAATTAATTAAAAACAAATTTCTGAAGAAATCACTGAATTTTATATAGTCTTGTACGACGACCAAATATTATTATACTACATTTCATCTCAATCCCATTATTTTTCTCGATAGTTTTTTTCCCCCAATGTTAAGGTAAGAGTGAACTCCTCAAGGTACCAAATAGATAAAATTTATGATTTATAGAGTTGTTACTCAAAGAAATCTGTCCACTATAAAAAAAAAGTTACAGTGGGTAAAAACAAGCTCACATCATTGTACAACCAATAGCTTCTCAGCTATGTATTGAAGCTAAAATGAAATCAATCGTCTTGACTAGCGGTCAAGCACTGAAATTAGAAAGTCGAGGATTATTTTAGCACGTCAACAAGCATAACGGCAGACGTTGAGGAATGCAACACTAATTTCTTAATTTTTAAAATAAGAACATATAGATAAAATTGGTTTGGAAATAGTTTATTTACAACATATTTTTAAGTCGAGTTTTACATATATTACGTGACATTAATAAATGTAAGGTTATTAAAGATACATTTTTTTATAAATACGCATTATGCACTATATGTATAAGTTATAATAATTATTTTTTAATTTAAATAAAATCATAAAAATACTTAGTTTGTTTTTTTAACGAACATCTGCATCATCGAATTATTGCAATAAGTCAAAGTTTGTATGCGCACACAAAAAAAGGAGAAGGGGGTAACTGTAGGAACATATATTTATAATAACAAACGACAATAATAATAATTGTATCTCTCAACATTCAAATATGTACATCCTATAGTCTTCCGGCGAATCTAACGTTTGATCTGTAATCCTCATAAGTTCTCGATAAAACCATTAGACAAGGCCCTTTGACGGTGGCTAATAGTTGTGCCATCTCAAGTTGACTACATACATCCATTATATTATAAATAATGTTGAAGTAATATCTCTGTAAAATAAAAATGAATAGAAAATATGTAATATATATATTTTTTAACCTGCCGTTAGCCACACTATGGTCAAAACAGTGACATTTAGTCACACTGTCACTCGGTAAGAAATGTACGTAGGTCATACTTTATTTAAGTGTGACCAAAAGTCACACGACTAACGGAAGGTTAATACTATTTAATTTGAAATTTGAATACCAAAAATCTTGGAGATAAATGCTCATGCATGGTAAGGAGTTCTATTAAACTGCTGATTATGTGCTGACTAATATTTTCGAAATCTTGTTTGTTTGCTTTGAATAAACTTGAACACCTAAATCCAGTCAATACATTACAATTTTATTAATTACGCCAACTAATTAATAGAGTTTAATATACTTGTCAAGTTTGTGAAAAGGTCTGAGTAACTTTTTATCATTTGCGATTTCTGTAATATCTTTTTCTGTTATGAAAAACCAGCATTTTTTTACTACGTTAGCAAAAGTGACTAAATAAAGACCCAACGAGGGTTTTATACTATTGTTGGGACATTTGTACAAAACGATTAACAGTTCAGCAGTTTCTGTCAAAATATTTTCTGTAATTGTCGAACTTCTCTCGACAAAAGTAATTACACGCAACGAGCAATTTATTACTGTAGTTTTGTTTACCTATAAATATTAAATTATAATGCTTTACAAAATTAATTTGGAAAGAATGTTTATAAAACTATGTGATAAATCTTACCCAAAACACTTTAAGCATTAAAGAAAGTAGTTTTATTAAAAAAATCAACCGCTTTTGTGTCGGTACATTATTCAAACTAAATAGATATTTTTTGTTTAAGATTAAACAAAAATGGTTTACGGAGTCTCGGCGAACTTTCCTTTTTTTATTAAAATATTGCATGTTTAACAAACAGGACCAGAGTTCAAGTATAAACAGAAGATAACTGTCATCTATTGAAGAATCCTGTTTTTCCATAATCCTTATCTAAATAAAATATTAACTGTCATTACATCTGATAAAAAAAAAATATGTCATTAACAGTATTATAAAAAAAAAACCTACGGTTTCGTCCTTTAACGATTCTATGAACTTCATCAACATTTTATAGGAGAACAAATTTAAAAGTACTTTGGCTACTTTAATACCTAAATTTTGAGGAGTCAGTACACTTTTCAAACAATTTAATAAAAACGTTTTAGGCAAAAAATGAGAAATTTTGTCATAATGCAACAACAATTTGGTCAAAAAATACTTTTTATCGTCGATACTGATGACTTGATTGCTGTCAAACTAAAAATATATAAAAACCAAATAAAAAAAATTACTATTAAAATTAGAATAAAACAAATAATATATTATAATATTATAAAGTTGTTTACCAAAATAGAGAGATAATTGTCTAGGACACCTAAATTATTGTATAGACATTCTTCGTTATTGGTTAAAATCGAGAAGTGAAGTGATAAACTGTATGGTAATATCAATTGATTATTTGCAGTTGACTGTTGTGTGACGTGTATTGTTTTTTCATTCAGAGTGTAAAGTAAGGTGTTTATTATCGGGTCATGTTTCAAACTCACGTCCTAAAATAAAAATTAATTGTATTTTTGTCAAATATATTTAATAGTTGACACAATGAACTTACAGTTCTGTCACAGAAGAAATTTGAAGCGATAAATAACTTATCTGACAACTCTTCATCATCGCCAATGCCATTTAAAAGATCCTTAACGGTATTTGGTTCTATACATTGTGAGAGTACTCTGCATAATGATTTTACCAATTGGTTCATCTCGTTGTCAGACTTAACTTTATGGTAAATATCAAACGTATAACAAGCTGCTTTGAAATTCGACGGAAGTTTACAGGTTTTTAAATAATCTAAAAACAAATTCACGCACACAGTTTTAGTTATAACTCCAGAACAATATTTGTAACATAAGAGAAACATTGATATAAATTTACCAATTACAAGCAGTGTTAATCGAATTAGAACCGAATACTCCAAGTCAGAATTAATGGCAAAATCATATAACATAGAAAGCAAAACTAACGCAAACGGACATCTGTAGTTCCTTATAGCATGATCACCGTACGTATCATGTAATGATTGCAGAACACCGACAAAACTAAACATAATTAAAAAAAAAAAAAGCCCAATTAGGTACGTAAAAAAAAATTTGATTTATGAAAATTTGAATTACGTACGTGGTTATTTTACAATAACTATCGTTCAGAGTCATAACTTTTTTGTGCTTTTTAAAACTGAATAATTCAACAGCTTCCTTGCATAGATTGTCAAAATGAATTGTCCTCGAATCTGGAATTTCAGATTCAAATAGAGAAATTATGCATTCCAATGGAAACTTTTCGAAAATTTCCAACGTATGTTTCATATTTTTGTGTGGAAAATTACTAAAGACATTTTCTAACGTATAATATGTCATGATACATGTTTCAAATCTATTAACATAAAAAACAATGATTAGGAAAAATAGCTTTGAGTTATAAATTACATCTCTATCCAAGTCACATAATTTGGAATGATTATTTTCTCACTTGGTATCTCCGGTTATCGTCATAAAGAATTTACATTCATTCAAGTTATAACCAAATTCATTACAATACTTCGCCAATTTTTGCATATAAGCTACTTTTAGTTTAGCGGGTATTAAATGGTTGAAGTCATGCAGGTTATCCAAAATTAGTTTAGAATCGCCAACATCCAATAATAACTTCAAATTTTTTTTAAGAAGTTTTTTCTCATTTATATTTGACAAAAATATTATATAGTCCAATAAGAACTCGCACTGAAACAAAGTAAAAATATAGTATTATGTTTAATTTTATATTTTTGTTTTCAGAAATTAGAAAAAGAAAGGTATACTTACAAAAGTTTGTGTAATTTTACAAATGACAGAATAGTTATCTACACCAGTTTTAAAAAAATCAAGTTTTGATTTAATTGTATCACATATATACTGTTCGTTTGTATAATCCTGAATCGATTTATCACCATCACCAGTTTCGTTGATATCTTCCGAATAAATAACACATTTTAAATGCGATATTGTACAACTCAATTCCATATAAGCAAGAAAGGCTTTATGATTTAACTAGAAAAAAGTTTAAAATTATATAATGCACAATAATACGAGTATTAATAGAAAATAATTTTTTTTAATAAATAATTAAACTTAAACCATTAATAAGGTTTAATTTGATGATAACGTCTTAATTTTATGTATGATATAATCAGAAATGTTAATAGGCAATTTGTTTTCAAAAACTACAAGATAACTAACCCAACAATACAATTACAGAAAAAACATATTTTTTAATATATCACTATAAAATTAAAAAACCTTATTTAATAATGTTTTACTTACGGGTTCTATTAAATCTGATTTTTTAAAATACATCATTATATCTATTGCATATTTCAAAATTTTGACTGTAGATGAAACAGTATTAAAATAATTAGAAAAGCTTATTTCAAAATTCATCAAACCATCATTAATTGATCTTAAAGCCTGAAAAAAATTCAATGATTATTACTAAATTATCATCATAGGATTATTTTATGGTTAATCATATTAGATAAATTATTTAATGCTATTAATTTTGCAACCTAGGATAATATATTTCTACAGTAGTGTTATTATTAAAGATACTCCAGATAAAACACTTAAAAGTTACCTTTGAAAACAATATAAACTGTAAAAAAAGTAATTTTTATAGTTGTTATAAGCACCTAACGATTTTTTGTTTGCCATATAATAAGTGTTTTTAATTCTGATTATGAATCTGAAGTCAAAATTAGGCAGACTCCTCTAGTTGATAAGTTACTACAACTTGGAACTTTAAAAATATTATTGCGTGAAATTAACGCGGCCTTCCCCCCCCCCCCCAGGAAGCCGTGTCACATGTCCAGGAAAAAAAGGACCAAGAAGGGCAGGGGCTGCGTCGGCCGCTAGCTGTTGCCGCCGCACCTGAGCTTAATCGATTTTACTCCCCCCAGACCCGAATTTCGATTATTTTTTTTTAATCGATTTGTTTTTCAATGCTGAAAACACAATGGTGCAAAAAAAAATTGCAGAAACGCTTAGTTTTGAAGTTACATCTACTTGAACTTGGGGAAATTATTGTTGCGCGAGACGCCCGAAGCACCCGCGCCGTCACCACCATCATGCAGCATTTGACGACATAAATCACAATTGAAGAACACAATAGTTAGTGGGATTTTGTTGAGATTTTTTATTTCCCAAATAAAAGTGTTTTTTAAGCTAATTACGAATCCAAAGTCAGAATTAGGCGGACTCCAATAATTCAATAGCTGCCGACGCAACTAGGACCCCGCCCTTTGTGGTCCTTTTTTTTTACCAAGCACGTAACATGGTTTCCAGAGCCTGCATCCACGGCGGACCGCGGGCGTCGCGTCGTGGTCGCCTTGCGCAATGATAATTCTCCAAGTTCAAATACCTGTAACTTCAAAACTAAGCGTTCCGCAATTTTTTTTTTGCACCATCGTTTTCAGCTTTGAAAAACCAATCGGTTGAAAAAAAAATCGAACTTCGGGTCTAGTGTGGTAAGTCGATTTGTTCCCGAGCCTGACGCCTACTGTTAAATGAGGAAACTTCCAAAGTTCAAGTAGCTGTAACTTTAGAACTAGAGGAGTCCGCCTAATTCTGACTTTATATTCGTAATCAGCGTAAATAAACCTCATGTGGTAATAAAAAAAGGTGTCCAGTAAAGTACATTTATACTCAAATTTGAAAAGGCGAGATATACCATTTGTTTTTTATCAATGATAAATATTCTGTTTCATTAACAAAATATTACATAGTTTTAATAGTTTTTATCTACGTTTACAGGACTTATATTGAACAGTTCTACGATTTAATTTTGCGAATAAATTTAATTTAGGGGGTTCATAAATTGAAAATAAACATGTACAGATCAACGTAATATTTATTATAATACTATTGTCAATAGGTATCACTTCGTCTACTACATGAAATGTAATAAAAATAGTGTACTCACTTTTAGAAATTTATCATCATTGCACTGCGCTGGTTTAGCATTTTGTTTTTCAATGAAATTTTCGAGCATTTTCATCAACTCGATGCTTGATGTCATGTTTATTGTTGGCAGAATAATGATTACGGCGGAAAAAGTTATTTAATATTCAAGAAAAAAGATAGTTTAATATATTATGTATATATTATAATAAATAGCGCCAGTGATATATGGACATTATCACATTAACAAGTTTCAAAATTCAATATTCAAAAACGCATTTTCCACATGCACATGGTAGCGTAAACACTAAACGGTGCCCGCTAATAATAATCGTGTATAATATACCTTCTTTAATAATAATTATTGTTGTCTAATCTTTGATTTGTATTCTGTATTGACAAAACTCCCTTATCAGTCATCAAGGTATAGGTAACCAATACCGCTAAGTCGGTATCCGGTATAAGGCCAGCTGTAGCAACAACAGCTGCTGCTGACTTCTTATGCACTTATACTACCCAGTGGCCAGTACCCTGCTAAGTGCTAAGCAGAACTCTGAAGTATCGTAATTTGAAGAAAAAAAATTCTTAAAAACTTATTAAACCAAGTAAAAACCTTTTTACGGCACTTTTACTTAGGAGAGCAGTATTAATAGGTCTTTATTACTTTATCTATGTTTAGGTTTTTTATATGTACATGTGTATGCAGTATGTAGATAAATGATTATAGATCTATCGCCTAAGATCATTTACAATATTTGAATATGTAATAGACTACAGAGATATATTTATTTGTATGGGTCTATGGGTTATCGAATAACACAAGAGCATATAAACCAGAGCTTAGTTTAGGTATATTATGGCATAGAAGGTCGACAGTGGTTATGTGTACTAGGCCGGGGAGAATATGGAGCATGGCAGGATTTCATTGGAGCGAATAAGGGACAATTCGTTTAAATATTAATGTGCATGTTGTTCGCCGAGCTATACTTACTCAGAAATTTATTATTTTTCGCCCGTGATGTTTTTTTGGGGGGGGATCTCGCAAGGTATATACGTCATGTACTGATGTCGTATTCTTATTGAGTGAGTAAATTGCAGTAGCAGTAAATCAAGAATTTTGTTAGTGGTGCCCATAGAGTTAAAATATGTATAATGTCTGTAAAATAAACTTAATAGTATAATCAAAAATGGTATATATATATAAGTGGTATAAAGTCATATATTTTATATATCCTCCATATATATAAAGTGATTGTTTGTAATTTGTATATATATATACATTTAGAGATTTACTTGAAATTATCATTATCATTTATCAATCAATTGATAACAAAATTACAGTGATAACGATATTCGATGTACACATCACTACAAAATACTTGGACGAGTATGTCGGCTAAAGAAGTCGTATACTCGAAGTTAAGTAGTGATGTAAATACTAAATATTGATAGTTATTAGTTTAACGTTTGCAAGTTTTTGGTGCAAGTTATTTATGTTCGTGTTTTTCTAGTCATTCTGTCATGACGAGTGTATTTTTTTACCGTGTTAAATTATTTAATCAAAGTTCGTGGCCCTCAATTATAACTATTTTATAAAGAGGCGAGTTTTGTAATCGCAATGAGCTGGTTTAATCAGTTCGACACCTCTGGATTCGCTAGTTTAGCGAAAACAGCGTTGAAAGAAGCCCAAAAAACCATCGACAAAGCGTTGGATATCAAAGACGAAGATGATGGTGATGAAGCGTCTGCGACCAATCCACCATCAGAAGTGGGCGATAATGATTCTTCACAAAAAATATCCAAACTAGGTTCTAGTCTGTGGAGTTCATTTACAAACTCGGTATTCGAAAGTGAAGATGATCCTGCAGAGAAACAAAATGGTACGATAATTAATGGTCATATATATTATAATTTATAATTAATATGTTGTAATTAGAGTAGATAATTTGTATTATCTTTCTAAATTAGCAACCTAATGATCAATCTATACATCGATATATATTGTATAAAATATATCTTTGCCTAGCCGGAACCACTGAAGCTATGTGTATGAAATTTGGTCAGTAGTTACGTTTTATGATGTAGATACCCATTATGAAAGGATTTTCCAAAATTCGACTGTTAAGGGGGTAACAATGGAAAACGTTATTTTGTAGTCTAATTTTTTTTAATTCTGTGCATTTACTATAATAAGAATTGTGATAGTAATATTGTTTACTATAAAGACTGGGCGAAGCCAGATAACACAGCTAGTGAATATATAAAATCAATTGTATTGTTGTTAATTCTGTTTTGAAAAATATTGTGATTTTAAGATTTAAAAACGAGTACATAAAACATAATACTCATTTTTTTGAACGCCTAAAGTTAGGAAAGAAATGTTTCTGTGTGGAGACTTACATTCAGCTTGTAAGGCCATAAGTAGTTGTACAAAATCTACAGTATTATCTCTGCATAAGATTACCTTATAGATATTTTTATTTTAACTTCAATATATTTTATTCCTGTACTTAATCATCATCATAGAAGCTTAATGCCCCTTAAAGGCCCAACGCTGCCATCATGAGATGATGGTTTTCTAAATGAAATTACTGTCTAGAACGAGTCGTCAGTCCGTCACCGGAGAGGGAGATGACGGCTCTTTTTTATCAGACAATCTCCTGGCCAACCAACGAAGCATCCGTGACTGAGTGTTGAACCGGCGACAGTGAACGCCAAACACACTGACATCTTACCCACACAGCCTCCTCTTGCTGTACTTAATACAGAATTATTTATATAGTAATTTTTTATGTTTTAGAAATGAGATCAAGCATGTCATTGGATTTATCTTCAGTCGTCGCCAACCAACCAGCTCGCTCCTCTTCTGGACCAACATCGACCACACGAGATGATCAATTTAATGTCATCGAACTCGATTCTGAGCCAAATGTTGATGTTGTTCACAGAACTCGCCGTGAAAGTTGTAGCAATGCTAATCGCCTCTCTGCAGTAAGTTGTGATAGTGATCGAAAGTCTACAATTTCTACTGATAGTGTTGAAGTACTTGGATCTACTTCCACTACCACACCAGAATCATCCGTAGAAGTCATTACGTCCAGTTCAGTAGAAGTATTAGCTGTTGTATCCGAGCCAAACAGGTAATGATTTAGGTTCAAAAAAATGTTTTTTAAATAATTTATAATATATCAATCTATAAAAAATATATATATTTAGGACAAATGAAAAACAATATTCCCCCGATGCTATTGAACCAATACCAGAGCTAGTTGAAGATGAAGACAGCCTTACTTGTTCAATATCAGATAACGTAACGTGTATGCCTAACGAAGAGACTATTTTACCACATCATGCAGAAATGCTAATGCTTAAATCAACAACATCGTCATTAGACATTTCCTTAACTGATTTATCATCGCCTCATGAAGTAAAATAACAATTTTTTTTATAAATTTTGACTATTTTTGTTAATTATCTTTTCTGTTTTTAGAATTCTGGCGCATTAAATGTATTAGAAGAAGAAACTACAGAATCGATGAGCAATCAAAACACTCTACAACCTCAAGACACGTCTGTTAAAACAACAGACGATAAAACAAATACTCAAAGCCCTTCAAATACTTTGAATCTTAGTAGTTCAACGACTGATTTGTTGAAATTATCGGATACGACTTTAGAAAGTAGCAGTTGCGACGATGGTAATATTATCGCTTGATCAAATATAATTGCATAAATATACAAGTATTGGAACTCATTAATTGATTTGTTTGATTTTATTAGAAACTATGGTTGGTAGTGCATTAGATGAAGTGGAAACAGCAGGCTCTGGGGATGATGTACGTGAACAATCTCCTCATGTTTCTGTTGACAAGTAAAATCCTTTTGTAGCCATAATACAAATATTGTAAATAGACCACCAATAATGTGTAAATTATTATATTTTATTTTTGCAGCCACTCGGATTTTGTAAAAATTGGTTCGAGTGGAACTAATTCTTGTGATGAACTCGAAACATGGACGTCATCAGATATTGAAGTCATATCAAGTCCTGCGACTAACGAAGATAGTGAAAGTAACGCCTCGCATCGTCATAGTCCTGTTAAATACCAACCGTATAATTTATCGTCTTATGTATCAGGTTAAAATTACTACCTGTTTTTTAGCATGGAACATGTTTTATCATTTTAGCCGTTAGTCTTTAAGTAGACTGTAACTTTTTTTAAATTATTATTAACAAAATATTTATTTCCCAATTACAGGACACCAACAAGGGGCCAAAGATTTTGAAGATCTTCAAAAAGTATAAAAAAAAAAAAAGGTATAAGAATAATACAATATTAATATATTATATTTTGTTACTTTACAGAAAGTCGTTGAACTCAATTCCATAGTCAAAGCTAGAGAATCGAAATTAATTGATTTAAGTAAAAAAAATGCTGAATTAGCTGCTAGCAACTCTGATATGAAAAGGTGTGTACTTTTTTTAAAACAAAATAAATTTGTTTTTAATATTTTTTTGTTAAAATGGATTTTAATTTAAAATAAAGAATTGTATCTATTATTGTTCTCTTAGCCAAATAGATTATTTAAATTCGAGTCATTTAAACGAAGAATACACACAAAGATTAGCAACAATGGAAAAGAAATTTCAACAAGCGATTAGGGAGAAAGATCAGTTACAAAAACAACTAGATGTAAGCAATCCATATAGTTTATTCAATACAGAATACTGATTAACATGCAATTAAAATATTTTACAGCAAAACAAAAATTCCGCTCAATTTAAAAACTTGATCGAAGACAAAGATACTTTAATTAAAGAACTACGAGATGAAGGTGAAAAACTAAGTATACAACACCTAAATTTGAACAACATAATAAAAAAACTTAGAGCAGCCGAAAAAGAATCGCAAAAATCTATAAACAAGTACAAGTTAGTAATACCATTAATTACTACTATGCATAATCAATAGTATAACATGATATATATTTTTTCTATTTTGTCAGTTTTAATCGATGATTAAAATTTTGAAATTACTTTGGTTTTTAGAGAACAACAAGAAAAATCATTTCAGGAATTAGAAAGGATAAAAAAATCATTGGTAGCCAAAGAAGAAATGGAGAGAAGTCAAATTGAAGCGATTCATCAATTGACAAAGACTAACCAAAATGTTGAAAAAGAAAATATAAGTTTACAAAGTCAAGTAGATAATTTGACTTCAACACTTGTATCACTACAAAAGTAAGTGACATTCATAATTTATTTACATACATTCATTATATATTTTTTTTAATTGTCTAAAATAATAAATTACATTATTTTAAAAACTTTTTTATAGAAATATTCAGGATAAAGAAAATATAATAATAGAATTAAAAAAAAGTGCTAAAGAATTAAAACTTTTGGAAGACAATAAACAAAATGTAGAAGATAAGTTAGCCGAAAAAAATATACAATGTGAACAAATGGATACTGTAATAAGTAATTTAAAATCAAACTTGTATAAGATTGAAGAAAATAAACACATGTAAGACGATAATGGAATCTTTGAAATTTGTTTGGCTATATTTAATAAACAATTATTATTTTTAGGGTTATGAAAGAGTTAAAACAGGAAAATCTCTCGTTAATAAGAAGACTGGAAGAATCTGAAAGAAAGTTACAAAATTCATTACAAGAGACTTTTAGAACTACTCAACCGCTTGTAAAAGAACTAGAGGAAAAGTCAAACGTCTTAAAAGCATTAGAGAGTGATTTCGAAAAACGAGAACAGTTGCAGCTGAAAACTATAGGTATGCATTATTTTACTTGGATAGCTTACCAAGTATGGTTATTCAGTATTATGAAAAATAATTTCTAACTGTTATTTTAGGTGATTTGCAAGCGACATTGGAAATCTCCGAACATAAATTCAAAATGATGGACGCTAAAATTAATGAAGCCAATGTTTCTATTAAAAAGTACAAGGAACGAATCGAAAACCTAATAGGAAGTGAAAACTTTTTGAAGGCTGAAATTGATAAACTCAAGGAAGAAAGTAGAGTTTTAAATTTTAAATTGGACGGGTTAGTAAAAAAGAATATACTTTTATAAAAAAATTATTTTATAATATTATTATATAATATTTATAATATTTTTTTTTTAGATTTTCCAAATTAGAAAGTGAAGCTGCAAGTAACAGAAAACAATTGGCTGATGCTGCATTACGAATTCATACTCTTGAAAATGAATTAAAACTAGAAAAAGAAAAAAGTAGCTTAGAAGTTGAAAAAAGAAAAAAATTACAAGTAACAATGTTTTGTGTAAAATATATTACAGCGACAGCAGACAATAACGTATTTAAACAAATATATTTTTTAGAATGAAATTCAAGCTCAGCAACTAGTCACATCTCATGTTTCTCATCAGTCGTCTCCCAGTACTAGTGTCGGCGTTCCATCTATGGAAGAATCTTCCTTTTGGCCATCTGTAACTAATACATTTAATTTTGTTCTGTATAGTATTTACGTGCAAATAATAATTTAAATTTATTTAGTTTGCCGATGACGACAGGAGCTCAATAACTGAAAGAGCAGGCAGTGTTTACGATTCTATGAGACCATCGTTTAGCAATACAACGACAATTTTAGAAAATTTACAGTCTCAGATAAAGCTAAAAGAAGGTAAGAACAGTAGTTTAATTATTTTATTTTATTAACATGTTATATTAATAAAACTTTTTTAACAGGAGAAGCACAACAGCTGCAATGGGAGTTGTCCAGAAGAGATCATGAAAGGGATCAGTTGACGACGGAATTAGCTGCTTTAACTGTCAAAGTAGAAGAACAGTCAGCTTCACTGACGGAATTGTTAGACTTGCAAAAGAGGTACGATGCACTGTTACAGTTATATGGTGAAAAACTTGAGGAATGTGACGAGTTGAAATTAGATCTCCAAGATGTGAAAGACATGTATAAAGCACAGGTGAACAAATTTAAGTGATTCAGTTGCTGTTTCATTGCATTTTTTAATTAATCAAAAAATTCTTAATGTTTTTATAGATTGATGAACTGCTCAAAAGAGATAAAACCGGGTAATCTTTTACATATTACCAATAAAATGGTTCATCGTTATGAGCTAATATTATAAAAGGCTACTATAGTATTTATATTTCGGCTTTATTTGCAAGTTATAAAAAAAAAAGACAAATTTACTCAAAATACTACTATTATTATTATTCCAAATTATATTTACCACCTTGTCATTGTTTATTTTGTTATCTGTTGGTTATTATTTTATTGTAAAAATATTTTAAGATTTATTTGTTTGTTTAAGCGTACACATTTTTTTAGTGCAATTTACTCCTATTAATATTCTGTATGTTACAAAACTTATTTATAGTATTATATTGTATTATAATATATATCTGTGATAATAAAATATGTAATTTTATTTCACTAGTTATTTTGTTTGTGAAATTGGGCTTTGTTGTTAAAATTGTAAAGTATGACGAATCACAATAGTTTAAATTTAGTATTTCTGTTAAATAAAGCTAGCAGAAACTTAACAGAAAAGGTACATAAGGGATTATTTTGTTTTATTAAGTCTGTATTTGTTTTACAATTGTACTAGAATTTATGGAAGAATAGGAAAAAATAAAAATAAATAATACTCAAAATAAAATAAATCTATTTTTATTATTACATTTGAAAACAGTATAGGTAATACATTTCTTACTGTATTTTCACATCAATAATATTAAAGAGTAATGAAAAATTGTTACATGTATTGCATTTATAAAGAATTTTTTTTTTAAATGAGTTCATTGATATTTGACAAGTGTTAAATTTAGAATAAACGTAAACTTTTAGTATCTCTAAAAATTATGTGCTTTAGAGTAATTAATTTATAGAATTTCTTTTCCATAAGTCTTAGAATTGTTTTGTGGGGTAACATTATGTTTCGAACATTATTCTTATGATTAAAAAAATAATTAAGTATATAATTAATAATAAAAAGTTTTTGGAGTTTAAGGCTAGAAAAGTACAGTTCTTTTTAACTGGAAAATCTTTTCCAGCTCTTAACTCCAAACATTTTTTAACTGGAAAAATCAGACAGCAGACTCTGTATTGATGTTGGGAAACATTGAACGAACTCCATCACCACCACATCAACGTAACAACCAGAGTCGTGAACTAATGTTACTCATGTAATAGTAAGCAGTAGCCACCATAAAGAAAACTGAAAAAAAAAACAAGATAGAACTGTTATTTTGTGATAGTTAATATATTATATTCACAATAGATAAAACCTGTACAAATAAGTTTACAAATAGTAGATAAAAGTATTCTAATAAAAAAAAATCTTATTATAATTACGACTAAGAACGATTAAGTATACATTTTTAACTCAAAGTGAGGCTTACAACTTTTTACAATGAGACATATTATATAGAAAAGAAATAAAACATGACATTTCTCATATTATCATCACCAATTTTAGATTAAAAATAGAAATCATACTAGAGTTATAATGTTATATAATTTTTTATCAGTTGAATTATCATATTTAATTAATAATAATTATTTGAAAAACCTTTATAGCTTCACGTTGAAGCTGAAGAAATATTTGGTTTACATGTTATTTCAGTTTTAAAATAAAGTGTTAAGTTATCACTTACCACTTACAAATGTCATTATTTATTATAAATAACTTACCAAAGAACAAAAGTGAACCTATAGTCCAAACATCAATGCCTCTGCTATTTTCTTTCCTTTCTTCTTCTTTTTCAGCTAAATAAAAAAATAATAAATAAAAATTTTCATTGCGTTGCATATTTAGAAAGTGGAAAGTAGAAACTCACCTAGACTGTTAAATTCGACAATCCCTGATAAGGAATTATTGGTCAAGGTAGTAAAGTTGGCCAAATTTTCAATATTCTTTCCAATAATAGATGGTGTTGTCACGCTCATAATATTATTATCATATTTTTCTGATGTATGATTTTTTTTTGTTGTCTTTGATGTTTGATTCACAAGAAGACTCAAAGGAGTGGTTGATGAAGAAAAATTGTTATGAATGGTGTAGTTTAATGAATCTGTCTTGATTGTTGTTGCATTTTGAGAGTTTCTCCTAATCCGGTTTGACAAGTTGTTTTCTTTTTTAATGTTTAAGAGGATCAATGTATGATGTGGAAATTCCTCCGATTGAGACGAGGGGAAAAAACGTGGAAAAAAATCTGGCCCCATTTTATAAGTTCTGCTTACTAATTTAATGCTTTTGTTAGAAGTATCTAACTGTTTAGATAAGCAGTTAGAAGTATCTAACTGCTTTGATAAGTCATTAAATACACCATTGATATACCACAACAAAAACACTGCAATCATAAATTGTTCTTTACATAATAATTTATACAAAACTTTTGGTATTATTAAATTAATTAATATTTATTAATACACATTTAAATTTCTTCAAATTGTCATTACTTCAATAATAATAAGACGCTGATTATATATATTTTCAAGGGGCAAATATAAGTAAAATTTAACTTATATTATTCTAGAAGGTATTTCAACTATCGTAATTAAATGGTGTACGACTAATTTTTTTTTGTATTATCTACTTTTAAATTTTAATTTTTTTACGAGATACAGCAAAAGTTTGATTAAATAACTTACCTTTCTTGTAAAATGGTTAGATTTTTATGATTTTTTTGTTTTAAAATAGATTATATATTACAGCCCATAACGATTACAGATTTTCTATAATATAATAGCTATTTTCAGAAAAGATAACTTAAAACCACTTATTTTATTATTTTTAAAAGGATATTAGTGTCGAAAATTAAAATTTTTAGAATCCACCATCTTACAAAATCTGATCCCGACTACTCTAGAAGTCATGTTCCCTATTTTTGCAAAGAACATTTGGAAGCAAGAAACTGAGCACCTAATTAAAGAGATTTTTTTTTTAATGAACTGAGACTGCAAGATATGAAAAAACAAATCAAAAACTAATTTAGTTTTGTTTATAAAAAAATATATTATTTTTTACTAATATATATTGTCCATCAAATGGAAAATTAATGAGTTTTTTTTTATATTAAGAGCAATTTGTCTTATTGTAACACCAGGTGGGTTGATATGGCCAAGGATTTAAATTTTTAACCAAATCCCATTTCAAAAAACACTTTAAAAAATTAATTAAACTAATAAATACTATTATTTACATTAAATAGTGTACTAATTAAGGATACTAAAAAATACTCAGCAAAGCTTGGGGTTGTATACTCCTGTAGCTTAAGTACCTATGTTCTTTCTTTATTGGGATTAAAGTTTTTATAAATATTTTTTTTCTGTAGGGGCTATAAATGAACAAAAATAAATAAACAAACCCTAAACTAAAAACGCAAGTCTAAGTTTTTTATTTGGCAAATTATCAATAGACAATTAATCTACAGCTAGACATACCCTAATACTCTCTATACTTATACATTTTATAGCTGTAAGTTATATATTATTAAAATGTTTAATTCTAAAAAATACAGAAATTATGAGAATATGAAACGATTATTTATTTTAAGTATTTTAGAAATTTCAATAAATAGAGTTAACATACACATATTTTAATAAGGTATCTGGTTATAAAATATATACTTGGATATTTAATTTTACTACAATTATTAATATGTATACACAGAGAAAAAATAGTAGGATATTATGAATACACACTATAAGATGCCAAGCTATAAGTTTGGTTACCCGGGCCCATTTACAAGGGATAATGTGTATGAAAAGAAAACTGAAATGTTATCTAAAGCAAAACTATACCTAACAAATTTTACTTAAGAAACGATTTCGTTGTGTTTTGAAATGATACGTCATGACAAACGTCACTAGTCGCAGTTCGATTAGCCATGTTAAAAAAAAAACAACTTTAACGTATAATTTTACAAAAAGAAAGTTAGCAGGGACAAAACAAATTTCTATACTTACCGAGACTGACTAACAAAAGTGACAAAACTGCACAAAAAGAAATACGAGCATTTTTCCTTAATTTGTTCATTGTTGTAAGAAAAATGCGTGCGAGAATGGCCGATGGCGTCGAAAGAAATGACAAATTAACGGCGCTGCTACTTGCTAGGCAGAACAATAGTAGACGTAAAATAATGTCAACTGGAAAAAAAAAACAAGCAACATCAACATCCATCGATGAGTTTAATCTCCTGGAAAAAAATTTTTAGTAGCAATTTTTTTTTTAATTCGAAAGTAATTGGTCAAATCAGAAGTCATTTATCATAATTATTTTATGAGTTACGAAGTTATGATCATTTTTTGAAAACGATTTTTTATACCTACTCTGTTTTATAAATTTTCATCTAGGTTTTTAGTCAGCTAATGCTAGATTTTTTTTTATACATACAAACACAACATAAAACAAGTATAAACTGAACTTGTGCCATTCATGAATCCAAAACTACTTTTACAGTTAAAAAAAAAATAAGAGATCAACGTATATAACTACACTGTTTGGTATTTATAATTTATAACATATTTTTTGGATACCTATACCATGCGTTATCAATTATAACTTACAAGCCAATTAACAAGCGTATTATCCATCAAAGGTGGTTGTTGATATTAAAGTAATAATAAAGCATAGTAAGCATAGTAAATTCTGAATAATGAAGATGATTGATATACATAAATATACTTACTACTTAGCATTGAGGTGGAGTCTGGGTCAAGGTCTATCTTATTCTATTTGGCGCGTTCCTCAACTGATATTGTTATGATTTATTTTAAGAATGTGTGTCTAGTGTTTACCGGTTGTGTTCTCTTCTCTAAATGTATATTTATCATACATTTTGGAATTTTTATCAGTACATCTTGAAAAAGCAATTTTACTGTTTGTTGTTTGAATAAAGTGACTATTTTCATTGATGTGTTATCTCGTTGCAATTTTTTTTTCTTATTTTACGTACGTATACATTGATTTGTTAACAGTCTGCTAATTTAAAACTTAAAAAGACTATCAAAGGGATCAAGCTAGTCGCAAGTTGATGGAACCACTCTGTTCTTTTTAAACGATTTTGTTATTGCTATGTTTATTCGTAGTATATCAGTAAATATTGTGAATTAAAGCGCTTATACAAGCGACCGTGCTTGCATCAAATTAACACTATAAAGCTCGAAGTACAGATTTATTATTGTCTACCAAGACAAGCAAGTAAATAATTTAAATGTTTGTACATGACAGGAATTGCTATTACTTTGACATTAGCAACCAGATTGGACGAATGACACAAATAAATATGAACATTAAATTAAATGCTACCTATCCCTATACAACGAACGCGATAATAAACGCCGAATTGTTGAAATTTCACTTGGAGATGGTAATAATAATAACATATTAACTGCCTAATGTACAGAAAAGCTTATTATTATGCATGATGCGTTCTTCTGGCCTACTGTTGTCACGTCGTATAAGTAGATACTAGAAATTTTGCACAGTTGACAATTTAGAACGAAATCAGTTTAAGAGACCCGACTAACACTTTATTATGTTTTTGTACCAGGACCCACGGATTTTGCTAAAAAAACTTCATCCTTTTTTCTTTATGACTCCACATCTAATTATTTTTCTTCTTGGCCTTATCCCATACACTATAGTGGAGTCAATACAATGCTCTACTATATATGTATGTATAACACTTATACATACACGAATAACAAGTTATCTGCTTTCAACAAACCCCTCGTTTTTTATTAAACATTAAAGGTTCAATTCCCTCCTTGGAAAAAGATGTTTACAACGAAATACCAAAATTCTTTAAATGTAAAATTAACTATACCTTAGCGACGTGGCGGTTCTTTGAAAATAATTGTTTTATTTTAAAAATATACAATTTTCTTCTCTTTACATTAGTCGCCTACACAAAACCATTACACGAACTGTTTATTTATTAAAATCGTTAAAATAAACATTTTCATGAGTCTTTAAACTGTCGTTTCGTTGTTTTAGTAGCTCATGTTATTGACGCCCTGGGCCCTGGGCAAAACCCAAAACTTTATATATTATTAATCAACGTTTTACTTTTCGTGTCTTTACATTTAAGCTGGATCGCATAAAACTTTATTAGTGTCTTAAACCATTTTTTTTAGGACCTAATTATTGTAGGTATTTCTATGGGTACAATTGAATAAACACCGTAGGAATCAGACAAAGTAAGCAAGTAGTACTGCAAAGTATTCTTATTCTATCGTTAACATGTAAATAAAAATAATAGACAGTAAAATTGAGTAAAAGAATGCTGAGAACTTTTTTTAAAAAAACTCTAAAGTAAACTAAACGGCTTTTATTATTTGACAACGTCGCGTCGTTGCACCACAAGAGTTATTGCCCGTTCGAATAATGTTAATGAGTTTTCTAGTTCTTTTTATTCTTTAAAAAAAGACACTATTTAACTGTGAAAACCGTGAGCTTTATGTCTTTAAGTTGACAAGTTCTTTTGACATAGGTAATCATGATTCATGCAACTACTATCGATAATAAATAATTTGCCTTCTTATGACACAGAGGACACATCAAGTTTAGTTATTTGTCTTACTCAGATTCAGTGAACGGATTCATTTTAATTTTGTATTTTTTTTTTTAACGAAGTAGCCGAAATATACAATATTATAGTTATTTATGCATATTATTAGCTTTTGAAATTGTATAAAACACACACAAACTCACACTCATGTGGTTTTCCCCCGTACAGTTTGCAATTCTATTTGGATTCAACATTAACTGTTGCAATTCGTTTTATATTATATTTGTTGAACAATATCCTCGAGGGACCGGGGCTTATCCCCTACATTTTTTTTTCATCTGAAAGGATGTTCCCAATCCGTCCCCCCCCCCCCCGGAGAATTTACTCTAGTCTGCACGCAAGTTTATTAAAAACAAACGGTACCTTGGAGGTGGAAACTTGGTGACAAACCTAATAAACAAATAAAATAGGAAAGACTAAACAATTTTTTTAGCTTCGATGCGGTTTTAAATTCATTATTATTAAATTTTAACACATATTTTAATTTTACTTTATATTAAAAATTTTAACAATTAAGACATGTTTCACTTTGTCGGAGAAATATAACCTAAATATTCCTACAACATCGACAAAACGAATATTTAAAAGAAAAGCTTAGTATTTTAAAAAATTTTAAGATAACAACATAATTAGTGATGGGCAAAAATTCACGAATACTTAACTGTGTACTGAGTACTGAGTGTTAACTGAGTACTGTAAAAGTTTCATAATACATTTGTATTTAATTAACAAAATCATTTTTTTTAATTTTTCATAGATTCAAGTCATTTGATATATCATTAATAAATATATGACCAAAAAAAATTAATGAGGGAAAAAATACAGTGACAATTTCTTATGAATCTAAATGATAATTTATATGATTTACTTAATTTCAATAAAATAGGATATTAAAAGAACATGACTGTTAAACAGTTTTTCGTTAAATTATAAATATAATGCTTATAAATCAAATTCTTTAAGTTCAGGTCCTCCCCTCTAAAAACAGACGCCAAGTACACCTTCAGTTAAAAAAAAATGTACTTGAAAGTTTCAAATTTTTATTTTTTAATGGATACTTGCTGTCAAATTAGTTTTTTTTTTTTGTAAGTTATTATTTTTTTTTACGCTGTCGTTTTCATCACAGTATAATTTGGTAATTCTGTAAATCAATTACTTCGGTTCCGCACCGTACATACGCGCACAGCGCACCTGTACTATAGTGATATAGGATGTAAGTACAGATTATATACATAAGTATCATCATATACATATATATATTTCTATATTTACCTCTATTTCCATCATTGTTGTTCACAGTAAATACGCGGGCACAATCACCTAGCGTGTACATTATTGATCGGTCCAGGGCCAAGGGAAGCGGCGCGTGCGGCTGTCGTGGGGAGGGGCGCGGAGGGGCCGCACGCTTAGCCGCGGCAAACGCGGCGCGGCGCGGGCAAAAGCTGTGTTCAGTGTCGACGGAACGTCCGGCGCAGCACTACGGGTGCCGACCATGAGCAGCCAGGGCGTCGTGGAACGTGCCAGCGCCGAACTGTCGAAGCGTATCAACGGGCTCACGTTGCGGGCGGCCAATAAACCGTCTTCCTCGTCGTCATCGTCGGCCGCCGCAGTCTCGGCGGCCGCGACCTGTTCGCCGTCCCGAGCCGCCCGGACCGGCACCAGCGTCATGGAGCGCGTCACCAACGTGCTGTGCGGCACCAGTGCCGGTGTCCAGTACCCGCGGTTCCGGGGCCGCACGCCGGTCCGGAACCGCGCCGCTGCGTACCGCATCAAGCGGCCGGTCACGTGGTCCGAGATGATGCGTGACGAACAGTTCTTGAACGGCTTTTTCGCCTACTTCTCCCCAGCCGATCGCATACCCATGGCTCGAGTGTGTTCCCGGTGGCGCGACGTGCTGTACCGGTCACCCAAGTTCTGGTACAATGTGCGTCCGGTGATCAGGTGCAAGCAGCTCCGGGCGTACAACTATGCGGACAAGGCGGCCGTATTCAAGTCATTCGTGGCCAGAGAAATGACGGCCGTCACCGTATATGGCGCACAAGACCAGGACACAGTCGAGTTCGTCAACACCTACCCATTTCCCAACAAAAATATCCTGTCGCTGTGCTTGCAGTCTTCCAGCGTCACGGACCGTGGGTTGGAATCTTTCTTGGACCACCTGCAGGTGAGAAATGCACATCGATTAATATTCGAATACTACTTAAGGTCTAACAAACATAAAAAATCTCTGGTACTCTAAGAAAAACGCTTATTTTAATCCTAGAAGGGCCTAGGAGTGATAGACAGAAAGGATGTTGAGGTCGGTATTGAATTCGGATGCCCTTCGCTTGTCACGGCTATGAATGTGTACTCCTTCGTGGTTAACTGTAAGCATGACACCCAATTAGGAAATAATGCCTATAATACAGTGTCTTTCAAATTAGGAGTGGCTATAGATTCCTAGCAAAACATACTTCCAAAAATTGACCACCGATTCATCCCACTTGGATGATCTAATATTTACGAAATTGTAATCAAGGTTTAAGGATGAATTCCACTAGTACAGAATAATACTTAAAAACTGATAGTGACTTCATTTTTTCAGGTTTACGAATTAATCCGCCATTATATTCCTTAGTTTATACAGGTTGACCTCCCCCAGGCTTGATTATATTATCAATAAATATACAATTCACAATGTTTTAACTTTCCTTTTTTTGTAATTTCATGATAGTTTTATCACTATGGCGAAATTCTTCAAATGCGGGTATTTTATTCACAAAATTATAATGCCAAACGATAAACTTATGTTGTTTTTATCAAAACTAGATGCTGTCCCAGAATTTAAATGTATATTATTTACAACGTGTGTCCATTAAGCGATTCGATACAGTTACAAGCTAGAAAAGTATAGTATGGATTATAGTGGCCTTCTCCACTTGTGTGGAATATAGCGTAAAAGAAGATAAAGCGAAACTGTGCGTCTGTTTAAAGGCGGTTGGTGCTCTATTATATCAATCACTATTTTAATATGTTAGCACCTAAAGTGTCTAAAGAGTCACCTAAAGAAATTCAACTTGGAACGGTTGTCGTGATTTTCCAAAATTACCATAAAGAGAAGTGTAAAAGTAATTATAACCATAGTTTAAAATTATGAATAAACTATTGATGACGGTTCACCTAACGTTAGGTTAGCCGTTAGGTTTTGATATATGCAATACTGTAAAAAAAAACAAAATTCGGTGACCATAAACTATATAGAGTCAGACACACTCATCGTTAGACGAATTTGTGATCGGATTAACGATTAATTATGATTGTTATAATAAATGACAATTGAATGGCGTTATGCAGAAAGGCATTCAATTATGTCGTATATTTTAATCATAGGAAAAATAATTCAATCAATGTCATCGATTAGATTTGAGTCTTAAAAATAACGTAAAATTATGATTACATATTATCTGTGTATGATATCATAATAGTATATAATTGCGTGTTATATTTTTGTTTATGGCATTGAGCATTTCAAAACAAGTTGGCGACGCTTGCTTATTATTATTTTATACCCAACAGGAGTCAGGACTACCCGGGGGACACGTGGCGTAGGAAATCGGATAGTAAAAGTAAAGCGAGACAGTATTTGTGGGAAGGATGCGCGTGACCAATTCTCATATTATAACGTCCAGTCAGACGTTACTGTTTACAGTAATACGGGTCTGTAGGTAGGTAGGATGGTATAAGCTTTATCGCAAATACACACACAAGACACACACATAGTGTCGCTCTCGCTTTATTGTTATTGTCACAGAGCAAGGTGTCTCTTTCGAAAAATGTATAAACTTGTGAAACGCTAACGCCTAGGGATTTGAAATGTCGGAACGTGTAACGCTATTTGACCACACCAACCCTCTTAAGTACATTGCTTCGCACAACTAGGTTAGTTTTCACGGTCGAGTCCGACAGGTCGGCAAAAACCAAATATATTTGATCCGAAAAAATCCCTCTTGTGTACGTCGTAAGTCTAACAAAAACTAATGTTCCAAGAATAGGTTAAAATAACAATGCATTTGATTAATTTGATACAATAAAATATATGGAGAACATAATATAAGATACGATTTATAAATTATGATTTTATGTCACACATAATGCTATCACAACGGAGGTGAACACGTTCAAAAAGTGTACATAAATCGAAGAAAATTTGCGGTTTCTCTCCGCTTTGGAATCGTACAGTTTGCAGAAACCCGTGTTTTTTAAAAAACTTGATCCGGTATAGTTCCATACACACAAGCCCCCTATGAAAACCATATTCTGAGCTCAAACCGTATAAATTCAATGGTATTTTTGCCGGTAAAATCGTTTTTTCAGGTAGGTACCGCCTAATTCTATGCGGTTTTTCTTTTTGTCAACGAAAAGACACATTTGTGACCCGTGTCACGGTTCGGCTTTGTAACGGATAAACCAACTTAGGCAATATAATAAATATATAGTAGCCCCTTAAACGATCGATTTCGGGACACGTTAAACATCAATTAGGTGCCGCCCGTCAGTTTGCCGGTCGGTAGATTTCACGACGGCAAGGTTAATTTGGCCGTCTTTCTAAGTCAGTGTGTTATATACCTGCACCTGATTGCCAGTGACGGATTGAGTGAAAATTCCACTAGTCAGGCAATAACCCTAGCGATGCACACCAGATTAGACACCAAATAATCGCACGATTTCGCCAGACAGTACAGAAGCCTCGTTCAAAGTTATGCTTAACGTTAAAACATAAATTCATTCCGAAATGCTGCTGCGAATAAATCATCGTCTAATAAAACAACAACGGTATCTTTGGTGTAATAAAAAAGAACAATGAGCTTTATGGGAAAAGTTTAACGTTGAACGGCATCATTGCCGTTGGTCGTCCGAATGCCACAAACTTTTATTTTTCAAATTTCTTACAGTCGTTGTTTAGTTCATTAAAAATAAATACAACTGGAATAAACAAGATGTCTAGTCTAAATTCTTTCAGCAAATTTTAATTGTAAAACTTTTGGAGCTCGGGATCCTTATAATAGGTAAAACTTACTTCAGAAAATTGCATACTTTGTCGAAGAGCCGCTCTGATATAATTCAACTTGACCTAGTATCTGCTTAAGCCACGTTTTTCTTTTTTTGGCAAATTTTAGTCACTGGTCGGAATTATATTGGATAAAATGAAAAGGCCAGAATGTCAGGAAACGGATAGAAAATCTCTAGGCAAGAGCTTATCTAAAGAAGAAGCGGTATTTTCAGCTGTAAAACGACCCTTTCAGTAGGTCGGTTTTAGTCTAAGCCGGATAATATACTATATATTACATACATTGAGTAGTAGTATATCTTGATGTAAGCTGCAAGATGAATTCATAATATTTTCGACTTACGTCAACGTTCGATGAAACGTTTTCAATCGCAATTACACCTTTCACGCTTTACTGATTTTGGCACTGATCGCGGTACAAAACGCTGTTAGAATTTTAAAAGCCTTCGTTTATTTTGCCACGTTGTATATCATTATTATTATTATTATTATATATAAAGAAAAAAAAGTCAAATGAACCGATTAAACGCATTGCGCGCGGAATGCTGATTTAAATAATAAAATGGAAATTGATTTTATTTATTCAATAATCGACGATTTATATTCTATTATATATATTGTTTAATTTAAATACGAATCAGGAATTCGCGAAATTAAAAATAGTTTGATGTAAATTTCACCAAGCGATTTTTAATTAAAACATTTTCGAACCCGTAAAAAACTGGTGGCTTTTATTATTACTTTGTTTTAATACGCATCAACTATAAACAACTATGAAATGTTTGAAATTACTGTATAATATGACCGCTGTGCACCGCTTTAATATATAGCCTGAATGAAAATAGTAATTATAATTAACATTTAAAATACAATTTTTACCATTCTGCAGTCAACCTAACCAAATCGTTACAAAATGTGCGATTTTAAAATTTAAACTTGATTGACAATTCATTTTGTTTTTTATTTACTGCGTACCTAATTTGTTATATGCTCCGAAAACGTTCGTTTCGAATACTAGTTAAAACATTGAATGTGTCCCTAAAATGAAATTTAAAGCTGTTGAACAACACGATACCATTTATTACTGATCCGTTATAGTTCATTAGTAGTCGTTATTACCAGACTTTTTAAACACTCGTCGATTTTAATTTAACTACCACTCTGTTTGTTTTTCATCAATTTATATAAAACTCTTTAGGCGTGTGTACTCAAAATGTATACATACAGGTTAATTTCGATCAGTGTATTAAATGTAAATGTATACTCACTATACATAGCCTTTGTCCTTTGAGACATATTAATTCAGACATAATGAAAACGTTTTTACGCGCTGCGTTGTAAAATAATTATTAAAATCGAATTTATATTAATTGATTAGAACACAGCGATGATTATAACAAATGAAAAGTTTATGTCGATGTGGCTTTCAAAATAATTATATCAAATTCATTAATACCTAATAATATGCTAGTTTTGTCCTTTGAACAAAACTTTCGATTACCTCTAATAATCGAATAACTGAAAACGATAACTATGTAATTACACTAATTAAACCAATTGAAAAGGATTTCTATATTAAATTTCGTCGGTGGTGTTTCAGGTGAAAGATAATTCTATTATATTAATACTAGTCGATTATACGACAAAGGAACAATAAATGTTTAATGTCACTTCTTTAAACGCAATGCTGGCCCATTATAACTTTATGTAGAAGGGATTTATCTACTTTAAGTTTACAATGATGTACCTAGTTATTTTTTTAATTGAAGTTAAACACAACTTCAGCTGTTTGTCTAAACTATTTATAGTGCAGCTAGATTCTTAATGTCGCGCATAAAATCGGGTGCCTAAACTGGCACTTGAATGTTTTCATTTTACTTCTGACAAAATTAGTTCAAAACTACAACGGATAAAAAATAGTGAAAAACATGGACAAATTACACTAAAAGAAACTTTACACAGGACGAACAATTATTTATCCTTTATACCATAATTGTTAGGGGAAAAAAATTGTGTAACACCTCAATTTTGAATAACCAAAATATATTTTTCCAGAGTTGTTAAATTCTAGTATAATATAATACTAGCGCAGCTATCTTGTGTATAATATATAAAACACTATTAACTATAAAGTTTTCAATCAAGAAAAACTGCACTATTGCAATTATTTTCATAGAAAATTAGTGTTTTACATTACATGATCACTTTCGCCTTGTAATTATGAAGTAAAGATAATATTACGGTGAAATTCAGGATTTCTTAAGAATTTAATTAACGAGAAATGCCACTTGTAATACTCGGTAAATTTTCGACGGAACGATATATTGTTATAAGATATGTATGGTTATTTCACCGAGCCCATTAATTATTGTATTTAATAACAAGGCGATTTGATTAAAAGGCAAAAGCCAATGGCGCACACAGAGAGATCGTAATGACTTCTAGTACAATACGCTTGGTTGTTGTGAATTTACATTTGTAAAAAAACATAAAAACTCAACTGCAGTTGACAGACAGCACGATATGGAAGTATTTCCGTCTTATCGATTGCTGGCATTTCTCACTTTTAATATTATCACCGTGGCGTGGCGTGCCTGTCTGAGGAAAAAATGCCTTGGAATTAATATTATGTTTTATTTCTATTTTCATGAATCAATATTATACTATTGTTATGCATAGGAGTTGACGACGAAACCACCATGCGCACAGGTACCGCATAGATAGCAACTCGGGTACACAACAGGCCTTTATAATATCACAACAAATTATTGTAAATGACAGTAAATTGCTATATTATATTATTATTGTCCAAGGTTAGCGTTATCATCGTATCCTGCACGCACCGTGGCACGTCATACGGACATAACGCGATACGTTGATTGTTATGTGCGGTGTCTTTGCGCACCAATGGATCCGCACCAATATATGACTGACTACACCGTGTCGGTTAACTTCCGAAATGCACTTGAACGGTTCAGTCTGCGACTTGGTCCGCATTGATTCGATTACATAAAGGCCATATTAGTTTCATCGAAGCCCGTTGAAGCCAAACCTCTGGCCGATGTACGCACCCTCTATCGCCTTATAAATCCAATAGAGCGTCAAAGCGGCACGGTAGTGCTAAATACAAAGCATAGTAAGAATTTACCGAATCGGGGTCAACCGCTGTCAAACGCTTCGATGAGAATTTCGGCACAGTGAAAGAATCCAGCACAGTAATAGAAGTTCGCTAGTTATCTACTAGACCTGCCTTCTATTCAATTCTCAGCTCTCAAGTCCTAAGACTGCGCCTAGAAAATACAAGTTAGAAACAACTTGCCTTGCCGGTTTGGGGGAATTCGGGTTTAAGGCTGTCCTATAAATATTTTTGTACTTTCGTTTGTCTATTTCAGAGGCACAGTTTTTAAAACAGAATTTGGACCTCACCTATATGTTGGCTCCGATATCCACTAATTGTCTTTTTCAATAAACGTACTGATATAATACCTACTTATACCTAAAATATTGTTACTAAAAGAAAACAACGGTGGTTTTGGAAAAGCCATTATTGGCATTTCAATAATTTATATTGTCTCGAGGTTCGCTTTATTGCGTACTGATAAGATCATTTATTAAAAGTGCATCAATTGTGAGGAATTTACGGCAAAACATAGTTAGCATTATATACCTCTTAAATCAAATTTTGAGACTTTTATTCAGTGGTTAAAGTTAAATTATGCTTAAGAAAAAAAATTCAAAGTCGAATTGTATTCACTAGATGAGATAGAAAAAGAACTTACCTACGGCAATATGTTAATTTGATAATTAATTTTGTTCAAAAGGCTTTAAATAATATTATCAAGATTTCATGAATTTTAGTGTCGGAAGATTTTCTTCTTGATTTTGTTTATTTATTATTACATCACGAACAGTGCCCAAAGTACAGTGGTATAATATAAAAAAATATTAAAATTTCGGTTATCAACTAAAAGTAAATACAAATATGAAACAAAACAGAAGACGAAAATGATTCATTTGTGAACTCAATATATTTAAAAAATACATGGTATATAAGTCGTTATCTAGTTTGAGTTGATAATCAAGTTTGAAGAAAATGTGTCCGCCCTTTCAGAGGGCCTCTTAACTTGATTATGGGCAGAATGTCCTCTGTGCAAACAATGGAAGTGCCGCAATGTTTGCTAATGCTATGTTAGAACAAACACAACAAAAGATTCATTCGCTAAGCTGCTTAGCGCCTGCACACTCCACATTCCTTGTCTACTCCATGCCTAAAGCCTAGTCAAAATCGCAATACCTCCCTTGCTAATCTTCTTCTCGGTAAAATAAATTGCCCAACAAGCACCGCTAATGTAGTGAGTCTATTTCTCGTTGTCCTTGCGCAAGTCCAATTATAGTGTTTTCAGTGGTCTAAACGTGTAATAATTGATCATGTGAACTGAAACATAGTGAATTGGAAAAAACCGTTTCCCCTTCAGAAATAATTAATCGTGTACCTACTATATGTGTTGTACCGTGGGTCGAATGGCCCCGAGGTCGTCGTTCGAGAAGGGATCGCATAGTCGCTTATAATGACCACGTTCGAGCCGATGGCGCTTTTCGACAGCAAACAAAATCCCGAAATACTCATAATTGCGCGTGGCAGCTTTAGGCCTAAGCTCGACCATTGCCGTAGCGGTTGCTCTTTGTCGGCGTTCGTATTTCCGGTGCTTCCGCCACCACACACACAGCGTACGGTGTTGTGTGAACGACAAGCTGTATATACGTATACTATATAAAATTTATACACCGCAGTGTTTGGTGATTAGTTACAAAACGCAGTACACTACACATCGTTATACGGCTGCTGGTTATAGCACACAATACGCAGCATTGTTCTATATTATGCAATATATATATACACATACATATGTAAACTGCTGGCACGAACAACACGGGTACTCTGTACAGACTACAGTATATATATATATATATATAATATTATATCGTGTAACAACGATAGATTGGGCGCTGCCAAATTAAATTAGACACTATCTAAGTGTTTAGTGCACGATTTTTGGCACATATTTCGATACGGCATTTTGACGGTATCGCGCCGACACGATCGATGGTTTAATTATTAATTTCGAAGACAACACGATTCTGCGTCTTGGCGTGTTCGAATGGCACTCAAAAAGGGCGCCAGCGACGAATAATAGCCCAGTCGGTAGCGTTAAATTTATGTAAACATATGCAAATCCCTTTGTGAAAAATTACTAGGCAACGCGCGCGAGACGTTGCGCCGGTTTTCATCACCGGACATAAGAAAACGTAAGACGATATTAAGGCAAGTATCGTTTCTGCCTAGGGGCTGCGCTACGCCCAATCGTTTGTCTACATCCTTTCACTGTAAACACGGTAATTAGATTGTCCACTGAAAGCCGCTACCGTAAATCTACGTTCGTCGGGCAAACGTTGGATCCGTTTTAAATCCCACCGTTTTCGGCTCCTGACGTTATTAGATGCTATTAGCTGTAAATACAATTATATTATACTACGTTGTATTCTATAGAATAGTAATAATATATAGCATGCGCGTAACTGTAGCATCCGACTAATCATCTTCTTTGTTCTAATTAAATGTATTTTTTTTTTTATAGCAGATTCTAGTGACTACTTTGGTTGTTTTTAATTATACTTAAGCACTGCTGTCGAATTATTAGGTGTTTAAAAATTATGTGAAAATAATTGTTATCAGGGCGGAATAAGATTTAAAACCAATATAGCATATCTTCTCAGGCTTCGCATCGAAAATAAAAATAGATTCTTGGAATTTTTTTCCATCTCAAAAATGTGGGTTTTTACCAAAATAACTTAAAAATGAATGATGTTATCAAAAATAGGTAAATTGTTCTACGCTATTTCTTGAGAAATTTTCGTTTAAATGAATGTCACTCGTCAGTTGACGATGATATTTATTGTCAATGTGAAGTTGACGGAAAGTAAATTTTTTTTTTACTTAAAAAAAAAATAATTTCATTATGCGGAAAAGACTTGTCAACCTTTTTACAGTTGGTATGACATCAAAGTGTAAATGTTTACACTTTACGAGCTTTGTCTTTTGCATTTCTATTTTCCCAATTTTGCTTACAAATATCCAACTTGACCCTGACGATGAAATCTTAAAAATATTACATTACTGAGTTTTTTTGAGGTCATATACGAATTCAACCAAAAAAATCCTATACATTTTGCTCTTATGTTGCAAAAAAACGATTTATTATATTTTGTTGTATGCAAAGGTGGGCTTCTAACAAAGATTTGACATATCAAATATACTTTGATAAAACAAATTTCATTGAGTATCGTGTATTAATTAAACAGGTCACAGGTGTATACGTTAGTAATAAATTTAATTTAGTTACTCAATAATTTTATTTACTAATATTATTTTGATAAAATTACAATTAAAATTTAGAATTCTTTAATAGCGTATTAAGTCATTTTAGTCAATATTGATACTCGATATCACGCATCTTGTAACTGTATCAAAGCCCATCAACTGTGGGTCTATTGGTATAGTATAAAAAATAAATGATATTTCAAACCGTAGATCATTGTAGCTTACAAACGAAAGCGACTCGAATTTTATCGATTCGAAAGTCGAATCTATAATAACTCAATATTATTATTATAACCGATTTACCATTTGGCCACAGGGTGTTTGGCAACTGGAGCTGATCGGGTGCAACGAGATCACTGAGGCCGGCCTGTGGGCTTGTCTGACGCCCCGCATCGTGTCGCTGACCCTAAGCGATTGCATAAACGTGGCCGACGATGCCGTCGGGGCAGTGGCCCAAATGTTGCCCGCCCTAAACGAGTTTACACTTCAAGCGTACCACGTCACGGACGCCGCCTTGGGGTTCTTCTCTTCGAGGCAGTCCAACAGCCTGTCCATGCTCAGGCTGCAGTCCTGCTGGGAGCTGACCAATCACGGTATTGTAAATATAGGTAAGTCGTTTGCGTTACGTTTACTACAATTAACTTAACGTTATAAAAAATGTACATCCATAATCGCAAAAAACACAAACATATCGATGGCTTAATATATAAAATGTTGCAAGTACATTATTAACCAATATTTGTACAATCTGATAAAGATTAGAAAGATTTGGTTTTTTTTTTAACGGGATGAATAAAATAACTTTTATTTCAACCGCTAGAAAACGTAAACGAATGCGTTAAGCAATGTAAAAAAAAAATGTTAAGACAAGCTTCAAACTAATTTCCTGTAAAATCGTGAATTTGTACATATTTTTTTTAATAAACCCATCGATATTTCAGTTCGTGTCCATTAACAACCGAAACGATGGTTACCCTTCGAAAATTACCATAGTTTGTACACCGCGATCACATCGATCTGATCCTTAGTGTGCATGTATAATGTAAAAATGTCCCTTTAGTTTATATTACATGTTAAATTCAATAACGAGTTATATAATAGACATGGCATTTGCGCAGCACCTTTGTTTAAAAAAACGCAGGATTCAAGTGTTTCTAAATATTTAGGCTATATTTAAATTAATATATGGTAAATATATAGTCAAATGGATTAATATATAGTAAATCTTATAAAAAAAAAAAAGTTATTAGCAAACAATTTCATTACCGAATTTTCATGTATCATGGCCAATTACAGCGGTTCCGTGGATTCCAACTCAAATTAAAAATTTAATGTCTGCTTGGCAAATCACAAAATGCTACGGTATCACAGATGAAATGTTTAATTAAATAAGTAACAATAACTTACACCGTTGGATATTAGCTAGCGGCCGAAAATCCGTGTTGGCTGAATCTAGGAAGACAGGTCACTGTCTAACTGCATTGCTGTGACTGTAACCGATTACATGGCAATGCGTCAACGTATTACAATATAATCACCTAATATATTATCATGAAAACAGAAAACAAATCCGTTCCCGACTTAGAGAATATTTGTGTGTGCTGTCCTGGTGTCGACAAATTCGTCTAATTTAAAGAAAAACAAATGGCAAAATAACCTGTGCCGCTGAATCGCGCCTGTTGCACACGGTAACCAGGTGTAAGAAAAGAAATGATGGCGAAACGAGTTGAAGTACCCAAATACATAATATAAATCCAATACATTACCGGACGAGTGACGACGGTCGGACACTTTACACTGAACGGGATGAGACCTTTAGACTCGCATTGTGTATTACATAACATACGTACCTACATTCGTCTACTACCTAAACTTGACACAGCCGCCGATCAACGTCGTTTTCTTGATTGACGGTCAATAAAATTCTGGATTTTGGATGTTGACCGTCATAATACTCGAAAAGGCAGTTAGTGAAAAAATTAAACTACTACCTGTACACAAAAAAACGCAACCTACGTTATTGAGTAGATCTCCCAGCGAATGATTGGATTTAAATAAGCTGATGTTAAATCACATAATACATGCTTGAACAGCTAAGTAGACTGCCTATCAGCCTATAGAACATCTCAATGTACTTTTGTTAAATCTTTTATGTTTAATAACGTACATATTATATTCATACATAATATATTTATATTATTTATGTATGATTTTTTATACACAGAATGCATAATATGTCCTTTTCTGATCTGACTTGTTCTTCGGCGTTATCAAATTAGACAGCATATTTTTAGAATGATTTCCGACCACTCGAGAAATTACTTTAAATATTGTTTAGATGACAAAATATCGATCTTACTACACAAAAAGAGATAAAATGTTTGTTATATATGATTCTTATCCCTAAACATCGATAAGCAGGTTTTAGCACCAAGATTATATAATATGTTATTAATCAAATATAGAACAAATTTTGAGTACACTAGTGTCCCGAAAGGTTACTTTAAGATTTTCCGTCGGTGTTTAACTTCTAACAAAAGTCTACAAGCAAAATAAACAGTATTTCGTTCGCGTTCAAATGGGGTATGTACTCGTATGTTATTTGAACGGTTTAGTATTATGGATTTCGTGGTTCTAACTATACAATATTGTATTGTTGTTGTAATACATAGTTATTATTGATGGGTTCTCCGTTTATGTTTGATTCTCGATAAATAACCAAATTTGAACAATCACATTGAAATTCAAATGCTGTGGAATCGTAATGGAAACTCTTTAAAAATAATTGCCAATTCAAAGTAACCTGGTAAACCGATAATATACGTTTTGTTAACCTGTCACGTTTATTACACCCTTCTATTACCCGACATTTTCACAAAAATAAACCTTTTATTACTAAATAAACTTCACTTACTGTCACATTACAAACTCTTTGATTGCAAAACTGTATTCTTGTGATGTTCTACTTTACCTTGATAATTAATCCAAAAATACCTAAATTACCCAACTATCTTTATTCATGGCCGTTCAAACCTAACATATCGTCTACTTCCATCTCTCATCCTCTCTTTACTGAACTTAATTCAAAGTTATCTTTTTTAAATCTATTTATCTTACTTCCAAGATATTTTATCTCTAGTATGTTCCCATCCAGTGTTCTAGTTTTACACTAATGTGTATTTGCTTTCGTCAACAAGCACTTCACAGACTCATAAACAACAAACTCTGAGATGTCTCACCCAGAATTTTCTTTGTACGTTTAGCCATAACTTATAAAATACGAGTGGATTTAGTACACATTTGACCCCATTTAACGGTAATTTAAATTAATCCTAAGATGCAATATAGTCAGTTCCATAGTATTATAATCGATTAATTATTCAAAGGAGTTAAGATGGTAGTAGACTGTAATACATTAATCAGAGATTAAATTTGGATTATAAAATATATATGTTTTTAAGTACTTATTTAAAAATAAAATAATTTTTATAATTCAGAACGTTAAAGTTGAATTTTTATGAGAACTTTTATATTAAAATATAATATTGGATCATTTTTTTATGTATTTTTTTCGAGAAAATAAATTTTCCGGGTATCGAATTTCGGTGGATATTTTTTCCAGGTTCAGATTACCATACATGGCGTTCAATTTTAAAAGCACTTACAGTTTAATAAAAAATTACATTTATAAAAAAACCACCGTTACGAAATATTAATGTTTCAAGCGCACGATGGAAAATAATAGCTTCAAGAATATCGACCGATTAAATTGTTAAAACAAGGCTCTGCGGTACTTATAATAAGTACCCTTTGTTTTCATCTTATTGCTATGCAATAAATCTTCTTTTTTGTAAACATGTAATTTATTAATGTTAATAAAGTGGGAGCGGAACACAACCAATTTAATTATTTCAATTGGAGTTTTTAACCTAACTCACGACAATCCGCACCGGTAGCAAATGTGTTTTTTTAGTTAATGAGGACGGAAATTAATTTGCTGTAGACCAATTTATTACTATTTGATCAATGAGAGAATTCATAACAACTGCGTTTACAAAACGACGGATACCTAAAGGAAGTCGATTATGATTTTCAGGAAGAAACCGTTGCCTTCTGACAATTTCCATAAATGAACATCTACGTACAATTCAATTTATAAGAACAAGATAGGTAGTACCTACATTAAGATTTAAGGAGAAAAAAATACTTAACACTTTATGTAATTTTCTCTTGCCGCATTCGGCTCTATTCGACACGCCAGAACTCAAACGGTGTCGGCTATATTATAACTATAAACTATAAATTATTGCAATTATTTTTTTATTTTTCTGCTCGTTCTATGTCTTTTTTAACGTTTCAACTCATTTTATTAGCCAACTAAGCTATATTATTATAAGAAATTTAAAAAAAAGTCCAGTAGTGGAGTCGAGATATAGTGGGTACAGAGTATAATGGAGTCAGGTTGATCACAGGCCCTTAAGAATTATTACCTATTACAAAAAGTGATTCACTCTCGATGAAACGCTTCGATACCAAATCCGTAAATTGTAAAAAGTATTAAAGGTTTAATCGTGTTAATACGTTTTTTGGTTTCCTCGATAAAAAAATTGCTATTGATGTCTATGGCAAAATCGTTTTGCACAGCGCATTATTCTCAGTTATTTTTTTCTTAATTTTTTGTATTATTACATGTAGTTTTTTGTGTATAGCACCATTTGGCCATATCTAATGTGTAATTTTATCATTTACCTACCCAGACAGGCGCGTGCCGGTGCTCTATACACAGTGTTGGCATTTTTTTTATCCGCATTTCGTGACCACTTGTGTTGTGAACGCTGCAGTAGAATCCTGCACACATCATACAACAGTAACCACCTGGCCCCCTTTTTTTCCGAAATAGAAGGGTGGTGGTTTTACTGTATACACAAATTCATCCCCTCGCTTTTCATCGACCGTTTGTGTATATGCATGTACGTTGACGGAGGCACGTGGTTCAGTATTTTATATTATAATATGTACAGCGCCTGCAAGCAATCGCCACCCCAACAATTATTACTGTCTCCGAAGGGGGAGGGGGGTTCTGGCTTGCATTAAAATGTTCCTTATCGATCTGCGGAAGACATTAAATCAAGTACATTTGGCACAATACTTTCTGTATACACTATACATGCACATAATGCCGAATATGAAAACGAGTGTGTATGCCAGTTCAGTGCAATCTCCAAAGGCACTCAAAAAGCCTTTGGAGATTGCAAGTGCATTAGAAGTATATATTTATTTTATAGATTTTACTTCAAGCGCTCGAATCGGATTCCTTTGTCTATGTCCAATAACGCAGAGAACTCTTAACTATAAGCTTAATTTAATATATTTTTTTAAATTCTATCCAGAATAGGAATAGACTTTGTTTTATCTCTTACGGATTTATTTTTATAACTGCACTTGTATTATCAGCTCTCCGCAATGAGCACCAAACGTGGTAATTTATTATCTTATTATAGGCTATTCAATCAACCGAAAACGTAGTAAATTACTATGTCCACATTTTTAATCATTGTAAAAAAAAAAAAAAAACGGCGCAGATCACTCCGTTTAAAGAATACGATTGCGCAATGTTTGGATTATATAATATTATAAATAACAAAAAAAAAATGATATTAAATTCAAGCTTTTGAGAGGGTTGTTATGAAAAATCTGAAATAGGTTCACAATAACCGTACCTAATACTTCGATCTCGTTATTAATGATCAAGTAGTTCTTATTTTGGAAAAGTCTATCAAATGGCAATATTATAATATAGTTATAGAAAATTTGTAAAATTTTAAAAACACTCGAAAAGAAAATATAATTATGAAATAAGCTGTGGATTAAAATTTAGTAAAAATAAAAATTATTTATTGGATTTCAAATTAAATATAATTCGAATATTTCATTGAGTCAATAAGTTTTATAAAATTAATTAAAAAATATAGTATTAATTATTAATTATTCATCAATTCAACTGGAATCAAATTGCAAGACATAAGAAATCCTATGCAGACTTGTGTCCTTCATTTATTTTCTCATTAATTTAAGACCAACAATAATTTAAAAAAATTAAAAATTACCATTTCTGTTATTTTCTAATTAAAAAATGAGTTCATCTGACCAAATAGTTTGACATAGTATAATAATGGGAAATAATAAGTTAAAATGAATTTGTATAAGTCGCTGTCCTTGACTAAAATAAATAAATTATTTAACCGATACAGTATAGATATAAATAACTTAATATAGATGAATTATTTATATCCAATCAAGGTTAGTTTTATTTTTAAAAATTCGTTGTCCGCCGCTAATTAATTATTCAAGTCATAGATATATTTTATAACTCATATTTTATAATCTTAATCAAATAATATTGGATTATTTCTTTAGTTATGATAAATCTAAGGTTCATGTGTGTTTGTATTGTTCTATTGCCGATAGTCTCGTTTTATTTCCGCTTTAACTCTTAACCGCTTGTATTTTACTCATATATTACCATTTTGCAATGAAATATTATTACAATGTTTTAAAAGTAACTTGAAGGTAGGATGCTTACTGCTTATTGACCACATGGTCTACCTTTAACAAAATGCTTTTTAAAAGTAAAACCGTCATTAGCTGTAAAGCATAATGATTCATTTCAAATAACTTGTTGGCTTTTAGTCAACAAATCATTAATAAATTGTAATTTGTGGTTAATCCGTATTCGCCATTAACAAAAGATCGAAGTCTTACATTGTACATTTCAAACGAATTTCTCTTGTCCGAACATTTGAACAAATGCCAAAGCCAAAATGCCATTTTATGAACAAAAGGTAGACAAAGGTTCATTTTGTTGTATACTCGTTATGTGCATCGGATAGATTTGGTATTTAAAATATGTTATATAATATTTGTCTTTTCATTTTTTTTTTTTTTTGGTTAGAACGTTGCTTACTATTTCTTGAACTGACTTGCCAGTTTTCTTTTTCATGACGTTGAGCCACACAGTGGCTGTGGTTGTCTTAGTTAATATTACAATGTTTTACAATATGATATATTTTGCTTGTTACAGTTCATTCGCTTCCCAACCTGACCGTGCTGAGTCTGTCCGGTTGTAGTAAAATCACCGACGACGGGATCGAGCTGATCGCAGAAAATCTTCCCAAGTTACAAATCCTGGATTTATCTTGGTGTCCCCGCGTTACCGATGCGGCTCTGGAATACATAGCTTGTGATCTGGTCGGCTTGGAACAGTTGGTTTTAGACAGGTAAACACATATATACTACACTATGCTTCGATCGTTAATTTTACCCTACCTGTTTTCTAGAAGAAAAAATAGAACAGGTAAAATCATATTATATTTGTCCTGTCCACGACGTTTGTGTAGTATCTATAGATACACTCTAATCAATACAGTTTTATAAAAAAGGAAAACGTTTTTCTTTTGTAGTACCTTCACCGTCATTCCTAACCTCTTGGTATTCCTTTATATAATACACACTGTATGAAATGTATAGAACGTACATAGGTAGCTACCCAACCTGGACTAGTCAGTATGCGATAGCGGTTATTATGTTTTATAAAAAGAAAAACTGTCAAGTTACCTACCTATTTTTTTTATTTGTTATGACATATTTTGAGTAATGAGCTCCACGTGCTATGCCTATGGTCAGCAGTGCGAAAATAAAATTAACTGAGGCTTTCCTTAATAGTAAAATCATTTTCGAATATAGATATAGTATAAAATGTAATTTTGATGTATCTAATATTATACCGGTGGATGTTACGTATAAATATACGAGATCAATCAAGAATAATTATCGATTAAACTTAGATGAAAGTATAAACGATTTTTGAAAAAACAAAAAAAATTTTATTTTTCCGCTCTTCAAACACCTAATGGTTCAATAGCTGTTCTTGAACAGCCTGTTCACTGTTGGTTGTCTGTTGGTTAGACCTAAACTTAATATTATAACCTACGTACCCCAACTCATTACCCTCTATAGTGGTGTTACGGGACGATTGTCATTGTAGTATAATTAATATAATCATATTAATATTTTTTATGTATTTGTTTGACACTAAATTGGACGTTTTTTTCGCAGATGTATACACATAACGGATATTGGTATAGGGTACATATCGACCATGATATGCTTGCAAGCCTTGTTCCTGCGATGGTGTTCACAGCTAAGAAATTTCAGCATACAACATTTGTGCGGCATGCGACATTTAAGGATACTCTCTTTGGCCGGTAAGTGCTTATTGGTAGAATAAACCTTATATTACTACATATTAAATACATGATGAAGATTATACATGCATGTTTTTTTTAATGAAACTCGCTGCTACGGTATACATTTTATATGTATTATATAGGTTAGTGCATTCGAGCGTCATAGAGATCATCTAGGAAGATTCCTCTACTGTGTCAAGTATAAATCATTAAGGCAGAGCGTTGTTAAATCCATCAGAGTTTTTTTGAAATAACCCAACGGGAGTACTTAAAAGCTTTTTAGGGCTCTTCACTCGTCGGTTTAAGTACAGATAAGTGAGAAGTAGGAAAGTGGCCTCGGTCGTTCGATTGCCTACACCGCTTTTAAAAAACCTTTTACTTACTTACTCACCTAACTTGATATTAACTATCGAATCATGCCTCTTTTGGTCGTGAAATATCATCATTAATATGATTTTCGGAGTTGGCCAAAAACTAATGATCGTTCTCTCTCAATAAGAAAACGCGAATATGTAATAGATAAAAAATAATGTTATTTCTAACTGAAAGTGTAAGTGTAACGCGAAAATGGTGATTAATAGATTATCGCGATAAAATTTGTTTAAAAAAATTGAGTTATTAGTTCTAAGCATACCTATTGGCTATTACCCATCTATTTCATAGTTGCCTTTGTTGTAATTGTTAAGCTCGTTTTGGCTTTAGCAATATATTCTTTCTGATTAAAAGTTTAATCTAAGGAAAAAATACAATCTGTCACCTTTTATACTTACGAGTTACAACTTAATATCCTAAATCGCTTGTCTTTTTTTTAGGTTGCCATTTGTTGACATCCAGCGGCCTGTCCAGCCTGATACAAATGCGACATCTCGAAGAACTAGAGCTGACCAACTGCGCTGGAGCATCACCAGAACTGTTGGAATACTTGCGGGAGCACTTGCGGTCTTGTCTAATAGTCAGATAAACGTTTTGGCCGTTAATGTTTTTTTGTTTTGTTTTGTAAACCCGACAATAACGAAGAGTTGTTGATAATATTACTATTAAATTGTGAATCACTTTTCAATGATTTATATATTGCCCTTTTGTTTTTCTTTTTAGACTTAATATTTGATAAAGCGATGACATTTTCGATTTTTTATAGACGTTTCGTGTTCGTGTAATGCAATACAATTGTTATTATATGTCCGCACACATATCATGTTTTTACTTATAAATACTTTGTTTTTCCTTTCAAAGTTGTGTGTCATTCAAACAGTATTATAATTATAATAATATTTTGTATTACCGCGCATACCCAATACAACTGCATCAACCTTTTTTTTATTTATTTCGGCGGTGGTTTGCAAATATATTTTTTAATTTTAAATGTACATAACTTCTTCGGAAGTTTAGGTATTTGTGCATTGAGAATATTTATATAATATTGTGTAAACGGTGTTCGCGGGTAAAAAGTTAACATTTATATCCGAGTTACATCCTACTGTAGTAATATAATTCTAAAAAAAACATAACTCATAAAAAAACGTTTGCAAGCATAAAAAAAATGTTTAAATGTTTACAACTCGAATTCGTTTTTCAGTTTTACACATTTAATCCGCAAACACTGTATTGTGTTATACATAATAATATATTATATATTTATTTGTTACTATTAATTGTGTTACCTATTTATGTATTTGTGTCTCTATACACATATAAAAGATGTGCAATATTAGGTAATGTAAAAAGTTTTTTTTTTTTAATTAAACGGTCATCAAATATATTATTTTATGAAATGTATGAGTGTAATCAGCCTTGTACTATTTAGATATTATTATTATAGTTATCGTCTTAAGTCTAAATTATAAAAATATTTTACGACCAGTTATAATATGTCCTAATATTATATAAAATGTAGAGGAGTTGTGTGTATTATAAGGTTAAGGCGTCACTTGTAGGCATTACCAAAAAAATAATTTTCTCGGTAGTAATTGTAGTGCTAACATTAGGTTAAATAGTAAAATCAGAATTGAAAAAAACAAATGGGTTTTCTTAGGTTTATGTATACTCAATAAACCGCGCTCTAAGACCGGGTGTTTACTAACTCAGAAAAAAACAATGCTCGTAAGGCACTCAATAAACATATATTGATAAAAAAGCAGAGATAATTAATTAAATAAAAATAATAACTATTATGTATTCATTACAAATAGTCTTGGGTTGCAATGATTTTAATTTAGTTGATAATTAAATGATAATATCATGATTTAATTACTTTTCGGTAACTAGTGTTTCGATATTTAAAAAATATACTTTGTCATATATTAAGGTAAAAAATGTACAACCATTATTTTGAGTAGTAGTTTAAAAATAAAACCAAAATGCTTGACTTCCCCGGGTTTGATCATAATTTACTTAAAACTAAACATCCAAGTATTATATTGTTTTAATGTTATTACATGAGACCAATATTTCAATGAACGTTTAATTTATGCAATTAAAAAAATGTAATAATGCGTTTACTCATCTAGTACCTACATGTTTTATACTTTACTTACTATACACGGTTCGCTACAATGTTATCTTTTCATGTAATAATAATAATAGTTATAAAAATAATTTAATATATTATTTCATCTTAGTCCGGTATAGAAGAAAACAGTAGAGACAGGAAAATCGACAAAATTCTATATCTACCTGATATGCTTCAACAATTTAATAGCTTGTGAAAAATATTTATTTATCGATAAACTGTGTGTTTCCATAGCAAAAATGGTTTAGAAATAACATTATATAAATGTGAACTAAAAGAATTTTTCTCAGAAAAAAAAAATAATTTGTGAAAACGATTTGTATGTCTCTACTTATTTCTCTAAGCCGCACATATGTCAAAAATATATTTATACGCAATTTAAATACAATCAAATAATTATTATTAAAAACGTATTATAATACTATATTTCTGACTGTTAAAAAAAAAATCGAATAATTTGTGTTACCACAAATTACCACCGATACTTAATGTATCGAGGTAAATTTTCATTGTTGAAATCTAAATATTTAATTACTTACATTAGAGACATGTATTATTTTTTGAAACCAAAAATATGAATACTATATTTTTTTCTGTGAAGTATATTTTTAGACTTACTCTTACACTGTGCTACATCTATAATACCAACTTTCAGATCAGTTATATCTATAAACATATAAATTAAGACTGACGCGCCTTTTTTAACGCTAGGTAACCATTATTGTAAAAAAAAATACATATTAAATAATAATATGTGTTTCATTACCATAAAATATAATCTGCGTGTATCGAATAAATGTTATATTTTATAAAAAATATTTTCAAAAATTTAGATTTTAGAGGTATATAATATTACTTGTGATTAGTACGTATATAGAAAGAGTAAAATGTGAAAATATATTACGTATTATTATATTAAAAAAAAGAAGATAATTATAATATAATAATATATTGTGTTTGATTGATTTAGTGGAACTGTTGGTTGTAAACAAAAATAAAGAATTGAAAACTTATAATGTTGTGCATTTATTTGTGTTCTTCTATTAGTAAATAATAAAACTATGAAAAATTAAAATTAAGTTGGGACGATTTGAATGAATTTAGGACAACTTATTGGTGTATTTAAAAAACCCAAAATCATAACCGCTTTCGAAAATTCAAGTCCAGTGTTGCCTTTAAATATTATTTAACTGGTATTATAATTGTAGAAAATACATAGTACATCGTTTTTTACTGAAATTCACATAATATATCTAATGTTTTTTTTATTTTTAACAGACCAAGCAGGCCATGCCACTGGGCAACTGGCACAATGTCACACCGCCCTTGACAGCAATCATTGTGTGCATTTTAATTTCTAATGTTAAATACACATTTATTGTTTTTACAAGTACATTTTTAGTACAAGTCATTCAATATAGCAATATAAAAATGAAACTGCATGAAATATAATAATATATTAACAATATGGATACATTTTCATATTTTGAAGTTGCTTATTTCTATTTAAAAAGAAGTTATTGCCTTTTTAAATGTTCAGCTAAAAAATATCGAGTAAAGGACAATCAGAAGGTTGATTTATTATTTGTATGTGACGCATCTGTTATACCTATCCACTAAAGGGATTACAATACAGTAGAATTTCCAACTGTAACAACTTCAAGAAAGGCTTAATGAAAGTTTTGATATTATGTTAGGAAAACCATAGGCAAACGTGGCCATGTGTATCAATTGTTTTTCCGTGTTCCCAACCTATCATTACTATTTGACTTGAGAGTTGTGACCAGGTGCTTTAAACAGATTTATTCTCATTTTAAATTATACACCGACAACCATACCATACCGGTAACCATATCTGTGTAAATTATGGTGAGTGGTGACCTAGGTTTTTTTTATTTTTAAACTCTTGAAGTGGTGTATAGTGTAGGTATACGTCATACTGGCGCTAAAATATTTGTAACCTTCACTGTACATATAATATATTATATTATCATAATATAGATTGGACGATAACAAAATAGCACAGGTCAATAAGGAAAAAAACCCGAACACATTGACGCAGATACAGTTTTCCTAGAGGCCTTTGCATGTGACATCGTAACACAGCTCATATCGGTCGACGGTCATGTAAAAGTGTACAAGCGGATTGAAAAGGTAACGTTTGATAGTAATAATAATTCCAATGGCGAAATGTATTTTAAAAACCAGAACAGATCAATGACGCTACACAGCCATAGATTAAAATTAATGAAATACCTATACAGACATAAAAATACCTACCTATATTTAATCTATGCAATATCTGAAAGCGTATTCGGTTCGACCCTGCAAAGCTTATTACATTTCAATTATCTCGGCTCGCCGCTTTGAAAACGTAATAAGTAAAATTCAAAAGCACAAAAGAGCCGCGATTTCAGCTTTTACAAAATACTTCACGATTTCGCATAATACAATATTCTACCACCCGTCTACTTTTTTTCATTTGCCAACATCCACTCTTCTCCGTCCATTACCACCTGTCCATTCACATCACACACACGCCTTCGCAAAACCCTTAAGTACTTTGACCCACTTTTGGTTTTACTTTATTTCTCGGCAGTTACTGTCGTAATTACGTTTTCTCAGCGCCAAACAACAGCGATGTGAGATTTAGAAACAAATATAGAAAAAGAATAGCCAAAACATATTCGTTGGTAAATAGGACGTGTTTGTGGCGCCACTAAATGAACATCTATGTAATTCGACGTACATGTATTTGATATGCATTAATTTACCATAAGATCCGGTCGTAATCTAGCAGAAATTGTAAAACCACACCAATGCAAATACTAGATTTTGGAAAATGAAAAAAGTTTTTAAAAAATGTATTAATTTTTATTAAAATAGTACTATTGTGCTATTAAGGCAAACTGAACACGGCCGCGTAACACAACGTGCCGTCTTTGGGTTTAAGCTGATAGTCGTAAAAGGTTTTTTCGTTGATTTTCGTATGTGGTTTTCGCGGTTCGAACAGTTCGGCGGCGGTGGCCGCTTCCCTGTTCCGGGTCAACCCGACCAGTAGGTTGACGTCGACGATTCTTTCTAGCGGCTTGAGCGGCTCATCGGGCGGCAACCGGCGGAACGGTTCCACCAGGTATCCGCCGGCCACCACCTGCGACAAGAACTTAATGTACGCCAACCGCGTGGACCGGTCTTGGCATTCATCGATTTTCCTTAGCCACGCGTTCGTTTTGACTCTTTCGCTGACCGAGATCATGTGGCTCAGTGTTTCCACCGTGTGCCGCTCGCACACGTACTCATGAGTCGCCGCTTGTTCTTCCTCGTCCTCCGCGCCTTCCTCTTCCAGCGTCTCCTTAGCGTCGCCGTTGTCGTCACCGTCGTCCGCCGGTGACTTGTCTTGTTGGTCGGGCGGAGGTGAGTTGTCGCGTTGGTCGTCCGGCGGTACACTCTGTACATCGTCGTCGTCTGCCATCACCTGAGGTGGCACCTCAATCGATTCTTCTCGGGCTCTAGACGATCCTTCTAATTCCTGTGGTTGACGAAGGTTGTCCTCCATTTTCGAGTTGGTATTCACTTAGAATTTTGATTTTTCAGTACTCGAGCACTTTATTCTACTTAAATTCACTTGTCAATAAAACAAATTAAAAAAATAAAAACCGTTTTATAACTAGCCAATAATATAAAATGAAACGTTATTGACAATTGCCTATGTATTTATAATTTATTTCGAGACGTCGGACGTGTTAGATCAATGCGAATGATGTAAATTGATTGATAATAAGTAAGCCTGTACTCAGATTATGAGCTTACAATTAGTAGTGAGAAATAAAGATAAAAACAATATGATAGGCTTAAAGGGCAAGTGGTAAATAGAGTTGAATAATTTAAGTAAGTATTTGGAATGAGTACGGTGGACAATTAAGTTAATAAAAGTATTAACAAAGATGTTGCGTAATGAGGCCAACAGTCTATGATGAAGAAAATGAAGTTTTAGGCGTTTAAGGAATGTGATGGAAAAAATTTGGATGAAGTTGAAATGCGAAGTGACTGGAGTATATAAAACTAGGAATGAGTGCATAAAATGTAGTTTGGTAGTTGTACCAATGTGCCTAAGAAAAATAGCTTGAGATGGTTTGATCACGTTGAAAGAATGGAGAAAAATGTGGAGCGAATGAAAAGTTCGTGTAAGGAGTGAGTAAAGTAATAAGATTTAGCTGGACAATATCATCTGTGTGGGATAATGTGAAGAAGAACATAATTTATACGTATTTAACACACGGTTTATGATAGAAATTTTAACCAAACAGTTATAATACAATAAATATAATTTGTATACCGCACTTCTAGATTTTTACATACCAAAATACATACTTAAAAGTTAATCAATATAATCTGTTATAAAACATTTGATTGGCTTTATTGTACGCTCTGTGCGTCGTCATGGTTCTATTTTTCGAATCGACACACTAACAATACTGTTCTCACTAGCGCACACCAAATATTTTTTTTAAATTTTCACGCACCTAACGTATTTAAAATTTTAACATGGGCTCGAACAAAGATCCAAAAAAGATGTTCAACTTCAGCAGCGTGACGGACGACAGACAGGCGAGGGACACGATGCAGTGCAACCCGCCCAGCTGTATACCTAACGGGTGCATAAAACCGGAACAGCATTACGCGTGCGACCGTCAGCTGGCAAAGGTGCTGATGCAGTATTTCACGCCGGAAGAACGCAAAAAGATAACGATGTGGCTGGCCACGTTGGAGAAGATGACACTGGACGAGGACGAGTTGTCTGAGAGGTCCATGTACCTGACGTGCCTCAACATGTTAATGCAGAACGGCCAGCTGGTGCCGCCGTTCACGCGGACACCGCCCAGGCAACCGCTGAAGCCGCTCCGGGACGTCATCGACAGGCGGCTGTACAAAAAAGTGCAAACCGAATGCCGCAAGAGGCGGGTATTCGAACCGGTGCAGTACGAACAGCCCGATGGCACGACTCAGGTGCCCAAAGAGTTCTACAACGAACAGCCTGTGCCCCAGAGCGGAATAGTTTGTTACGGTGCCGCCTTTAGCTTTATCGATTAAACAGATTTTGCCACAATAAAACGATATTATGTTATGAATTTCCATGCAATTAAAAATGTTAATTAATCACACAACAAACCAAAAAGCACCCCTAAGTCGTATTTTAATCGTTGGTCGTGATCAATGTGAGGCAATTGTTATTTTTAATGGCTAATAACAATATTCATAATTATAATTAATAGATATTTAACACGTTTACAAGCGACATTAATGCGCATTAACTTATCGCGAATTTAAATCATTTCGCATTAGCATTTTACTTATATCCAATTTTAACCCGGAGTTAGATTTATTTAAATTGGAGGAATCTAATTAAATAGTTGATTTGCATTAAGTTATGCAGTTAATAATTGCATATAAACGTGGTAAGTGTTTAATTGATACAAACATGTCGATTTCCTTAAAAAATGTCTAAATTACTATACAAAACAAAAATAATTGGACATTTAGTACAAAAGTATAATTGTAAGCAAAAGGGGTAAAAATAAGCGCATATGTTCGCTATGAAAAAAAACTGTTTTTAAACTTGTTTATTTTACTCTTAAATGTACTAACACCACATGATTAAAAACGTTTAATTATAATTAACCACTGTTGATTTTTGTTATATACCCACTTTTCAAAAGTGCATTAACCCAATAAATTTATAATTACTCGATTTTATTTTAGATTATTTATTAATTATGGACGAGATATTTAAATTAATACATTTTTCCATTGTCTGGTCATTTCAATCGATATTAGTGTAAATTTAATTACATTTTTTTAAATTTGATTTTAACATTTAATATTTTTTTTTAGCTACAAGTATGTAGTTACTCTGTTTTGTATATAGCACTCTTTAAATTAAGTCGTTTTTCTTTATTTCATGTCCCAACTTTTAAGGTTGTAATTATTATAAATATATTAGTTTCAACTCTTTAAAAATGTTAAAGCTTAACTCGCAAATTATTTTTCTAATCAAGTTTGTCAAGGTGGATTGAGCTTGATTACTGTGTGACACATGCTACCGTAATATGATATGTCAGCTCATCACTGTTTTGGAAGAAACTACTCTGAGCAATTAATAGAATCAATACATGTATGATATATGTTGTGTACCAATTATTATAAAATATCAGAAGAGACCTCGGCCCTACTACAATAACCACTAAATGTGCCAATGTTGTTGTAAAAATAAATAATTGCCAGCAACAATGCAACAACACTCCATACTGTTTCTACCAAACCGAATGAAAGTGTATTAATTACTACAGTAATGGAAGTAAATACAAACGAGTTCACGGTTAGCCGCAAATGCTGGTATTGCTGGCTTATTGATAATAACACAATATATGTATGTTAATTATTATATTGTTATAAAGTTTATTTACAATTAAATCGTTTTTAATCGATTTTACTTCCTTGTGCTATGAAAAAAATAGGAGAAAATATCGACCTCGTGCATTTTACCATATGATATTTTATTACTTATTGTTATTAAATGATTTGATAGCAAGACCTTGGGTGATCAGTTAATAGAAATAAATTATGTTATATTACATGCAAGTATACTTTCATTTTCCGCCTTCTGGGTTCATGTGGAATGACCGTCATAGCACCCGCTGTGAACGGCCAAAATGTGAAGGGAATGGGTTTTAATAATAATAGCAATAATATTATATTGATTACACATACACGGTCGATATAAAATTGCATTTAACCAAACAGTTTAAAATAAATCTTTGAAAAATCCGTAATAATGATATAATAATATACTTTATTTCATCTTATCCGTAGTGCACGGATTTATATAAATACATTTTTTTATCGGTCACAATATTTCATTTTTTCAATAACACTATAAATTATAATAATAATGCTAACAATGTCTCTCGAAAGCCCGCCAAAATGCAGTAAAAGTATAATATAACATAGCACTATGTTATTACAAGGTACGTTACCTATAATTCTTTAGATCCGGGCTCGTTCGGTTTACAAATAATTTTAAAATAATATTTTTTATTTATTAAATAACACATACACACAAATACGTTAAACCTACAAAAAAAAAATCTATTGATTATAATATTATATAGGAACAAGTGACGGGGGACTACAAATCGGTTCCGAGCCGTTCGATTTCAGCAATGAAGAAGTCCATGTCGTCGTGTGTCAACGATGAGTTTTGCAACACCAACCGGAAAAAGTTGGGCAAATCGTTGATCGGTTGGTACGTTATCATCATAGTGCCTTCTTTCATCATTTTCTCCTTGATCTTGGGCGCCACCTGTATTCGATAGCAGCATTATTATATGAACAAAAACCGTTTCAAACAGAAAATAACAATATGTATATCAGCACGCGGTAGCTTGGCGATAACCGCAAAATAATGGCTGCCGGCGTTTTTGGGAGACTGTAATTTTTAACACAGAACATAAACATTGAGCATGTTTTTTTGCGATTTCAGCCCCGCCAAAAGCCACACGACGTAATCAGAATAGCGTCTGATAAGAGGAAATGAGCTGATAAGAGTAAACCAATATGATGATTAGACAATCCATATTTTGTAAAAATAAAATACACGGTCAGTGTTTGCCAATTTCACACGAGCAATGTTTAACCGATTCGATTTTGTCATGGGAAAATATACCAGCTGCATACTCATTAATACGTTTTCAGCATCGATAACTAATAACTTGAGTTATCGTCATACCCGGTGCACTCACCTTGTGTAATTTGTTCTTGAAATCCTCATCATTCTGGCATTGCCTCAGGCTGGGAGGCACATACCAGAAGCCCACGTTGGTGTACTCCGGTTCGTCCAAAACCAATTGGAATCCCGGTCTGTTCCTGATTTTATCCGTGAAGTATTTGGCGTTATCGAAGTTGTTGTTCACGTGCGCTTCCAGACCGTCAGTACCCTGTTACAAAGCGCGTGCAATTACAATATAATATGATAGCTATATTCATAATATCAGTGTAAAAAATCCAAAAGAGAAAGGGGGGTTTTAAATACGAACAAATAAATTGGCCAAAGCATAGATGATCTCTAACGCTGACATTAAACGCCCACCTTGAAAAATGTGTAAATTTGTCAGCTTTCAACTTTAATTTCTAATACAACATTGTGAGAAATGGTCGGATCAAATCCAAATTTGTATAAAACTTTTATTCGACGTGCTAAAGTTAGAACAAGGGTTTTCGCCAATAAAAAAAACATATTGGATACATTTTTTTAGATTTTTTAGTATGACACAAATTTGATTAGGCTTATCTTTAGACAAAAAATCAGCCTATGGGTTGTAAAGTCACAACTAAAAAATAACAAAAAGTTCCTAGCACTTTTTTTTGGAGGGGGGAGGAGGGTATGTTGTACACAAATTTCAAAACGATCCGACCGTTTTTCACGAAAGTTATATATATATATATATATATATATATAACAAGTTTCAAAAGATGGACAATTTGCAGTTTTTGGGCTTTTTTCCCATTCTTAAGAGAAGGATTGAAATTTTTCATGTTTTACCCTCATAGTACTAATCAGAAATAGACCTAATAAGGATGAATGTTTTTTTTTTGTTTTGTTTTTACCTTGGCTTTCCACATAAACCAAAATTTGAAAACGTCCGCCCGGCGCCCGCACTGTATGTGCTTGTCACCGGTGTCGTAGGACGTGTCGTAGAACTTGTCCTTTTGGAACAAATATTGAGCGCAACTGGAATTGCTGTCCGTCAACACCCGTTCGTGTTTGGTCAGGAACGTCGAACACTGTTGGGGCGCGGTCAGCATCTTGTGCGGGTTCCAAGTGACCGAATCGGCTCTGCGGCATATTATGACAAACGCGTTGGTTATATTAATTCGGGGTTTGATGGGAATGATGGGAATAGAGTTAAATGGGTTTTCGATGTAAATGCCATGACATCATAACCGCATGCGTTACCTGTGGATGCCGGCCAACAAGTGTCTGTGCCTTTTGGACACCAGAGCTCCGCCTCCCCAAGCAGCATCTACGTGCAACCAAATGCCATACTCGTGACACACTTCCGCTATTTCCGCTATCGGGTCGAACGCCCCCAACACCGTCGTGCCTGAACAATAAATATAATGGAAAAAATTAGTGATTCAGATTTCACTCGGTTAGTGTGTCCTGCCGCAAGAGCAGGAAAACACGTAGAAAGTAAGTCGGGAATAACCCAACCGTTCAGGCGGCGGTAAGTAACCTGCCCAACATAGTATTTAAATGTATTATCACTGTAACGTAATGTGTTACTACTGCGGTAATACATACCGCACAAGTGTACTATACCTATTCGGCCGTTACAACGAAAATTACGTGGTCAAGTAAATCCAAAAATAATTACTATGATTACTGTTTATTGTTTTCATTGTCGTTAAGGTTTATTAAGCATTGCGATTAGCGAAATGCACAATGGAAAAGTTCCCGACAATCGCTTTCACTTTTCGCAGTTAAATTATACCTTTAACCGTTTTCAGTTATAGATTATATACTGTTATATTGATCGCACATAGTAATTACGGTGGTATACATTGTAGCATAAACGCTACCGACGGATCCCGTAATCGTAGTAATTATTAACCGATATTTGTATGACTTCGGGCGCTTGTGTTTATGCCTCCCCTCCTCCTCCGCCCAAAAAAATACTCAGTGAAATCGACTGCCGCTCCCAAAGTACAATCAAAGATACCCGTGATCGTTTACCTGCAGTGGCTGATACCATTAGTGGCACCGCTTTTTCATCGAGCGTTCTCCGGACCTGTTGTCTCAGATGGGCAACGTCCATTTTGCCTTTGGCGTCCGTCTTGATGCCGTACACGTTGTCCGAACCGATGCCCTCGAAAGCGCACAGTTTCTTTATCGAATAGTGGGCGTCTATCGACGTGTAAACCACCAATCTCGGTAATCCGTGCATGCCTTTGGACTAAAACAATCGAAATTATTACCCCCGTACAGGACTCTACGTAGTTCTTGGCGAATTCTGGCAGAGTAGTTTTAGAATGTCTGATATGACACTCGGACGATCCACTCGAATCCATCCCCCATATTTAATATTGTTAAATCTGTCCTTCACAGGCTCACACCCTACTTAAGTTTGGCTAAAGATGTGTTTATTACCAAAAATCATCTGGTCGGCCTTTCTCTGGCTTTTGAAGCATTACGGTTAGTTTAAGTTAGGTAAAGATAAATTACCTTGACTTCGGGGAAAGCGTAAAACCGGGCACAGTTGATGGCGTACCCGTTGGCTATGGATCCGCCGGGACAGAATATGCCGTCGCCGTTGCCGTCTGGGTAACCGAGGAACTTCCTCATTTCCAACAACACCGTCTCCTCCATAATGGTCATTACGGGCGCCACTTCGAAAGTGTACACGCTCGGGTTTAGGGCATCCGTGAGCCATTGGCCTACCAAGCCATAAGGATCGACACTGAAAAAATAAACACACGACGTATGGTGTGTTGGATAAGTAATGTTTTGCAGAGCAGTCATACAATTTTGATTATTTTTACTTGTAACAAAGCGTTTTCAAAAATTATAAGAGCTAAAATAAGAAATGAGTTCGCAAATATTGCGGATGCTGAAAATGGGTTAAATTAGGGACCAGCAATTCGTGTTAGGTTACTCAAGTCTCATTCCGGAATAGGCCTACTTTTATGTTATAAAATACAACATAAAAAAATACTTTCAATTTTAATTTAATAAATATTTAGCCCACGACTTTTGCAGCGTTTGACTCAAAATTCAATTAAATAAATTAAAAAGTTAATAATTTCAACATATAATTCCATCGTACTATAAACATTTGACAAATAATTATTGTTTAAAGGTATTTTGGAAAATTGTTCGTTTAGGTACAGCGCACGGACACAGAGAAATGGACAATTGTACCTGGAAAACAACTGATTGACAAAATACGGATGGCCCGTCTTGACGCTGTGCTCGATGGCGCCCTCGACCAGCTGCAAAAGGTGGTCGTGCGTTGTACCGGATCGCTGCAACTGGAAGTCGTAGGTGTTCCGCAGCTCGTCCGGGCTCTTCCACTTGAGCACCGGACGCCGGCGGTCCGTACCACGAAATACGGCCTGTTCGAGCATCACGCGCACCGCGTCCTGGATGAACGCCTCATGCTCGGTCCTGTCCGGCGCGCTCCTGTAATCACAGACGGCCACGGCGGTGGCGGTGGTGGCGGCCGAGACTGTCGTCGTCCGCGACCCGTTGTCCCGCAGCTGCTGCGCTTTGTCCGCTGCATTTATGGCCTGCATCAGATCGGCGGCCACCGGCATATACTCTGCGGCCGCGGCGGGCATGGTGTCTGCTTGGATTCCGCAAATCGACTACCTATACAATATATAATAACACCTACGTCGATTAACGCAAACGACCGCGTACTACCACTCGGCGACTTGGTACGTGCCGCTGGAAATAGGATATACGTGTATATAAAACCGGCGGTGCAGCGTGTTCGCGATTCGAATGATGGACACCGCAGATTGACTGAACTGGAGTCGAGACGCGGCCGGCGCGGCTGTTTTATAGGCGTCCGCCACCGGTGAAGGTTAAAAACACGACAAGTTGTTTTTTTTTTTTAAGATAACTGAACGCTTCCCCTCTCGCCGGTGACCGTCAAACGCGGCGGTTTTACGGACAACGCTCAATAATAATAACAAATTTGTTATTATTATTATTAATAATAACGGTCTTAATCAAAATTCATCAAAAACAATTTGAGCCCAACGGTAATAGTTCAAGTGCTCGGTAATCGCCTTTTTGTTAAAAAATTAATTTTTTAACCGGTATCCGCCGTAATCGCGCCATTTCCATTAATGGGATTCATTCGTGTTATGGTATTGTCTAAGTGATTAAAAAAATGTTTAGTAAATCAATTTGACCTCGAACATAACGTCCGGCATGTCGCCGGAAAATAAATACGACGAACATATAGAGCACCTTTAGGCGTCCAACCCCTTTTAGTGCGACGCTGTAGGATAACTGCGCTGTTGGACACATTACCTAGCCTAACTTTTCGCCCAACCTAACCATATCCTTTTTTTAAACTTACCTAACTTTTTGGTCAAACCCGTCGTAACTTTTGTCCTAATCTAACCAACTTCTTTCTCAAAAAATGAAACGAGTCAACGTGTATATTAAATTAGTACACGCTAAATTTGTTTTAAAAACCAATTTTTGGTCGTAAAATATTAAATATCCGTCTATGAAACGTTATCAAGCTAAATACAAAATATTATGGTTGTAAGATATACCTATTCGCGAGAGATATAGGGCTAGTTTTGGCTTTTGGGTTTAATCTCAAAAGTTTACTCACATTAGCTCTGCCGCTCTCCCCCGTCATAATATTATGTAATTTTGTATATTTTGTCGTAATACATTGCTTGTGAGGTGTATCTATCCCCCTTCTCCTGTCAGAAGTAGGAACTCACCAGACCACTGTCCTACTGAATTGTAGCCCTATACTTACTATGAGGAGCCTTTTTTTGATGACTTACCCGTATTTAATGGACTTTTACCGGTTCGATCATTTTATTTTGAGCGATAACGCTTTCGTCAAAAATATCGAGAATCTCAAAAAGGAGATTATTGAATATCCACGAAAGTACTAAAATCTTCTTGGGTTTTAATGAACTTGTGATTGATAAATTAAAAAACTTGAATGTCCTATTTAGGAGCCTTTACTTTTATGGACCTCGTTTGGAATGATTCTAATATTACTTATGTGGCCGCACCGATTCCTATATCAGTAGCCTATTTCATACGAAGTCCACCCGCCTTTGATCAGATGTCAATAATTAAACACAGTTTGACTATGCCTGTCGGCAGCACTCTTTTTTTTACTATAATATCTATGCTCTGTTTGCGTCCTTGTGCTCACAGCAGTAGGCCAACAAGCGTTAAATGTAAAACCGGCAAATGTGGGACAGATACACATAGGTACACACAAATCCGGACAGTCATTACCACCGGTCTCCTAGACATGACCCTCAGCCCGAGTAATTATAATATCGAGCTTACGGGCGCCGTAGCCTTCCTGTTGTGATTTTTATTCAGTCAAACAAGTCATCAACTTTAAAGGCAATATAAGATAATATTCACCCTTCGGGCTTCACAGTTGGACGGACATACCTACAAACTCGGGAGGAAAAACGCAGCGCTCGATTACTTTTGAAAACAATAGATTATAAAAATGATTCTACATAAATAATTGATAAAAAAAAACATACCTATACCTAATAATTGTTTAAATAATTTATTCGAATTTTTTTTTTTACTCGAATAAATCATCTTAGATAATAAAAAAATTATTCGAATAATTCATCTTGGATCTGGTCGAATAAATTATTTATTAATTGTTATTCGAATAAAAAGTGCACAACTCTGATTATAATACCTCAAATGTTAAAAGGCTAAAGAGGTTTGTGTTTCAATAATGATGATAGTACTTGCGAGTTTCACTTAATGACAGATATTCCTATAAACTAATCAATATATATATATATATATCATATACTCGTACATTGTATCTAAAAAGCCCAATGTCGATTTTGACAAACACGATTCAGACCACCAAAACATAGTTAATTAAATTTTATGACCAATCCTCCGACCAGATGATGACTAAACGATTTTATATTTTATATGCTGCTCTGTAATTATAGACCGTCTGATTTATTTTCATAATTGATTCCGACTCGCTATAAGCTATCATAATATTATTCAAGTCGAAAGTAAAAAAAACATGTATATTATGAAGGTACATGTTGATAATTACCCATTAGTTGGTAAACGTTAAACGTATTTACTTGCCATTTTAATGTATAAAATAATGATATTAGGTACAATTATTTATACATTGAATTGCGTTCGTACTTTCCTGTATTTTCTTCACAGCGAGATATTTTTGGCTTCTTACAACAGTTTTAAACGTTATTGAACGTGGCGAGACCTTGAAAGTTGACGGTGAAGGTTACAAACCTGATTTTTAAACTCCCTAACATTTCTTCTATAAACGGCGTCGTTTGCATTTATACATCAGTGTTCGTTTCGAAAAAAAAAATTATTCAAGTGTATAATTTGTAAGTAATAAATAATAATAGCTTTAAAATAAAATTTAAAAAACTGCTTTCTAAATCAAATCAAAAAGCAAGGTTCGGATAGTTCGTCTTTAGATATTCTTTTCTTATAATCGACTTGCTTTCCTTTTCACTTACTTACACATTTTAACTATATCATGCTTATTTATTATCTATTATCTATTGAAACTAAAGAAAAGACTGGAGCTAGGCTGGCTTCAGATATTTTTAACTAATTACAGATTGATGGCTTGGATATCAATAACTTTAGAAGATAGGACTCATAAAACAATTTTTAATTTAAAATTATTATCACAAGTGTAACGAAGTTACATAAAACTGTAAATAAAAAAAATAGGTACAATAAAAATAAAAATAAATATTAGATAAAATATAAAAATAAAATAAAATAAAAAATTATTAAAAAGAGTATTATTACATTAATTTGTTGTTCATAAGGGTGCATAAGGCTTCCTACGCCACGTATATACTTAATTGTGGTTATAACTGCATTATTAATCAAGTCCATATAATGCATAACCTATATTTAACAAACAGCAGTAGGTTTAACAATAGTTGTTTTTAACAGTACTAGATTTCCTGACTAACAACGCAACAACGAAAAGTCTAAGAAAATACTCTTTGGGAATAAATAAAGATTATAAAAACACTATGTCAGATCTCTCTATTTAATCTAAATTATATAATTGTACCTAAGTAGGTACTCACTACTCTCTAACCGAATCACTTAAATTGGATTTTCTGTTATAGTGAAACTATAATATTATGTTAATTAATATGAATTTTTATACTTCCAAGTTCATTAATCAAAAATTAATTTTAAATTTCTGCTAGTAATTAATAATTATGTTTCATTTTCAGGAATAAACCAAAGTGTACAACTTTTTTAATTAATGTTGTTTAGTTCATTTAAGGATAAGAAAGAGCTAAATTAGGTTCACAATAATTAGTGTGCCAACACTAAAATCAAAGATGCAGTATTGGTTTAAGTACACTGTTACCTTGAACCGTTTTACTTCTTGTTTGTATTATATAAATTTGGACTTGCCCTCGAGTAGGTTTTTGGGTATTTTTGACCTTATTAAAATTTAAACATTCAAAAAGATTTTAAAAATTACCAACTTTGTCTAATATATAATTAGATCCAACCTGCTTCGGCATCATAATTTGGTTAATCTTGGAAAAATCTTGTCATCGCTAGCACAGACGACTACATGAGTAAATATTATTCAGCCATAAAGTTATACTTCTGGTATACGCCTGGCCAATTATAATTTTCTGTAATTATTTTAATAGTTCTCTATATTAATTGCATTCTATTGACAGTTTGCCTTAATGGCTGTGCACAAAATTCATTTGTATTTATTCAAACGGCGCTAACCACTATTGCATGAACACCTATACAAATTTCCCCTAACTCATAAGTCAATTATTTAACAGGTGAGTATCTAATGAATGTAGGTGTTAGACTTTATTTATTTAAATTTGTTTTCCTATGTAATGAAATATACATACATTGGCCGATTGGGGTTCCACTCGATTGGCCGATCCGATATTGTTGATCGTTTAATCGCCAATTAACTAGGCGAAACGGGTGGAATATTATTAACGTTTTCACGTTTAAATTATTGTACCCATTACACAAGACTTTAAACGCTTGAGAGAACACTGTATTTTTTCGGCTGTAATTATATTATTTATGTTTTTTATTCAATAATCGACTATGTATATACCTAACTGAGGGAAGGTCACGTAGACCGGAAAGATTTTCCAAAAGAACCTTTTAACATGCTTTGGGGGGCTGCAAAATGCGTGGGAACGAGTTTGACGTTCCCGTCCAAAGAGCGTGTGTGCAAGCGTGTTGTCTACCGGAACAGGTGAGATCTTAAAAACATAGTGCGTGGGTTTTCTAACGGTTTCTCGTGTACATCTGCTCCGGTTTTGGTACCGTCTTAAGAAATACAAAGAGAGTAAAAAAAAAAAAAAAGCCGACGTCGTTATATTTACCAAATCCCCTAAGCAAAAGCGCATTTCTATAGACCGAAAGAAACACAATTCGATATCAAATATTGTGTAAAAAAAATGATTCAATTTCAATAAATTCGTATAGCCACGCCAAAAGGCGCATGATTGTAATTAGTATGTACGAAAATACTTTTCTAACGATCAGGTGCGCTTTCGCTAATAAAAGTGAGGTGGGGGCTGAAACACTGAAAATATTTTAAAGCCCCTTTCCTATGTAACGAGAACGTAAGCAATTATAAGGAACAGTTGTAACAATAGGAAACAATTCTAAGGAACGTGAACGATTTCGCGAATGCTAAGTACACCAAAGCTCTCCCAAAACGCATCCATGCATATAACTAGGTGTGCGTTTAAGTACTTCTCTCCTCCTTTTTTTTATTATTAACTTGACCTAACTGTTGGACTCGGTTGGAGGTGCGGTTTGAAGGTAGGCAGTAACAAATTATTGAAACTAATCAAATCAAAACTTAAATTAGATACCTTAACAAAGTACCTAATTTTTTTAATATGTATTAAATACGAAATGTTGTAGGTTAAACACTAAAGGCTCTGCCGGCTAAGGATATATATTCCCAACAAATCATAAGCACTGCATTTTTAACTATGAACGATACTTAATACTGTACATTATACTTTTGACCGGGAAATCGCACAAGGGGGAATCTTTAACCTTAGTCATTGTATAGTTTCGTTTCCTTTGTATACATTATAACATTACAATATAACGAATGTAAGTAAACATATAGTAACAGTTAATAGGTACCTGTGTTTCAGTCATTTACGCTGTCGGTGTACAACAAGAGTGTTTAACAATTTTAGCAGGTAGTATAATGTATGTAATCGAAAATCCAACACAATACTTTTATATAGTATAATTATTTATACTACTAATCTCTATTAGACTAAAGATGGTATTAAATTAATATTTAATACCAAAAGGTATATGTATATTTTTAAATGTAGTCGTATAATTAGCTTGAAGGTGTAAACATAATAATTGACTATAATAGCCAATAGGACATTAGTTGTCTAGTAGGTATTATCATTAGGTCTCTAGGTATTATCCGTTGGAATCTGAACTGTACTTAAAAAATATTATGGTTTTTTTTTGTATGTTCTGAACGAAATTTTTTGAGAGATTCTTGACATTTTTATTTTTAGAAGTAATGAATATTACAATGAAAGTAACAAAACTGTCGACACTTAACAATTTTGTATACCCTATTAGAGAACTGAGGAAGTGACCGTTTCATTAAGGAGACCGAAAAGACTAATTTATTACACGGTTGAAGTATTGTGATCTAATTTACTATAGAATTAGCCCATTACCAAGACCTAAATACTCATCAATATATTTTGTCTTTATGATTAATGGTATTACAAATTGCAGGTATTACCTAGGTTGTCTGTATTGCTAATTGCTATTGTTTTATTTTAATAGCGATTTTAATTTTGAGAATATTCGAATATACTTAAAGCAGTTGTTTTACATAAAAAAAGCCACTACAGTGGGTCTGTGCATATTGAGCATATCATAGCATATTGGGGTGGGTGTAGTCACAGGTCTATATGAACTATTAAGACTGGAAGTGATAAAGTCACTTTTAAATAAACGCCTAGATGAGAATTTGTAATGGTAGAAATACAAATATCGATAAAGCATTGTACCTAGTGACAATGATGTGCTTAAAATTTGTTTTTTATATTAGGCTGGATACGAGTAGGGTTTAACAATTAACATAAATACCGATAAATCTTAAATATCAATATAATGAAAATATTTTCAAATGCCTACTAGTGTAATTTATCCTTATTTTTTTTTTAATGAATAAATAATAAAACAACATTTTTTACATGTTTTAATTTGTATATACAATTTTTACTCCACAAATGTATTAACAAAGAAATAAATAAATCGTTTTTTAAAAATCTAAAAATAGGAAGATTATTGTAACATATTTTGGACGGGTGGCATAGTAACGAGTGTCAATGGCAGGTGTATAAAAACATCTTCAGTAGCTTTTTTTTGGCCACGAGTCCGTGACAACCTATTAAGAGTCAGGACTACCGACTATAGCTGAAAATATATTACCTAACAGTATACACATTGTTTTTATCAAACTCATTATTTATTTTGAACTTACAATCCTTATACCTAAATTTGTAACTATAAAGTACCTAGATAATCAAACAATTAATAATATACATAATATTATTATTTAAAATATAAAGTTAATTTGTACTCATATTAGGCGCTTAAGAAGAATTATTGAGAAAAATTCGGATTGAAAGAAACTTCATTAACATTCTGATTGATTTATGAGTTAAAATTTTAAAATATAAGTGGTCAAACTATAGTTCCCTGTCTTACATGATGGTGTACAATATTTGATCGCGATCCATCCATTCAAATTTAAATGATTTTACAAACCATTACGTCTTAACAGTTTTGTTGAGATTAATTGTAGTGGAACACAAAAGAAATAACAAACAAACACTTTGAGTAATAATAGTGTTAATATTATAGACACAAGTTAAACCAATAATAACAATACAATATAGATATATGTATAAGTCAAAAGTAACAAGCACATTAACAAAATAGTAGCTGTGGAACGAGTGTGTCCCCTTGTCCACATACAAAGGTATTTATATCATAAATCTAGGTTAAATCAATTCATACAAAATACTTTCTAAGATTTCACATACAATAGTGTCTTCCTCGACATACTAAACTAATCACATTAAAACTACCTTAGAATATTAATTACATTTCAACAAGTTTTAACAGATAATTGTATGATTTTCCCCGTGTAACCCGGCATAATCCTAAGCTAAAATAATCAAACGCGTAAAAATATTAGCCAATCACTAAATTTACTTGTATATAGTTGTCCTAGTTCAAAACTGCAACAACTTGAAATTATAAATAAAAATGTGTTGCACAACTTTATGTTATTTTTCTCTAAATGTAAACTGATTAAACCACCAATTATAACGCACACTATGAGGGATGGGATATCTCAGAATTATTTTAAGTTAATGAAACTTTTAATAATTTTTTATTAAGTAGTCTTATGTACTTTTATTTTATGCACTGTACAGCGAAACCGTACACAGGACAGTTGCCCATGTTATGACATGGCATATAATAATAATATTATCACAAAAACCGTCTGTTTGGGTTACGGTTGTTGTACTATGAAACGGCATAACACTAGAGGCTAGAGCCGTCAACCGGCCAGACGGCAGGCACATCACACCGACGTCTGAAGGTCTTGCACGTTTGTTTTGTTTGTTTGTCCAGTTTACGTGCAGTGCAGCAGCTGCAACTGCCACCGATCGGCCGTGGCCATCTCTCTCGCACGCGACAAGACCTATTCACGTATCACGTACCGCGTACGCCGTCAAAGGCCGGAGCGGAGGGGCGCGCTGTGTGGAACGGCTAGACGGACGCGCGTATCAACGTTGTTTCCCGCGTTTTCCGCGACGGACCACAACAAAAGCGAGGTCTCAGGTTGGCGACACTGTCGACGATCACGGACACCGGTGTGTCACGTGAACCACGCCGACCAATCAGGACCACGAGCGCGACCAGACGAAAACATACCAGACATTTTTCCACCGTGTATCATGGCATGTGATCACAATACTACACATTATTATTCTGTGGGATGACTCAGAAATTGATATTACTTTTTGGCTGTTCGTGCTCTGTGTTAGGTCGGTCTACTTGTTTTTTTTTTGTTATTAATTATTAATTTAAAAGAAATCACCCCGCGGTTGTGTCGGACAATTAATTATTTCATATGCGTTTTCGGTATTAACTTTTTTTAATTATTCAAGTGTCGTTCGGTATATAGTCTTACGTCTACCAAAACGGTTATCACTGTTAAACTTGTCCGGACAAGTCTGATCAAAGGTATATCGTTTTCGTGTCGAAAACTCGTCTTTCTTCTTTTAATGGATATGGATATTTTGTCGTACTCTACCAGGATGTTCTCTGTGCCGCGTAAGTAAACGACAACAAAATTATTATGTTTAGGAATGTTCACTTTTAGCAAGCTATTTTGGATATTGTGAAAGTTAAAATTTCTACAAAAAATAAATTATTCATTGGCACTTATCTGAAATATAAGATTTCTCAAAATCTTATGATTTATTCCTTAATGTATTTAAAAATTAATATTTTAAATATACCTAGTTTGTACTAACTGTACCTACTTAACTATTTTTAACAGTTTTAGTCTCTAGATCAATAGGTATTTATTGTCATCAATATTAATTAACATTGATTAAATTACAATAATAATATAAACTAACTCAACTTGCGATAAGAGTATGCCAATCTTCCAGCGATTATTATTTAACCTAAAGCCGCTTAGATCTTTGTATTATGTTATTCTAAATTAAGTATGCAATTTATAGTTATTTTACAAATCGTATATAATAATAAATTTGATTTTTTGAGGTACTTCTATAAAAATGTTGATCTTAGATAAGTAGGTAGGTATTATAAACAAACTTCTTAAAGAAACTGCTAAACAATTTTGGTTTCTTAGTTAAAAATGGTATAGTTAAGTAGGTATTGTAAATCCATAGGTTACCTATGTATTAACTTTGATAGTACCTATATTAATATTGAAACAATATTGTGAAATAGTTGTTACTGTTTATTTATTTCTTGTCTGTTCATTCAGTTCATTTTTATTGCACCGACTAATAAAATGATTAACATATCATATCAGATGTTAACTTATTACAAAATGAAAGTTGGTTCAATTAAAGTTAGCCACTGTTAAAATAATTTTCCAATAATGATAATACTAATTAATATTTTTTAATTATATATTTATGTTAATTTTTTTGTTTTGTTTTCAGATCTTGATTAAGCTTTGATAGCTTTTACAATGGTCATTTTGGATGATAACAAATCAAATTTGAGTAAAATTATTAAAGAAACGAAACATGGCTGGAGATGTGCAACGATTAAACAGTCCAGTCTCGTTGTTGCCTAGACGTTTAAATTTCAATGATTCTGATGAATCTTCACCTAGTCATAACAATGCAAGTTCTCAAGATTCACCTAAAACACCACCCAACCATGGACTACACGTACCACCTATGACACCTGCTTGTCGAAAACATCGTCCTTGTATTCCATTAAGGTTTGCAGAATATTTAGCTTCACCGTCTAAACCCGATTCGCCTCAGAAAGATGAATTAGCCTATTCACCTCCGATTAAACGAATTCGTTTGCTTAAATTGGAAGAAGGAATATATGATCGTTCTCATTCTGGATTAAAATTTTCTAGGGCGTATGAACATAAGACTCCACATAGCTCATTCAATGATTCAAGCCTATCTAAAGTTAAACAGTTCAGCATAAATCCATTTTCTCCTGCAGCAACTGATTTACGTCATAAATGGATGAACAACAGCTATAATAACAACAACAACAACAATAATGATCTATCATTATCTGATAGTTGGTCTAAGGATTTGACCAATGTTGAATTAACTGATCTCGAAGTTACTAGGTATTTTAAAGAATTTAAAGTGGATGAGCTTATAGGTAAAGGCGATTTTGGAGAAGTTTACAAATGTATAAACATGTTGGAAGGCATGCCATATGCTATCAAAAAAACACTAAAAAAAGTGGTCGGTACTAGACGTGAAAATTATGCACGTAAAGAAGTATACGCAAATGCAGCTTTATTTAGTCATCCAAACATTGTTGCATATCACTCAGCCTGGAATGAAAGCAATTCAGTCTTTATACAGCTTGATTACTGTGACGGCGGCAATTTGGATGATCTAATATTTACGAAAAACCACAAGTTCAATGATGCTGCAGTGGAACGTCTACTATCACATTTAGCCAGTGGTCTTCATTACATGCACATGTCAAAAATGGTTCACTTGGATATAAAACCAGCCAACATTATGATAAGTCATTCTCAGTACCCTAAAGAAGACGAAGACAAAGTCGATAGAGATATAATTTATAAAATTGGAGATCTCGGTCATGTAGCACACTTAGAAAATTTATCTGATGTAGAAGATGGTGATGCTCGTTATTTGCCCAAAGAAATGCTCAGTGGTAAATATGACAGTACCTCTATTACTAAGGTCGATATATTTTCATTGGGAATGACTGCTTATGAAGCTGTTGCGAGACTACGATTGCCAAGTGATGGATCCGAATGGCATTTTCTCAGAGATGGTTTTGTACCTGATATTGATGGTTTTGGATTAAGTTTATTAATAGCTAGTATGATTGACCCTGTGCCTCATAATCGACCTAGTGCTATTGATGTCTTCAAGAATGTTACCTCTAAAGCTAGAGAACTAGCCGAACTGTCAACTTTACAATTTAAAAGAGAGTACTTCGCTAGTTGTTCAACGACAAAATCCACACAATGTTCGCCGAAGAGAGCTGGAACTAATATAAAACGAAACCCAATGGCATTGAGTACGTGGCACAAAAGGAGATTAGTTGGACAAAAATCTCAACGCTATTCTTCGTTTTGAAAAGACATTTGTAACTTACCGTGCACTGTCCTTTGTGTAAATAAAAACTTGAACTCTGTGATGATAATTATAATATTGTTTTTTTTTAATATATACAAATTATTATTTTTTTTATAAAAAAAAAGAGATTAACTGTGAATTTTTTTGTATTTGTTTGTGAAGTTATATGATTTTTGTTTAAGATTGCGCTAGTTGTTCGTAATAAGTTATTAGCGGTTTGATAAAATATCTCTTCATCACATTGTCTACTAATACTATTATTATTATTATTTGTTCATATAATTACCTACAATATTAAGTTTGAAATTAAATTGTTTAGCCACTATTTTTTATTTTACTAAAACATAGACCAGTTTAAAGTGTTTTGCGTATAAATCTGTTAGTCTTTTTACATTATAAAGTAATCATTTTTGATAAGTAAAATAATATACATACCATTTTATTGGTTTTAGTTATATCAGCCATGACTAATGCAGACTGCTATAATTAAGATGTATATTATTTTTCACTTGGTTGATTTGTTATTGTTTTTTTTTTTTAATAGGTAAAGTATTTATTAAATAACATGATAAAAGTACTACAATTTCTATTGATAATTGTAATTAATGTATTATTTTACATTTTAATCTGTTATTATTAAAACGAATAATAATGCATTAAATATTTCTTTTATTTAATCTCGACTATAAATTGTACTCAAACATTTTAACTACTGGTCAAAGTATTTTTACTAGGATGTAATATGTTGTATACATTTTTTTCATTATTGATTGATATGCTGTAGAATTATTGTTAATTTCTTGGCATTTTTATATGTACTAAAAAAAATAAGTATGTCCACATGTTGCTTTAATAATTTCATCAATTTTTTTTATAATAGTTAACTTTATCATTCAGTTTTTATAGCTATATATTTAACATGTAATACTGAACCTTGTCATTGTCCTCTAATAACAATTTATTTTTTTTAATTATATGTAGACTTAAGAATGCCATACCTATTTAATATGTATCATTAGTGTTAAAAAAGTCTCTGAATGTTGCTAAGTTACTTGTTCTTTTTTTTATATATTATGTTAGCTATTATTTTTATGTAACAATGTTAATTGTTGTGAGAGAAATAAAATAAACAATGTTTTACAAATTTATCGTTTTTTTTTTGTACCATTTATTTACTAAAATGATAATGAAAGCTATTGCTAAGAGTAAATTATAATTACAGATTAGGATTTAAAATTATAGTACTGTTAAATTTTAAATATTAAAGACTATGTAATATATTAGTAAGACAAATTTAAATCTTCAGACCAAAAAGCACTAATGTTTAAAGGTCATTGGAAATGTAAGTAAAAGTTAAATATTCAGGCAATTGGTAATTGATTGTGAAATGAGTTAGATAAAATTAACAATTCCGATCCAAAATGGTATTCTCAAATTGTGGAAAATAAAAGTTATGGTTTATGCCATTTGATACATGTATGAAATTTTTAAATCATTGACTATACCTCAATTTACAAATAGAAACAAAAAACCGATTTTAATGCAATACTCAACACAAAAATCAAAATTATTTAATAATAATATATGATTATAAATGATAGTTGTTATCACTTATTATCACGATATTTGGACACCCTAGTCCCTTATGGCTTACACTAGGCAGTAGACATGATGCACTTAAATTATTGAATTTTTGAGTACAAACTACAATTTACAAGTACCTACTTGTTTTCAATTGATTTTACTCATTCTGGTGAATAATATCCGATTTCTGAATAGACAGATTGTTGTACTAAAATATATATTCTTAACACCTCATTTAAGGTGAGTGTTTATTACTGATTATTAATAATTTTATATTTTTGAAAGAAATGTAATAGTGTATGTATTTCTTAGGTAACTTTCACATAATAATACAAAATATCGAGTGTTGTATTGAATATGTATTCAACATTATCAATGAAATGTGGGCCGTATATCAAAAGTTCTAATAGAATGATACGTGGTATTTATGCATTTCGTCGATTCAAATCGGACGATGGACCACCAGATGATAGTGATTCTAAGAAAACTCAGGCTGTTCATAAGTTAAACGATTTATTAAAATCAATGGTAAAAGGAAATGACAATCCTCAAATTTCGAAATCAATTGAGTTGGCAAAACCTAGGCAAATGGCGAGAAAAGCAGAAAAAAAACAAGAAGTAAATGAAGAAGAAAGTGATAAATCATTAGGTGACAAATTAGCAAAAGCGGCTACTTCTGTTGCCGAGACTATGGGCGGTGATGTCAAAAAAACTGAGTCGGAACTTCTAAATTTGTTAAGGATATATAATGATGAACCAGATAATCAATGTGAAAAAAAACCTAAATCATCTGTCCATTTGAGTGAATTAATTTCTGGAATGAAAATAGATCGTTCCAAACCCAAAGCTGCTTCCTCAAATTATCAGGGAGTTGATGATAAAGCTCAGAGGGTTAGAGAAATTTTAGGCAGTACTTCTAGCCAACGAAAACCGTTTGAAAAATCAAATCAATATAGCAAACCTATGCATAGTTATGAACCAATAAATATATTTGGCAGCGACCCACTTAACATATTTAAGAATCCAGATGTATCAGACAACAATGTTTCAAAATTGCAGACATGGGACAGACTTCAAAAAAAAACATTGAAATTAGCTGTGACACATCCTCCCAAAAATATATATGAACAAATGATAAGGTGGACAGAACATGGAAAACTGTGGACATTTCCTATCAATAACGAACAAGGCATGGAAGATGAAAGTAAAGTGTTTTTTGCTGACCATGTATTTTTGGAACCGTTACTGGACGACTGGTGTCCAAAAAAAGGACCTATTAGGCATTTCATGGAACTAGTTTGTGTAGGTTTGTCTAAAAATCCTTATTTTACAGTCGAAGAAAAGAGAGATCATATCAACTGGTTTAGGCAGTATTTCTATGAGAAAAATCAACTACTGAAGGAAGTAGGTGCATTTGAAATTAAATCATTGCCAGAAAACGTCAAGGAGTACTATAAACCTCCGGTTCCAGAATATTAGTTTAAGATAATCTGCTAGTGTTAAAATAGCATTACTGTATATGAATTAAATTTTTTTTTTTAAATGTGTTGATTTTTTTTTTAAACTCAAAATATGTTTTAATGGTACACATTTTGTTAATTTTTGTTTCTACGTTTCTTAATTCTTCTTAAATTTACTTTAATTTAAAAAGATAAGTTAACTAAATCTATTATACAAGGTGGATTCATCTTGATATTATCTATAATCGTAGTGATAAGTAACATTTAATAATAACACAATTATTTACCAACTAGCGTTTAAACTAAGGTGATTTATAAAGTGGCTGCACTGAAAATCACAAACTGTTCGAATGAATTGCGCAAGCGCAAACGGAGTACACAATAATAATAATATGATAAACATTTTCATCTTTCCGCTTTCGATACATTCTGTGAACTGTAGAGACTAAACAGAGATTGTTGAATTGAAGATAAAATTGGCGATTCTATTTCTATATTTTATGCACGATATTTGTTATTTTAAAGTTTTATGGTTGTGAGTTTTTTTTTTTTAAATTTAACTATTTCTCAATTGTTTTTAAAGGAACAAACTCTTAGTCTTTTAAATTACAGCGGATTACTACATTTCTACCACATTAGTTGATAAGTGAGTTATTCCTGTTCAATAGTTTTCAAATCATCGGTTTTAAAATGATGCTCATTAATGCTAATTATATTACAGTCTAATTTTTGATTTAATGCCATATCTTAAATTTGAAAGTGTTTTTGCTGCTTAAATCCTGAAATAGAAATGTTTACATAATTGAAAGTAATAAATAATTAATAATGTTTGCCATACTCATACAATAACAGCATCCATTTGAGACAGAAACAAATGAGCGTCAGGGCAATCACTGGTTTATAGTGACAAAATCACTATTGAGCAAATGCTTTCCTGTAAATTGTCAATTAATAAAATAAAACATATTGGTATTCATCATAGTAAACATCCAAAAAGTTCACAATATTTTGTCAATAATTCTTTATCGGTTTTCTCTAAATTAAAGCAATATTTGATCACAATTATTCTTAGGCACACAAGTGTGGTTAATTGGGCTAAGCCTCACCTGAGGATTTCTTTAGGGGGCTACCTGATAAAGGATCAATAAGTCCTTTTACATGAAAAAATAATACATTTAACATAAATATATATTTTTTTCAACTTAATCATAAAATTGAATAGGTAATGCATTTTTTTTTTAAGACATTACCCCTGTCGCCACGGATAGCAATCAACACGTAGTAATTAAATAAAGTACTCTGTACTCATTTCAATGGCTCATATTTTTAGCTGACGGCTATCGATTGCTTTAAACTTTACTGGGGGGATTAAATTAATGCTAATTAAATTTTGCAAAGTTATTAGTTTAATAAAGTAGACAATTTTTTAAAGTTTTTTCCATTTAGAGAGGAAATATAAATTAACACAATCTAGCATCAACCTATGAGGTTTATACATGAAAAAATCTGATTATCAATTAAGTACCTAATTATAATAGAATTATTAATTATCACACAAATTCACAGGTTTTTTTTTTTTGTGTTAAAAATGGTTAATATATATTTTTTAATTATAACATGTTAAAACTTTATAGTGTTATATATTATTTTGTATTATTAATTTTTTTTTTCAGCCACTGGAATTAACCAAATTCATATACAAAATTCTTTATGTTATTCTTGGGTGATGGGTTTCTTCAGTTCGTTGCGAAGTATCAAAAAATGGTTTACTGATAAAACTGGGTTAACTGGAACACAAGAAGTAACCAAACGCAAGCACGATGATTGTGAACCAGTAGCTAATAAAAGAGCACGGATGGATGATAGTTTGGTGGAAGTGGTTGAGATAAGTGATGAATCACTATCTGAAACGGAAGAGGTGGAAATCACTGAGCCAGGGCCGTCTACAGTTCCCCTCAGAGCTAGCCCTCCTGTATTTTTAAGTGACCAACGTCATTTCCAAAGAAGAACCCTATCGCCATTTACTATGATAGATCTAACTAGCAGCAGCGATGATGAGAAGAAAACTAAACATGCTCGATATAGTCTGGCAAACCCATCACAGTTTTCGAGTAGAACCAAGCAATTAGTTAGAAGTGCGAGTTCATCTTCAACAATGTTTAAAAGTAAGTAGATTATAATAAAACTAGCTATTTGTACCCAGTTTCATACGGTTAGTGAAATTATGTTTTTTTCTACCATTGCTATAAATTTTATACTATCAAAAATTGTAATCATTGGTAATGAAGCAAAAAAATTAATGATTCTGTTGCAAAATTTCCTTAAAATGTAACTTTTCCTTGTAAGCGATAGAGGCCCTTAGATTCTTCCACCCATTTCAAATCCGAACAAAACTCACATGTGACAGACATTTCAATAATTCATTGTGGAGTTTTCTTTATGATCCCATTTAGGTGATATTTCGGCAGCAGCATTTCTAGCTAATCATTTCCTTCTAGTATCATTAGGAGAACTACTAAGATTTGAATTCATTTAAGTATTATGCAAAGAAACTACTGTTAAGATTTATTAATGAAACGATTGAATAAATAATTTCAACGCACTAGAAAAGGAATAACAGCAAAAATGTTTTACACTTATAACAATAATGCTTATATTACGTTTTTTTTTTACGGTTTTGAAGAGCTGCAGAAAAACTATTTTAACTTAGAGAAATGAGGTTTATGTTGTTCGATTCAGTAGACAATCTAGTTTGTTTCATCAAGTTTTAAAGATTATATCACTAAAATGGTGACTGTGTGCGCGCAGACCACCCTATGTCTCCCATCATAGAGACTAGGCGCTCAGGGAACATTTACCTCAATTTTAGACCGACAAGCTCACCAGAGTTGAGAATTTGCGACTTTTTTCTCTGGGGTTATACCTAAAGGAAAAAGTTTTTAAACATCGTTCACACAACTTTGGAAAACTTAAGATGAGAATTAGGGAGGAAATAATGGCTATACCTATCTGAATGTGCCGACAAGCTGTTGAAAACTTCAGAAATCGCCTTCAAGAGTGCATCGTTGCTGACGGTCGTCTTTTTAGTGATGTATTCTTTAAATTTTTTTTTAAGAAACTAGATTGTCTACTGAATCGAACAATATAAACCTCATTTCTCTAAGTTGAATAGTTTTTTTTCTGCAGCCCTTCAAAACCGATGCGTGTTTTTTGCCCCACCCTGTATAAATCTTGTCAGTAGTTAAAACTGTATGTATATCGCTTCAGTAATTTCAAAGATTATCCCGGACAAAAATAAGAGACTCTTTTATACATTTGAGAGAGATACAAGAAATAATAATATTTGTTGTTTGAGCTGGGTATTTCAATACATATTTTAAATGAAATTAATTCATACTTAAAATTGGTTTCTCTTTACTAAATGTAATTTATTGTTTTGTACATTGTAAAATTTAGTTTAAAAATGTTACAAAAAGTACACAGGAATAAAACAACAATTATTTTGTTTTTTGTATAAATTTGGTACAGTTTTATTCCCTGATACATTAGTTGAACATTTTCATGTAAGATATTTTTTATATGGTACACAACTTTAAATTGATCACTGCAAATTTTAAAAATGTATTTATACTTTTTGAACTAGTTAGATAAAAAAACTGTATACTTACTCTATAACAACTGTAAACTTTTTGTTTTTTGTAGGAACGAATAGTCCATCCATGGAACATAGTTTTTCTTCATTACATATAAATAAAACTTCAACACACAGTGACAGTGAACGAATTCTAGGTCTTATTTTGAAGAATTACGCTCTGCCTAAATCTAAATCTGAAGCTTTAGAACTATCTACTTCTTGTTCTACATCCCCTGTTTCTATTCACAAACAAAACACTATGAATCAAACTAATATGTCCAATAAATCTGGGAAAGAAAATGTCAATATTCCTGAGCTGAGTTTTTACAAAAATAGAAAAATAGAACAAGAAACATTTTATAATCGTATACTAAGAAAATTCAGAGAAAAACAGGCGGCATCAACATTAATATCAGATCGTCAGAAGAAATCATCTGATGATGTATTTTTGGAGAAGCTTCAAACTATGAATAAAGAAATTGAAAAAATTGAACCAAAAAAAAAACAAGAAGTATTTCCTGGTTATAGCAAAGAAGTAACAGATTTTATTTCCCAAAAAATGTCCGGACCACAAAATGAATTTATTGTTAAAGGGAAAAACATTAAAAAGAGTGATCTCAGAACTATTTATTCTCCTACAGCATGGTTAAATGACGAAGTTATCAATCATTATATGAACATGATTGTTGATCGAGATCCTAAGTCATTACATACATTTGATACATTCTTTTATACTAAATTATCGTAAGTTATCTAATATATTTATTAATTTTTATTAAGCCGAAAAATGTACACTATAAACATTTTGTGGGTCCTCCTATATGTTCCTCGTTAGCTGCAGATAATTTGTCCTGAAGATATGGGTATCAAGTACTTAGGCAAAATAGTGAACCCTTAGGAGAATCTACCGTTTTTTTTATAAAATGTGTACATAAATAATCTTTTTTTTGTTTAACTAAACTTTAAAATGTTTTGTTTTAGTTCACAAGGATATGAATCTGTACGACGATGGTCAAGAAAGAAGGACATTTTTGCTTGTAAAAAAATGTTTAGCCCCATACATTTAGGAAACCATTGGTGTCTCATTTGTGTGAATTTCATTGAAAAAACAATTAAATACTATGATAGTCTTGGAGGGACAAACCCAAAGTGTTTAAATGCAATAATGTACTATTTAAAAGAAGAGCATAAAAACAAAAAGAATTCAGAACTCGACTGTAGTGGTTGGCGATTAATGGAAGCTAATGATTGCCCTAAACAACGGAATGGATACGATTGTGGAGTGTTTGCTTGTATCAACGCAGAGTTCTTGTCGCGTGATGCAAAATTAGACTTTACTCAAGAAGATATGCCACAACTGAGACACAGGGTGTGTTATGAAATATTGAGAAATCGATTGTGTTTTTGATAATGTACAAGAAAAAAGAATATATATTTTGATTCCTTTCAGTTATTAACTTTTACGAGTATTAACTTGTGTATTTGTAAATATTGTGTACAAATATGTACAAATTACCACAAAGATACATTCCTTTATGCAACAAGATTTATATTGACTACCTGATTTTATTTTATATTTGAATTTATATAGTATTATTAGTAACATTCTTCATTTAAAGTGCAGTATGATGATTAAATACAAAGAAATAATAATAACAATGTTCGAGTTCATAAGATATTTTGTTATACTAGCAAAGTGACCCAAGGTATCAATATACATCTTAAGTATGGAAAAATATATTGACAATATCAGTTTCATTTAGTATGAATTGTATTCGTGCTAAGTATTATACAATTACTTTTTATATAGAGTTAAATATTTAATTAAATTATTAATTATATTATTAAAATTGAATCTTTAATTAATATAAGTTAATTATTTAATTTATTTTTTATCATTCAGTAGTTAATTAATAATTCAAATTAAGTTGTATCGTTTTTCTATAGAACTAGATAAACTAATAGTATTACAACTTAATTTTTTGCTAAAATCTCATCTGTTTCTTTTACATTTAACATTGTAAATTAATGTTTTTGAAGTTGTAACATTGTAATTTGTTGAGAACTATTAAGTAGTTAAATGTCTATTACATAATAAGTGTCTAATATTTATAAAACGTATCAGTTATATTTTTTAAGATTAAAAAAAAAGGAACATGTTGATTTGTATTTTAAGAATTGTAAAATATTGGCTGATACATTACTTTATGTGAAATACTTTATAATACGTTTTTTATTGTAATTATTGTTCATACATTTAATTAATCTAATTTTGAGAAGTATAATTGATATTGTAATGCTTTTCATACTAGATTAGTCTTAAATAATTAATTTTGTATAAAGTTGGTACCATTTAAGAAGTGTAAAAATGTAAAAGCTTAACATGAATAATATACATATTATCATGAGTTTGTTAATTTTGAACAATTTTGTTTGAAAATAAAATTAATTGTTATTATTGAAGTATTTGTTTTTTATAGTGTATTTAGTTTTAATGTATGACAATAATGTAAAACTGAGTCAAAAGTAATGCAGACAAATTGAAAACTTTCAATAATTTATGAATAAAATTAAAAATAGTTATTTTATCTTAACACTAATTATTAAGTATGATCGAAACTCGAAAGTAATTTACAAAAAAATGTGTATAAGTAGCATATTGCTACTTAAACAATACAATTTATGTTACGTTTAACAAAAAATCATACATTTATCAAAAAAAACCTGTTAAATATAAAGTACTCCAGAGCTGCTGTCGGACCTAAATTTCAAATTAAAATATCTTTCCTTTTTTAATGAATTATTCTTTAAAACGTAAATCGCAGTCTAAAACGAAATCTATTGAAGTAATAGATAATACCTAATTAAGTAATAATAATAATTCGAATTATGTTCATGCAATAATAGACCACAGTTTCATTTAGTTGTGGTTTAAACAGATCGCAGTTGTATGATAATTGATAAGTGATAACGTATAAAATTGAATTGTTAAGATATGAGATAACTATAAAATAGCACAAGTCAGAGTTACAACATGTTTTAATTTTGGATGCAATTTAAATTATAAATTAGAACTAAAAAATAAATTATTTTCAAATGTTATACATTTTACCTACGTATGTGATTTTTCTCTTATAGTTTGTATTATTGAACATTTTTGTACGTAAAAATATAGCCTTTATAAATGTACCTAATTATTTGAAAATTAGATTATATACAATTATTGTTACAGGTCCTTAATAACAATAATATGCTCAGTGCATATGTAGTAAACAATCGTTAAAGAAAAATAAAAAAGTAAAGGAGTTAGTGCACACCTACTGTTGAATTACCACAATATAGTAAGTATATATTTAATTGTTTAATACTTTTAGTACACATTTATTTTACCACAAAAACCCTCTTTTTTTTTTTTAATTCTAAAATCTAAGTTTTTTTATTACTGATTTTAATCTGTAATCAAAAATCCACAGCCTCTGTATCAAAAATTGTATCTAAATACTTGAACTTTGTGGTTAATTGCCGGACAAGAGTGTCAGAGCAAATTCACTTTCCTTTTATGGTTATTATTATTTTTATAATGCGCCTATGGATTTTTACGTTTAATTTCAGCAATTAAGTTGATAATTAATATTTTTTTTTATTAATAAAAGCACATTAATAAAAAAAAAGTTGATAATTGTTTATTATAAACAAAATTGTTTAGTTAAGTAAAATTTGTTCTATACTTTTTTTAATTAGTTGATAAATTAAAATTTTATTGTGCTATCTGGATTAATAACTAATATTATGATTGCTGTTATGTAGGTATTCAATTAAAATTTTAATAATGCATTATGACACAGTTTTATACTATATCAAAGAGATTACAGTTATTACTACTCTTAGTATGCTAATTTCTACTTTAGTCCCTCACCCTACCTTGAGGAACAAATTTCTTTTTTGACATGTCCTATATATGTTTTTAGATTAAGCAAAAAACAAAAAAATTATATCAAGATGGATAAGACCAGCATTAAGCAACAATTAAAACGTGCAAAAGAAGAATTTATAAAGAAAGACTTTTTTGAAGCGTCCAAACTTTGCAAAGCCTTGTTGACAGCTGAACCTAACAATATATCAGGTCTTATTCTGTACGGCGCTACACTGCTAGAAATTCCATCTAAAAAGGATGAATCCATACAATATTTTCAAAAAGTAATTGACATCAATCCCAATAATATATTTGCATGGCAAGGGGTTGAACAATACTATGAAAAATGCGACAGACAAACAGTATGTCCTCAACTATTTTTCACTTACGCAAACCTATTGTGTTTGGAGTCTGATGAAAATAAATGTAAAACAAGAGCTAAAAAAGCTATAGAGCTTTGGAAAAATTATAAAACTAAATTAGATGTTGGGCTTTTTGTAAGTACTGTATTACCAAAAGTGGAAACCGAAGAGACAACACCACAAGTTTTAGCTATTAGCAGAGTTCTTGCAGAGTTCCCCTTCACGGAAGAAACTGTATCTTTAGACAATCATCTAGAAAAAATTTATTTGGCCTTGTGTGAGGATAACAGTTATGATGACAGATTTGAAATATATTGCAAACTTATTCCTGTATTAAAATCAAAAGGAAAAAGGCAAGAAATTGTTGACATATGTGAAAAAATGCTTTCACTGTATAATAATAACGCAACTGCTATTAATTTTTACTGTGAATCTTTTATTAGTAATTACATTAAATCAATAACAGATTTCGAAGAGAGTTTAATACAAATTGTTGACAAAATGAGTACAAATATTATGGAAAGATGCGACATATTATTATCGTCTCAGCCAACTAATCCTAATTCGTTAATAGCCAAAAGTATTGCTTTAAGAAGACAAAATAACTTTGAGGATAGCCGTAAATTATTACAAAAAGTATTGCAAGTCAAGGTTAGTTCTTGGCAGTCATGGTTTATACTCACTGAAATTCAACTTAATATACATTATTATGAAGATGTTATTCGGTGTGTTCATCAAGCGAAAAAAATTATAAAACCTACTTTTTCTTGTTATCAAACAATGGTTCTTTGGGAAATTGAAGCGTATTGCTCTTGTTCCAAACATTATCTTCAAGGCCGCCAGTTAGCCATTGAGATTCTTTCTCAAAATATGTCGGATGTGTTAATTAGTTGTGTTATTATTGCTAGCTGTAATTTGGGCGATCAAAAAACTGCTAAAAACTATTTAAATACATTGCAAAATAAATGTGGTAATAACGATAACTTTTTATACTTGGAAGCATTATATTTTAGTCATTTTGATCAGCTAGATGACGCCTTAAATTGTTTAAAAAATATTCATAAACCTTCAGTTGATACAAAGCTTTTACATGGCAATATTTTATGGAAACAGAATAAATTTTCTGAGGCTGGTAAATTGTATCTGGAAGCATCTCGGATCGCCCCATATCGATGTGATCTAATCACAAAGCTAGGAAACTCTTATAGACAAATAAAACAGTTACCTACAGCCATAGCTTGCTATGAAAAATCAATAATGTTGAATCCTGACAATGAAGAAACTGGAATTGCATTATCGGATCTCTATTTAACTTTGTCAAAAACTGAAGAACAAGAAGTGCTATTAAATTTCTTAAATAGATCAAATAACATTAAATGGTCATCTTTGAGGTTAGGCTTGTATTATTTGAAAATTAAAAATTATGAAAAAGCTGTAGACAATTTTCAACTTGCTACTAAGTATGATCCGTACAATGCATCCTGTTATGAATGCCTTGGTGACGCTCTCTATGCACGAAGATCACTTATAGGCGCAAAACTCACTTATGCTAAATGCTTGGAAATAAATCCTACTCTTTTATATCCAAAACTACAAATTGCTAAAATTGAATACCTAAGTGGTCAATTTGATGCAAGTATTCAACTTTATTATAACATTATAAATGCACATTCCTCCGAGTTCAGTGTTCTGTTGGAGGCTTCTAGAATATTTTTGACACACGCCAAGTGTATATTTGATCATCAAGTTAATAGAAGTTATGAATTATGTAAAAATGTTTGTGAATATTTGCATAAGGCATTACATATAGATAACCGGTTTGCATTGTTGTGGAAATTGTTTGGAGATTTATGTATGTTAGTAGCAACTATGCCCGAAGAGCTATCGTCGTTAACATTACCATGGAATATATTTGACAAAAGTCAAGAAAATTATGTTATTAATAAGTTACAGTTTTATACCTATTCTCGAAGATGTTATACTCAAGCATTAAATGTGACAACAAAAAGGACTTCATTGAATGCGGTCCAGAAATACATTTGGCATGATTTAGCCAATTGTTATTTAAAACATGCAGAGAGTGCAGAGATTGATAAACAAGAGCGGTTAGAGTTCAAATCTAAAGCGAAGCAAGCTATTAAAAAATGTTTGTCCTTAGAAATAAATAATAATGGTTTTTGGAATACAATGGGTCTAATAGAAACTATTGATGAATCAGAGAACGAGTACCTGAGTTATATTTGTTTTGTCAAGTCTTTAGAAAGCAAAGTAAATGCAGTCGCATATAATAATTTGGCTGTAAAGTGTATGCTCCACAACAATGTAGATCTTGCTCTAGAAGCTTGCAATTTAAGCCAGTGCCTAGATCCGACTTTGATTAACAGTTGGATTGTGCAAGGACTTCTTACACGTTATGAAGATCCTGAAAAATCTTTGGAAATATTATATCATTCTACCACTTTAGGTGTTCATGAGGAAAGTATCTGCAATTTCACCGAATTGAATTTCATAAGTATTGACCCCAATACTACGGTTCTAAAGCCAACTTATAAAACTCTGCATTGTATAGATGTGCTTACTTGGCTTACGTCTAAAAATCCTAAACATAGTTGGGGTCATAATGCACTATCTATTTTGTTTAGACATTGCGGTCTTTACAGAAATGCTGTTGAAGCCGCTAAAAAAGCTGAAAAATGCTGTGAGCCCAATAATCTAATAGGCATTCAAAGAAATCTGGCGTTCAGTCTTCTCAAGGCAGACTGTTTTCAAGAAGCCATGTCAATTTATCAAGAGTTGGGTGCTAAGAATACGTATGATAAGTGTTGTGTTGCACTTGCCCTGTATAAGACTGATCGATATCAAGAAGCATATACTATTTATGAGTCTGTGACTAAAAATATAACTGATAATGTAATTGTATCTTCTGCGTTTCAGGCTATGGCCATCATAACTTTTGGTGCCGAGCAAGATTACGAAAAAGCAAAAATATTGTTCTTGAAAAGCATCCAAAATAATAAGTCAAACGTTCAAGCTCTGTTAGCCACATTCGCCCTGGGTATAGTGATACGTGATATAAATTTATCAAAAATTGTCTTGCGCGAGTTGTTTATGTATAAAGACGACCCTGTCTACATGAAGGATATCATTCGTTTCATAGCATATTTCTATTATATGAACCGTCAACCGGAAGTATCTATTCGATTACTCAGCCGTTATGTACACAGTCATCCCGAGAACCCTCATTTGTATGTAAATTTGGGCTATATTCTAATGTGCCATTATATGGCCAACGAGTACAGGTGTAAAAGAGGCCTGGTAGCTCACTTATTTGAGTGTGCTGCAGTCATCAGTAACAAACAAGGGGATCTGGATCAAGCGTTGGTTTTAACTAGTATTTGTAATTTGTTTGAAGGAGATTTGAAAACATGTCTAAAAAATGTCTTGAAAGGAATCCATATGTATCCAATGTCTTCTGATCTGTGGACTGTCCTCTTAAACGCAATTTATTGTCGTGGCAACTTGGCTGACAGCTCATTTTTAAAACAACACATTACTTTTGTTATTAACAGTTTACAACCAAGCGAGCATCTAAAAGTTAACCTTTTGAAACTCGAAACTCATATTCCGTGATCATTTATTGTTATTGTACTTTTGTAGATAAATAACTAAATTTAATATATTGTAATATTGTAATAGGCACTTAAGTTTTATTGAAATAACTATTGATTGATAATATAATTGTACAACATATACTTCTTTTCATTATTTTAATTATTACTATAGTTAAAACAGTTAATTTTTATGTGCATACAAAATGTATAAAAAATTATAATAGTAAAAAAAGGTGTCCATTGATGAAGTGTATATCAGTGTGTGTATTGCCAACAAACATACCATACATTTTTGTTTGAAAAATCTGCTCATAGAAAATAAACCAAAATGGTATTTTCGCTTTAAACAACTTTGACACTGACTACCGCTGTCATATGCTATCCCTATAATATATACCTATGTAAAGAAAACCAGATTTTGAGTTCCAGACGCCATAAATATCTGTGTATATACATATATAGACAGGGTAGATTTTAACTATTATTAGCACTAAGTCTTGTCCTTCCTAACTTAAACATTTTTTAGGCCTTGTTATAGAAATATTATTTTAATTTATCTGTTTTTCATATAAAAAATCACTTGTGATTTAATTTTGAAGCCTTTCAAAATTTATCATTAATAGTTTTACAATATACATATTATTATGTAAATTTGTTATTATTAGCCCACTAAGTTTGCAGTAAAATCAGATAAGGCTAATAACTAGATAAACTAATATAAGAACTATTATCTAAATAGGTATTTAACTAAACACTTTTTTATTGTTTATATTTACTGAAAATAAAATAAAACTATTACGCGTTTTCATAAAATGCCTACTTATTATAAAAAAAAAATAACTGTAAGTACTAAAAATAAAGTTTATGAGGACTGTGATCTTTTTTTGTTTTACTTTAGATTTTAGAGAAAAACAAACAACTTGTTATGTGTTCTTGAAATACTTGAAATCCTTGTCCATAGCATGGTTAGCCTAACTAGCTTTTTTTATTTATACCTTATAATAACACGTAGTTGTGCTTAACTAGGCTGAAGCATAAACAGGCATGGACAATTGGGGCAGTTGGACGTTTAGCGAACAAAACGAAAACTTGTTAGTAGAAGTTTTGAAAAAGTTCTCGTCTCAAGTACCAAGTCCAAGCACGCACAGGAAAGATTTATTTTCTTCATTGGCTTCTGCCGCCAGCGCTACGTTTGAAGTAGTTACTCGACCATGTGTTGGCAGTATAGTAATTCTAACTAATTGATTTGTGATTTGCACAGAATCCATTTGAATTGTCCAATAGCAGCTCTTGCAGCAGCGACGACGAAGACGACAGCAATCGGATCGATAAAGATTTTAATGCTATTGAACAGTTTGTACCTAAAACAACTGTTGTCGCTGAGGTATCCGTCGAAACCGATGATACGTCTGATGTCAGCATGCAAGAAATACCAGAAGTGGAAAACAGCGTTCCCAACGACGAATCGTTTTTGCTCGACCAAACAATTGTGCACGGTAAGCTAGTATGTTTTATGGTTTCTAATAAAGTACAGTTTGCGTTACAGCTCGTCGAGTAATATAGTTACTCTATATATTACAACTATTCGTATGCTACGGCGGATCATATAGGGTGATGAATTAGATTTTGAACTATGAAGTCTTATAAAAGCACCCCTATTTTTACTTTTAGCATGATATGGTAATTATAAATTTGCAGGTATCATCAAAAATTAAAATCATTATGATCTTAATTTTTCCAAAAAATTCAAACTAAATGGTATAAATTATACTGTATAGTAAAATAAATATAGTTTATATGCCTATTACATAATGTACACATAGATAGAGTTCAATGTTGCAATGTGACTAAATATACGCAGTTGTACTGTGACACTACCAGGATTTTGGATTTTTTTTCAGAAGATAACCTGAAGAACTCAACCAAATTAATTGTCGAAATGTTGGCCACCGACAAGTGTGACGCCAAAAAGTTGGCCGATCTTATAAAGTTAGAGAAGACCCGGAGAAACGACGTTTCAGACTTAATAGCTGAAATTCTACCTGATATAGTTACCGACATTGGTCGTCACAGGTTTTGCGAAGCGATAGTAAAAATCAACGAACACCCTCAAGTCGTCTTTGATCAAATCTACACACCTTGGGTATGAAAAATATGTACTTTTATTAATACAACATAGTTTCTACACAGTTAAACTAGAAAGTTGTGAAAGAATAAGAAAGTTCTCAATTCTCATGAGAAATGAGATAACATTGAAATGAATGTGACGTAGGATTGGTTTTTGGTAAGGTATGTATTGGTAAGAACTAAGAAGTAAGTTGTTTGAAGTCTGGCGCGTCAAAAGTATTTAACACGTATGATAATAAACTTGAAAATAAGAGAGAATACGTTAAGATAATGATAACTAATATTCTAGTCTTCATGGTTAAGATTATTTAATTGTTGGTAAAAGACTATTGAGTATCAATTGTCTATGAATACCAAAATGATGTTAAAATATTTTATATGGTACCTACTATCGTTAGGGTTTAGTTAATCACCTTCTCTTTGCTTTACATGGTAGACGCCAACATGCATAGTCATGTAACGTTCCTTGTAAGTACATTAATTACTAAGGAAAGTATGTGTTTAAATCTTAGTGTTGATTGCTCGCCCTAGGTAAATTCCTAACTTGAATGGGATTTTTTCGATTGCGCCACATACACTCGTGTTTGCTCCTTCAAACGTAATATTCTAAATTACTATTGCATAACAGTTCTCGGGACACTTTTCTCCCTTAGAAATACCTTTCTTGGCATCCTATGGATTATATGTTACACGCGAGTTGTTAAAACTTATAAAAGTTTAAAACGCTATTTACAGTTGAAAACGTGCAAAACAAACCTGACGGGATTTATCGACAGTTTATCCAAACTAATAGTCCACTTTCCGGAGTTTGCGTGTAAATCGTTTCTCGTCGGTCTGTTGAAGGACAAAGACTCGGTGATGGTCACACATTTGCATTGGCTGGTCGAAGTCATGAAGAGTTTAGATCAAAATTACTGGTGTACACTCTTGAGGTAAATACAATAGCTTCTTCGGGTTTCTTGCTACTTTCCTATCTCTCGTCTATATAGTATCGACCGACTTGGTCTTCACCCTGTGCTTAAAAGCTATTTCTTCTCAACTTTCATCACAACTCAACGCCTTTCCCTTATTATCTCTCCCATAACACGGCACGCGCTCTTAAGCCAAACCGCATCTCAACCTGCCTTCTGATATTTTGTTTGCGTTCTATTAGGACCCCCTGTTGCCAACAATTTTTACTAATATAGTAATCTATTAGGTAACATTAGTAAAACTTAATTAATTCATCTATTTATTAATTAAATTAAATTTGGTACAAAACATCTTATAGAAGACAAATTGTAGTTAACTCGATACCATTTATACAACAATCATTAAAGTCTGACTTGACTCGCTTCTCACAAGGGGCTCGAGTTTAAGAATAGTAAGCTTTTCTTGGGGCAATCAAAAACATAATTGTTTTTAAACAATTATAAAATTTGGTACTTTATGTGTAATTCTAATTTTACAGTGAATATATGAAACACTGCGACAGTATGGATCAATACAAAATTCCGGTTTTGGCACTTTTGGTAAAAAACTGTAAGAAAAGTCTAAGTAGCAGTGACGCTGAACGGCTTGTCGCTCTGTGTAGAAACGCAGCCTACGATCAATCGAACAATCGCCATTTTGCATCGTTCATAGTGTCCGTGATCGGTGCTATAGATTTAAACAAGTTTAGCCCAGAAATGACAGCGATCTCACAACAACTCAAAGGAGCTTCTAAGTTCATGGTCATGAAAGCTCTAAGAGATGCGAAATAACGAGCTACGTAGATACATTTTTTAATTTATCTTATTTTTTTAGTTATGTAACATGGTATGTTCTTAAACAAATTGTGTATGTATATATGTATATGCATAAATTACCAACTAGAACGGTTTTAAACTGTGTTTTTCTTTTATGGTATTAATTTTATTTATATATACCTGCATAAAGCCAAAGCGAGTTCAAGTCGTTTAGTATTACTTTATGTTTTAGCTTCGATGCGAAGCTGAGAAGCTATTATAGTATAATAATGGTGGATTTTTTCGTGTCTTAACTAAAAACGATTTTTTTATTTCGTTTTTAAATAAATTATAACAAATTACAAGCTGTAGTAAACCTAACATTCATTCTTAAAAAATACATCACAAATAAAAATGTAAAAAGTTGATGGTGAATTAGGAACATCTATCGAGTATCATTAAGTACCTATCCGAAATAGTGAAACGATATAATTTTATATTGTTAGTAATTAATTAAGAGACGCTGAAAGAGAATATGAGATAAGAACAATCCGAAAAATAGAAGAACTGTATGGAGAAACAAATATAATTAAAGTTCTCAGGAGTAGTAGGCTAAGTCCTAAGATATGGACTGGTCATGTATGGAGGTCAGATGGCCCAATTGGGTTGGTCACAAGATGAAAGACGACATAGGCAATGATGGGGAGATAAGATCACCAATGATTTATAACCGTTAGTAGACAATGGAGAATGATAGGGATAGGTAGAGGCATTTGGTAGTTGCAGCAATGAACCTAAAAGGCCCGTGTAGAAAGCCAAGAAGAAGTTTAGAATAAATTAAAACAAAAGTTCAATATTCAATAATCGGTGTACTTTATTTATATTAACAAAAAATAGGAAACACAAAGCCACTACTTATGAAAACTTATTGAAACGTTAAACCTTTATGTAGCCTAATTTATGAATAAGAACTCCAAATACCAGATACAAGCATTGCACTTTTGTTTTCTGTATCAGCATGATGAAAAAATATATATTTGCTAAATATTATCTATTTTCTATAGAAAGTAATTTTAAATGATTATCTTTTTCTTTTAAAAACTGTAACTTTGTTATCCTTTAAATCTCTTATAATGATACCGAACGTCTGTTGTACATCATTCATCGGAATAAATGGAAAAAATGTACACCAAACCATAAATTTTGAACAAAACACATCCATTTGTATGTAGTACACATTACATAACTAAATGTATATGCTTAATAATAATGATAACAAGTAAAATGTATTAAATTGTTTGTACTATCTGTCATAGAGCCATAGAAGGGACAGATTTAACATACTTTAACGTTCTATGTAAAATCAAAAATCCTCAAATAATTCGAGACTCGTTCTGAATTCTGCTTATAAAATTATTTTCAAATCAATATTTAAATACTTATTTACGTATATACTCAACGGATTAATAATGAAGCACAGAACCATATTTTTACATCTTAAGGAGCAATTTACAAGAAAAATAAAATGTGTAAACAAATTAGAACTCAACGAGAAAAATCGAATTATACATATGTAATTTTCACTAAATATAAATTTAAATTAACCCTTCGTGGACAAGGTGGGGCAAATACGACCTCAGAAATTAATGTCTTATGGCCGTATTTGCCCCAATTTGTCGACGCAGGGTTAAGCATATTTATTCAATGAATAAATATAATTAATCATTAGTTTAATAGCAACCACCTTCAGTTAATAAATTACTTGAAATCGATGACATTTTTTTCTTTTTTAAATGGTTTTCAAAACCAATATAGTTATGAATACTGAATAGTCAAAAACTTGAGGTAATAGTAAAAACACAACCAATATTTTTTTAAAGTATTTTTATCATATATTATATTAAAAAAAATACATACAAAACTAACACAAATCACAACAAAGCACATTTTTTTTTTGCATTAATCACACTGATAATTATTTATAATGTCATAATGAATAGCTTAAACAAATAGTTAAAAAAAAAATTCTAATCACATTTCAAATTGAACAAAAAATCATAAGCACCTGACAAGATCATACACTATCAGTTAATCGATTACAAAACTAATAGTACAACCATCATTGAAGAACACAACACAATTAATTAAAAGAACATAATATAAACAAAACATTTAAAAAAAAAAAAAACACCCTGAAATATGTTATTTAAGTTGTTAAAAGATTACTATAAAAGCTACTCTAAGTTAATTATTAATATTCAAAGCAACCTGTAAAATATATAGAGAGCTAAGTGAATTAACTATTAAATTTAATCTAATCTTTTATTTTTATAATCAGCACCATGTTTTTTATCGTTGCGATAGTTAATGAAATCTGAGAGTAAATGAAATCACAATCTTTGTACTAAATTCCTTTGATGAATGCTAATTACTCTTTAACTAATGAAGTTGTTTTTATTTAATGATATGAAAGGGTATTTATTAGTTAATGATGTTAAATAATGCAGTTTGTACGATACATATCACATTTGACTAATATTTTAAGTGATATGTATCAACACTAAATTAATGGCGGAAAAAAAAATTAAGTATAACTAATTTATGAGATATTGGTTAAAATCGTTATTAGGATAATATAAATGATAATAATAATAAACCTAAGGTAACTAAATATATAAGTAAGTATAAAACATAACATACAAAAATAAAAAACCTTAATTTTTTTTTTCGAACAAAAAAAAATTTAATTACAATGGAGTTTATAACCTACTAAATTTGTAATAATTAATATAAGTGCTTTCATTAGTTGATAAAAGGACATGATACTCTTACGTTGTTTTTTAAATAAAAATATAAGGCAGAAACTAAAAGAAAACGCCTATAAAGAAATAATTTTAATATTGAACATATCTACAATTTATAGGTAAAAAAAAAGAATAACAAAAAATATTATTGAACTTAAAGAAAATAAAAAATCACATTACAAATTTCTATCAAAAAAATAAATAATACCATCCAAATTGCTTTTTTTTTTCTAAAAATATTTTACTTTGCAGCCAATTAAAACATCTTTAAACATATTAAACACAGTGATTAAAGTAGAAAATCATTTTACTTAATCACTATTTAAATACAAATTTGTATTAACAGAATACCAGGGTTACTATATCTTCTTGACTTGAAGCACAGTATCAAAAGACTAGTATCAAGTCCTCTTATAATAATATATTAAAAAAATAAAATATCACTATATAAATTAAATTAGATTTTTTTATATGTCTAGTCTTTCAAATTACCAAATTGATATGATTACATAATAAGGTTTAATATTATTTTTATCAATAGACATATTTTTTTTCAACTACAGATGAATCGGCCATTTAAGAAACCCCATAAGTTACTATTTCAGCCAACATCAGTATTTTGTTGTTTTCGATTCTGAAAGTGTAGAAATACATTTTAAGGAGAAACACCTCTTGTCATAGAGGTTTTATCCTTTTTATAGAGAGGTTTGGAATTTCTGTTCACAAGAAAAACACTATTAGTCCCAGTTTCAAACGCTTTCTCCTTTCACGAAAAGGAGAAAGCGGAAAAAGTTTTTTCCATGTCCTGTAAAATTTGATTTTGGACTTAAGGTGTTTTTCAAATGACCGATTCAGATACCATATAGGGACCAATAGGTAGTATATAAATAATGAATGAATTATTTTGTATACTAACTCGTTCTTTAATTATATTATCACCAATGGCACGAAAAATCCTAACTGGTTTCCAAAAAAAATAATCAATAATATGATAAAATCTCCTAGAAGTTATCTTTATTTTTCGTTCTCCTGAAAAATCAGGTTTTAACATATGGGAGTTGCAATGAGAGTGGCAACAGTGTTAAATTACTTATACAGAAAAGTAGGTACACTATTTGGTTTAAGCATAACAGACAACAGAAGTGGATAAGCTAAACGTGCATTTTCAATACAATTATACGTTTAAAAATAAGTAAATGCATAATATATTAAAAAAAAAAGCTGTGCAGTCTTATATTAAAGGTAAAGACCTTTATATCAAAGTAAAAAAATGACTAGTTAATTTTTTATTTATGATCCTAAAAATGGGAAACTTTTTTCAGAATGTTCATACAAAAAGAGTTTAAGTACAAATATAAAAAAATGATATAGATAATATAAGATATATCGAACTACATTTATTAAAATTAGTACTGTATCAGATAGTTTTATATCATGTCTGTTTAATATAACATATAACTTTTTTTTATTATTTAAATCTATAAGTGTAATGTTTACATTTTCAGCAGTTAATTTTATTTATTTTTAAACATGTTCAATTACTTATATTTTATAATATGTTAAAGTAGTTATTAATAACTTTACATAAAAATCAATTTAATTTTATAAATGTTTTTGTTATATTAAGTGTACTATTAAAATTATTTTTAATTTTTGGAATGTTGCATTTTTTTAAATATTAAATTGAAGAAGTCTACACATTTTATGTTTGAATTATCGAATATGATAAATTATTATTCTAGTGTGTTTTTACTAACATTATTATTATGATGTGTTAATAAAATTGATCAATAATTAATATTATACACTGAACACAGATTGACCAGTAGTTCTAGTCTAAATTTCTCAGAATTGTTAACAAACATTTTAGGTTGTCAAAACAAAGATTTAGAATGTAGATTGTAACATTTATGTCATAATATGATATCATACATACGTATACATAGTAACTGAGCTAGACATGAACACACTAAACGTATGTTATAGGTCCTTTTTTTTACAGATCTGTGTCAATGTATTCAAACCTTAGCTATGTTTCACAATAACCTGGATTTAGAGTGATATTTGGAATCAATTCAATCCGCTCGACATCTTCACCGTCTTCCAATCCTAATTGAATTATAAGGTGGTTAAATATTTAAAAAAATGTACATATTGTTATCAAGTCAGAAAACACAACACTTACTTTTTTGTATTCTTGGGTCTTTGATTAGTAAATAACACAATGCAATTCCGAATATACTGAACGTGCTCATAATAACAACAACTGCAAACATCCATGCCCTCGTATCAAATTTATCAATTCCTTCTAATAAATGTTTTTCCAATTCTAAAAGCATATTATTAATTGAATACAAGTGGGTAATTATGCAAAGTTATAATTATGAATAAGTTAAGTTTTTAAAAATTTTTTTTATCAAAAATAGCACAACTATCTGTATGTTTTAGCCTCATTTCATTTATAAACAATACTATACTGCTTAACAAGAACATTTACTCTATATTTAATAGTATATACATTTAAATATATATTTATTATTTACCATCTTCGGACATTTCGCTTAACGTCTGAGTATTAATGACTTTTTTTTCACCATTTCCTACTATATTGCTAGCCCACATTTCAACTGTATACAATGTGTTTGGTTGTAAATGATAAATTTCTTTCTGAAGCTAAAATAAAACAAATAAAAAATAGATTTAATATCTTTAAGCAACATAATTTTGTTAAAAGAAAAACAAATTATATTTAGATTTTTATAACATAAAACATATATATACTATAATCTATTTTATTTATTATTTAAATTTACATTTAAAAATGTAAAATTAATAAAATAAAAATGATATTTTATACTTAACTAATACTTTTAAAATATAATTGAATTTGTAATTAATTTTACTGAGAGTATATTATGTAAATTAAATTGAGTTTTTAAGCCAATTATTAAGCTGTAAAAAAGTGGGGAACCATTAAATATGAAAAAGGGTAATTTATTAGTAGATAAAAATATACATTGTATAAATAAACATTTAACGAAAAGTTTCATTTAAAAAAAATATTTAATATTAAATATCATTGAATAAAATACATAGAATAACATAAAGCTAACGATATATTTTTTGTAAATCAATATTTTTAAATAAAATATATTAGACATTATCAATAAACTTACACTTGTTATATCTGTTTGAAAAATTAGCCAATTATCACTAGAGTTATTAATTTCTTTAACTCTAATTGTCACATTGGCGACAGGAGATTCACCTTCATTTTTTACTGCTTCCCATCTAATAAATAATAGCACAGTATAAGGGATAACTTTAACACCTAACAAAGGCCCAGGTAAACCTAAAAACAATAATTTATGATTTATTTGAAGACTATTAGTATACATGCTATATTAATACTCACTAATTGCTTTTAGCTCGATTTCTGCTAACGGAGCATGACCAACATAGTTATTGGCTGTCCCTAGATCACAAATATAAATACCAGAGTCGGATATATCTACTGTAGATATAAACAAATCTCCGTTTTTCAAGACTTTGGCTCGGCCTGGCAATTCTTTGTGATTCATTTTCCATAATATATCCGCGTGTTTAGAAATGATATTTCCACAATTTAATGTTATATTTTCTCCCACTTTAGGGAACACTTTAATGTAATTTTTAGCTCCATTTATATCTAAAGGAAGAAAACCAATAATTATAATTGTAAAAAATTCTTCAAATATAAACATTTATTTTCTTTAGATATACAAATAAGTATAGTAATGATTAAAATTTATATAATGAATAGAATACTTCAACAATAATTTAATAGTCAGTGTCATGACAAATAATTAATATAATAATCAAGTTCCGGTCAAGCAATATTTTAACAATAGAATTACAATAAGGTAAGGTGTGTTAGCAATTGTGTGTATTGATTACTAATTGATGGATAATGCATAGAACGGCATATATTTTTAAAAGCTCTGAAACCTTACATATTGACTTATAAAAAGATTTCAATACTTACGTTGAATCGTCAATTGGGAGGTAATGCAAAAATAAAATAAAACAAAACTATTGAGTTTGTAAAACGTCATTTTTAAACGTGCATCAGTCAACTTGTATCAATTATCATTGTATCGCACTTGTTTATTAAAATGAACACACTCATATAAACATTTTGGCATTACTATAGATTATGAAACCATTACTGATACACTCTACATAATATATTTGATTTGTAGGGTCGTCAATTTAACACAATTAAATACTTAAGCTATTAACTAGCTGCTAGCATTCGGCTATCAACACTCATCCATCTTCTTCAGTTCACTGTGGAGTGCGGACCGCCAGTCGCCAGACGCCTGATATCTTCTCTTATCCTAATCACACTTCCAGAGAGAAAGGTCCAATGTTTTGCTAACAGTGCACCATTACACAAAAAAATACAGGTATGTCAGTAACATGTGATAATCATAAAATGGTTGCTTAGGGTCTTGGGCGCTTGGAATTTTTACGGGAGAAAGTAGCCATGTTGTCAAAATGTATGTCTTTAAGTTGCCGAATTACCTGTCACCACTGAACTCAATATAATATATTAAGTTCAGTACCTGTCACAATATCTATATAGCGTCTGATGTTACCATCCATTATTTATTGATTTTTTTTTTTATTATAATGCGATAATATGAGATGTAATTTTTTTTTCTCATTGAAACATCACAGAATATAAATTCCTTGTTTACAGTATATGCTTTACAAAAATCCAGAACACACTCATACAATTTCAAACTAAATTCTAATATTTCTGAATATTTTTTTAATTGACTTAAAATCAACAAATTTCAAGTGAATAATTCTTCGTTTACTTTATTTTTGACTATTGCAAACATGTTGATAACAATTTGTTGACGTTTTGATTGTAGATAAGACTAACGTAAACACTAAACATGTTTTGAACTCGGTTTTCTTTGAATTTGATTATTTGTATAGACTATATTGTAATTGATTTCAGATTTATCATTATATAATTATTTATTATACTAATACTATTATTTGCATTAAGATAGACAATTTGATTAATTTATAAATCTAAGGTATGTTTAACATACTATAAATTTTCTTATTTAACTTAAATTCAAAACTATTAACTTATGAATTTAGAAGTGTTCAACAGAGTTAACTGGAAGGTATGACTATTCATTTTAATACTTCAATTTTAATTGTAATACTCCAAAAGAAACTAGTAATACAGCAGATATATAATATATTTTAAGTAACAGAGTACATTATAAATGATGAAACAATGTTACATTTTTAAAGGTTTGAAAACATATTTACACTTTAAATAGTGAGGAAACGGTACTCTCCTGCTGTCACCTATTACCAAATAACAAGTTTAACTATAGCGTGTATCACCTTGTGATTAAATGTACAAACTTCCTAATAACCCCTCTATGTTCATTCAAAACTAGATTCACTATAAAAAAAGAATTAAAATCATAATGTACATTTTTAGTACATTTAGTAATGTAAAGGCTGAGTGATCTGAAACTTCAATAAGTGATTATTTGTTTTCCCTACAATGTTCTTTAAATATTTATTGAGGTAGCAAAACTTTACCAGGGTTTGTTTTTTTCTTGCTGAATTAGACTTATAAACTTCAACAACCTTTATGAATAAACTTCTGATATGTATGTACATTTTTTATTTACAATATATTATGGTGTCCCACTTTAATAAATTATTCCTAAAGTACAATTTTATACTATGCCCATTTCTATGACAGTGTAAAATTTTCTTGAATGAAATTGTTCATTTGTGACTATAAAAAAGTACCGAATCATTAAATATTTGTAAAATAAAGAAACATCAACATTTTTGTAATTTTTAGGAGGGCACTGGAGGACGTTCCGGTATGTATTGCGAATGGGCATCCTTAAGTTTAGCAGTACAAAACTGTGGTGAAACCGGACAAAGCGTTCTGAATAAATTTCCAGCTTCTTCTGGTAAAGAAGTAGTTACTTCTGTCATTAAACAGTTGACATCAAATTTGGGTATAACACATCCACCGGAACCCAGCAAACTTGTCAAGGACACTGAAGTTACCTGGTGCATGGAAGTTAGTAAATTTATATTAATAAAATAATATATAAATGCTGATTAAATGGAATTGTACTTATTAAACCACATTTTTTAATATTATTTAGGTAATCTGTTACGGATTAAGTTTGCCACTTTCAGAACATGACACAATTAGAGATTGTGTGCATATTTATTGTGACTGGCTGTCAGCGTTATATGAAACACCTAAAGTTTCAGTTCCTAAACCTGTATGCAACGACCCTAACTTATATGCTAGAAAGATAATATCGCATTTCTATAACTTATTTGTGCCTCGTAAGGGAGAAGGTTAGTAGTATTAATAAGATTATGTATTATTCAATGAAGCATTTAAATTTATTAAAGTATATTTAATATTTATTATAATGGTATTTAAAAACTAACAAGTTATCTTTTATTTCTGTTGCAAGTCTGGACATTTTTATATTTGAATATTGGTAAGGTTTTAGGTTTTGATTTTGTCTATCGTAGATAAAGGATTAGTTCTATGATAATGTTCTTTTGTTTTTATTGTTTTAATTATAAAATGTATTATATGTTTAATATGTATTATATGTAATATTAAAGGCCCTGATACGATCAATCGTCAAGCTGTTTTATGTCATCGCGTTTTAAGAACTCTTCATGATTTATCTCGAAATTCTAAAGTCATCGAAACAGAAACATGGGAAGCTTTATTATTATTCCTTCTTGCTATAAATGACGCTTTATTAGCTCCGCCAACAGTTAAAGGTATTTATCATTAAAAAAATGTTGATTTAATGATTAAGTATGCTATTTAAGATAAAATATAAGCTATAAAAGATTTTATTGCAGTAAAAAATTAGTTTCCTCTTTCGTGTAATACAAGTAAAACTGTTTTTATGACATTTGCTTTATCCAATGTTTCTCTACCTTAAATAATTGCCTTGAAAAATCACTCATCTAAATGTTTGGAAAATCTAAATTGCGATTGTTTATAAACTCCGATTGTTTTAAATTAAATTGTGTTGGTAAAGTTAAATACTTATGAATTTTTTTTTGATGAAGATACGAAATGGAAAACACAAATAAATGTAAATAACAAAAGATTAAGGAAGCTTTATTTCGTGTTTAAAGAATTAAATATGGTCTTAGATTTACTTACTTTACGTGATATATATTTTGCTCTGGTTCAACCGGTTTTATCATATAGCATAGTACTGTAGTGGTCAGCGTACCCATCTGCTATCGAATCATTAATGTTACACATAGAAACTTGATAAGAATCGCATTAAAAGAATATAACAGTATAAATATGTCACAACTATTTGATATTTTCAACGTATTTAATATAAATCAACTTTATGATTATTGTTCAATTATTCAATTACAAACAGATATATAATCAGAGTAATAATGACCAAAATTATACAATTAAAATTTCCGAAGGAAGAAGAGTAGGACGTCTCGAGATCCCTAAAAACAGTACTACTACTTGTCAACATTTCTACGTTTATGGAGCCATATTGATATTTAATAAATTGCCTATGGAAATTCGGTTAATTAACGATAAGAAATTATTTAAACCTAAGGTTAAACAAATTATTTCTCTAAAACGCAATTATTAATTATTGCTGTTGTTATTTTAAGAAAGAATATTCTAATTAAATTAAATGTTTGTCATCGTGTATTATCTTTGCTAAATTTTTTTTTTATATATATAAATAACTTATTTGTTTATTTTTTTGTTATTTTATGTTTTCAATATGTATACATATGTAAAAAGACCCCCTCTCAACACAAGCTTGCTTAAAAAGAGGAGTAATCAACTCATTTGTATTATATTATCATGGTACCTACCCATTGTTTTAGCTATGTTACCTTTATTGAGTTGAAAAAAAAATAAAATGAAGAGACTATAAAATGAAATAGATATTCTAATTGAGAGTGAAAAACTGAAACATACATTTTTTAATACAAAAATGAATTTTTTAAATTTGAGCAACGTTTCATAAAACTTAGTTAAGAGTTAAGAAAAACCTTAAATTTTTATTTTGTCAATATGATTGATGGTAATTTATGAAACATTTTTCTATGTATATTGTATTTTATAGTCTTCTAAATATAATGTTTAACATCATGAAATCATTTTACAGAAGATGTAGGAGAAGAACTGTGCGAACGTGTGCTAAGTGTTTTAATAGAAGTATGGCTCGTTGCTTGTGTACGTTGTTTTCCTTCACCTTCACTATGGAAAACTTTACGAGAAATGGCTGTTACATGGCGTCACCGTACAGCTCTAATTCATCAATGGAACCGAATAAATTTAGCACTTACTTCACGTTTACTTACTTTCATGTATGGTCCTGACTTTCCTCAACTTAAAATACGTTAGTAGTAAAAAATGTTTATTTCTTAATAAAATGAATGTAATACAATATACCTAATTAAATTGGTCTTTATTTCTAGCTATCGAAGATAGTCAACTCATACCTCCAGGAATGTCCAATGATACTATCGCTCAAAGTTGGTTTAGGTTATTACAAACGATTGGTAATCCAGCTGATCTAAGTCGACCATCTACAATTAGTCGAACTCCAAAGTTTTTACAAGCTGCACTTTCTGATCCCCAACATAGGCTTGTCGATCCATCCAATCACCCATGCTTAAATGTTTTGCCTTATAATTTTTATATAGCTGTCCGTGGAATCGCATCACTTGTGGACGCGTTTTTAGGCAAGCTTTTATTTTTATTATCCTTTATCGACAATTATTTCATTGATCCTCTGAAGAAAGAGTATTAGAATAGCACATTTGCTGTTCTGGTATCTTGTGTAAATATAAACTTGAATGCACACTTTTTTATGATAGGTATTCCTTCTCATCCCACTATTATTTGGGACGATATATTACCTTGGAGTTCGGGAAGCACATTTGAAAAAAAAGAAGGAAATGTAGTAACACAAACACCGCCCTCTCAGCGACGATTGGCAAAAAGTTTTAGCGTTGCACCATCGCTTACCAATAAGGGTACATAAACAATCACAAATTTAACATAAAGATTTATTAACCTAGTTTAATGTTGATGTATCATTTTACATTCACTAATTGGGTATCAGGTAGTTGTACAAATAATATTTTAGACACTAATCCTATTCTTACTACAAAGCGTAATTAAAATATGGTAAAATAAATATTAATTGAGTAATTTTCGGATATATCCACGTCACATGTTTTATGCTGATGTTTCGGACTCTGTGCAGAGTCTATCTTCAGGGCAATAGTGGTCTCGACTGTTCAAATGCCGTGACCATACGTATATGACCATACGAGTATGGTCACGGCATTTGAACAGTCGAGACCACTATTGCCCTGAAGATAGACTCTGCACAGAGTCCGAAACATCAGCATAAAACATGTAATGTGGATATATCCGAAAATTACTCAATTGATATATCAATCCACGAAAGTTTTAACGCATTCAAAATAAATATTAGTAACATATAAAGCTATTAACTGGTTGGCTATGGGTTTGTAAATTTAAGTCTTTGAACTGTTTAAATGTTTATAATGACATGTAAATCTTTGTAAATGGGTAAAAATATTAATCATATTTTGATTTGTTGCATCTCATAATTTATTTTATAATTAACGAACAATTATTTTTTATACCACAATTTTATGAAATTTTGTTTGCACATTGTACATATTAGATTTTTTAGGGCATGTAATGGTTTATAGCTAAAACTTAACCATAAAATTGGACTTATTTATTTTAATTCAAGCTATTATTTATAAAAATTATATTTTATTAAAAAAAAAAAACAACTTATCTAAAAAAATATTCTTGTTTAACAGTCATTTCCGTAAATGTTAATTGTAACTACTTCTTTCTTATAGGTATGCCAAAATCATCATTAGTTGGTCTAACCACTAGTCGCATTAGTGCTCAGCCAAATAAACACTCTGCTTCAACTTCATCAATATCATCGACAATAATAGGTATGTTTTATGTCAAATGGCTCCTTATTTAATTTATTATTGCTCGGTATTTGTCTTATAAATTAAATGTTTTTAAGATTATGTATATAAAGTATAAAATTTTGTTTCAATACAGAACCTAAAGTATTTACAGAAAATCGACCTCGTTGTAATAGTATCCTCCACCTTTTTGGAGAATGGTTGTTTGAAGCAGCGTTAATTGGAGTGGATTTCAATAAAGCAAAATCTTCAGCTACTCGTTCGTAGATTTAAAAAAAACTATTAAACAATTTCAAAAAAATGTATCTACTTATAAATACATAAATGTAATGGTTTATTTAGCTGATAGTAGCAGTAGGATGTCTAAAAGACCCAGTTCAGTAATGTTTGACACTACAAGCATAAAAAGCAGTGGTTCTGGCGGTGGTTATAGCAGTATGGGAGGCGGCAGCACCGCTTCAGCATCACAGCCAAATTCGCTAACAGACAATGTTTCGGATAGTATAGATTCGATAACGTCTAGTTCGATCAATGTTGCTCATTATGATCGCTTTATGCCTGGACGTGCAGAAGCTATAGGTACACTATGTAGAATATTTTGTTCAAAAAAAACATCAGAAGAAATACTTCCAGTTTATTTAGCCAGATTTTATATGGCAGTCTACGAAGGACTACATGTTAATGAAGTAAGGCTAAAATTTTTCAATTACTATTTTCTTAAGCATTAAACTTTTTTTTTCTAATAACATATTAAAGTTAATTTTTAAACAAAGCACTTTTTAAATTTGATACAAATTATGTTTTTTGTTTACTAAAAAATTAAAACTAATAATAAAAATTGTTGTTTTGTTTAGATGCATGAATGTGACGAAACAATAACTAGCATACTGTTAAATTCTGCTGATCTTCTACGATTGGATTTAAATGGAATTAATGTATTAGTACCCTACATTATTGAAACCTTGGAATTAGTATTACCCGAAAGAGATTTAAAATTCAAGTAAACAACTTATTATTTAAATTTCATTGTGTTAGGAGTCAAAAATACATTAAAAAAATGTTACAGGTCAAACACTATACCTAAAAATGAATTAAGGCGATCTGCAATACACTTGTTGCTCTCTATGCTTGCATTCCCATTGCATTTCAAAGTAATTAAGTTGTCACAATATTTATTCAACTTATATTATTTATTTAATACTACAATAATAATAATAATATATTATGCTTAATGCAGGATTTGACAATAAAAGAATTCAATTCCTCGAGTAATATGTCGCGAGGATCTATTATTATGGGTGAACTAAAACCTCGTGTGATGAATCTTCTTATTAATGCTTTACAATTTGAATCTGATTCCCATAATTCCCAAATGCTATTAGGTACAGTGTTTTTACATTGTTTATTATGATTGTATTAATGTAGTTAATTTTTTTTTAAATTAGGAGGATTATTGTTGTGCGTACAAGATTCTGCATTTTATGAAGAATCTGAAAATGACACAGAATCTGACGTAACTGCACAAAGTGATACGACGTCAAACTTATTGTCATCAGGTATTCTTATACACGTAACATTAAGACAATTGTAACTTAATTATCTGTTCTTTAAACTCACATGTATAAAATATATTATTACATTTTGCGCTTTATATTTTTGTTGAGCACGATATGTTTTTTTATTTTATTTTATTTTTATTTGCGCCTGTTTGCATAGTGGATACAATGAGTTCATTTAGCTTACCGTCCAGTAATCAAGATCAAATGGTGAGTTTACCGCAAGCAAATGCAAGTAATACTCAAACTCCTGAATCCAGTTTAGAACCAGCTGGCTTTTATTTTTCTGACGCCTTTGACTTCTCAATGTTAAACAAAAGTAATAATTTTCACAATATCATTTAAATATGATTGCGCTATTAACAAACATTCATTTAATTATTACTTTACTTTTTAATAGAGTTGTTTAAATTAAATTAGTTTTAATTATTATATCACTATATTAGTAAAAGTGTTATTTTGATTTCAGTATATTATAACACAGAAAAATTTGATATCTATTTTATATCAGTGAATTAAATAGTTTAATTCTAATTATTTTTTTCATTTCTAGACTCTGCTCATGCATTATACGTAAGAGCTACGTATTTAGTATGTCACCGATTAATATCTTCATGGAAATCTGATCTGAATATATCTCTAGCTGCTTTGGAATTACTTATGGGCCTAGCTAGAGTGCACATCAAAGAAACAGGTGATTATAATATTTGTTAGGTCCAAAAAAATACTTTTTTATGGTATAACAAGACCTCAAAGTTCCATTTATATTAGATTTATACACCTTATACACCATTATAATATTATAAAGTTTTTAAAGATATATAAGCTTTAAAAATAATAATTTAATTTTTCATGCAGCAAAAAGACGAACTGGTAAATTATATTTAATGCACAAAACATTTATATATCAGCCCAACATGATATGTTATTTAAATCAATATTATAGTATCAACGGTTTTGTTTAGACTCTTTAGAATGTAAACGAGCTGTAAAATGGTTATGTGATTATATAACCTATCAATGTTCGCGACCACCTCCCGCTCATTCTCGTGACTTGCATTCCACTATTGTTGCTGCTTACCAATGTGCTGCTGTATGGCTTGTGGCTCACCCTTACTTATTAGACGATAAAGACTGTTTAAACACAATTATTGAAGTGGTTGAACTTGGCATATCTGGTACTAAGTCACATGTAAGTTTTTTTTACAATAGTAGTAGCAATAATTTCAATCATCTGTTATAAATCATTTAGGGGAAACCACAAGAAACAATAAAAATGAAAGACGAAAAAGAACTTAAGCCAGCATCAATGAGAGTACGAGATGCTGCTGAGTCTTTACTGACTATTATTTTGGAGCAAGTAGGAATGAAAACATTAAATTTATTTTAAATCATATTACTTATAATAATATTATTTAATTAATAAAAGGAACTTTTTCACTCTAGATTGGATATTTCCCATCTATATGTGGTGCCGAAAGTCTATCATGTTTATTAGATGAAATTACTTTAATAAAGCATTGCAATTCAATTGCAATAGATAACGTTGAATGCAAATCGCATGCTGTATCGAAGTTTCGATATTTTGTACTTGAAAATTCAATAATTCTAGCACTTTTTGAAGAACCTTTAGGCAATGATCAAGGTTTGACATTTGTTTATTTTATATTATGTAATTGTTTATTTGGTAGCAATTTAAAATTTATGTTTTCAGATGCTCAACCAACATTGACGATTCTAATCAGAGGTTCATTTGGACGACAAGCATGGACTCTTCAGCTGAGGCATTTGCCTAGACACCGATCTTCATCTACAAAGCAGTATAATTCCTGCCCAGGTAGACCCGTCCCAATGGAAGAACCTGGCCGTCACAAAAATAATCGAAAATTTACTAGACACTACTCAGAAACCATTGACCGAGTACCTATTTGTAAAATGTATGCACAGTTACATACAATAGTTAATACCAATAAAACTAAATGCTCGTTTTATTGTTTTGCTTAATTTTTATTTTAGAGATAAATCGATTCCAAGTTTAGACAGTTTAGTGTTTGATGACGAAGAACATAACATTTTGTCGAGCTTAATAGAAAAGCAAAAAGAGATGGAAAACACCTGCACAGAGCCTTTGCCAAAAGCAGTAGAAATTATGCCTCCTCAGCCGTGTACAGATTTTAGTACTGCTAGGCTATTTTTATCTCATTTTGGATTTTTATCTAGGTTAGACGATACAAATGTGAGTTAAGTTTATCATAAGTATATTTTTCATACTTAAATTTTTTTATTTTTAACTACACAAAAAGTAATAATAAAACAAATTTAATTAAATAAATGATTTTATGATAGCCAGGTTTTCATATTGAATGCTGAAGCATGATAAACTAAATTGGAATAAATACATTTTCAATCATGAAAATTTTAATTTGTTTCAGTTGCTTTAAAAAATGTATTTTGTATTTAATTGATATGTAATTAAAATGTATCTTTATTAATTGGCTAATTTTATTATGATTTATTATCAGCATTAAGTTATAAATTATACAAAATATTGTATTTTTTAGCATTCTTCAGTTCCATCATTAGTGGCATTGAATGTACATCACGAAAACTTTTGCAAAGACTTAGAAATTCTAGACAATACTCCATCACGCACTTGTGACACATGTCATGTGTTTTATGTTAAAGATGGCCAAACAAATTATAGAGATATTCTGATGAATGTGGTAAGAGCAACCAGAAATAACTTTTTATTTCTACTTCATGGAAATATTTCCATTTGATACTTTATAATATATAAGTTAAGTAATTATGAATTCATTCAAATTTTTTAAAATTAAAATCTAGACTTCCAATACATTAGTTTCTTCTCATTTTTTGGAAATGCTTACCAACCTCGGTTGGCCAACCATTATTAGCGAACATCCTGGATGGACTGGCCGATTTGAAACTAGTTGGAATCTACCTGGATTCAAGGAGAGTGATGACCAAAAATTGAACACAGCTCATGGTGGCAGTCTTTACAGTGGCAAAAGTCACGTGATATATTGGGCGGATGTGAGTTCTGAAATAGCTTTTGTTGTTCCGGTAAACAAAAACGAACGTGAACAAACTCAAAAATGTGATGGTTTGTAAATAGATATAACCAATGTGACAAACAATAATAAAATCATAATTAAGTTTGAAATATACTATTTTTTCAGCTACTATTTTGAAAAGTGAATCAGTTATGCATTCCAAACAAATGGCTGCTAGAACCACTTCTATTGAAATTGATTACAAAGGTAAACCCACTCAACCGCCAATTGAACCCCCTAAGAGACGTCCGCAGTTTATTTCAGCTACCGTTATGCTCGTTTGGCTGGAAAGTTTTGAAGATCATTTACATTTTCCAGTTGGTAAGAAAAACGGTTTCTATTATTCTGAAGTACAAATTAAAAACAAATAAAATCTACTTATTTAGCGGATCTTCTACCATTTACAAGTACGGGTATGGAACCTGCCACACACGTAAAAGACATATGTGATGTTCACATCATATTTTTGCATGCATTGCAAAGTGGACTACTCAGGGTAAAAATGCAAAGTCCAGCAAGCAGGTGAATATTAAATGAAATGACTAGACTGTAGATTTTTTTTAAAATTATTATTTATTTAATTAGAACAAATATTGCCACACCCTTAGTGGATGGAATGGTTATTAGTAAAAATGTGGTTGGTTCGATGGTAAGACAAACAGCGTTGAACATTTGTAGACGAAAGAGACTGGAAAATGACAGGTGAATATTAATAATTTAAAAAAAAAATTTAAAGATTTTTAAAAAATCTTGACTTACTAATTGCTATTGTTTTAGCTTCCAGCCTGGTCATATTCGGAGACGTTTGAAAATTCAAGAGATTGTTGGCAAATATCAAATGAAAAAGACTAAACCTGAACTCTATACTTACTTGTTAAGTAATGCAAACTCAGTTTAATTTTTCTTACCAAATAATGACTGTGCAATATTTTTTTTGGACACTTATTTAAAAATATATATATATTTAACACATACATACAAGTCTATCCTCATGCATTAACCTGGAAAGTATCATGTGATTTATTTAATTTAGTTAACATATGTTTTATCTATTTATCCTTATTTATCTTTGGACTTATATTATTTTTTTTTTATGAAATAAGACATTTATTTTTACAAGTATTATGTTTATAAATTGTAATGTTATTTCTATAATTTGTAATAAAAAAATTAACATGTTTACTTAATTTGACCTAGGTTAGTGCTCGATATATCTAAATATTTTGCCGTTTAATTATTATTAATTGGTTTCTGAGACCAAATAATGTTACTCATTTTTTTAATATGAACAATTTTTAGTTACATTAGATTTGATCTCATTAGGATTTTGGATCCAAACTGTTTAGTCAACATTATTCTCCAAAAATATACCCTAGATATTGTTACTAAGCTGAAACATTTTTTAAGCTTTGTCAACTCTGAATGCTTAGATGTATAAAGAAAGAGCGGCAAAACTACATAATTTAGGTTAATATCCTTTGATACTACAAATACATTTTATCTACGTTAGTAAAACACAACATAATATTTTATAGGAATTCATTGTATCATAACACAGACACAAAACATTTATTATAGATACACAAGACACAAACACAAAATTTAATATAACAAAAAATTAGCAATAAATAATTAGAAACTTATTAAATATATAATTGTACTTAAATTAATAATCAAGATTCTGTGTTGCACAGCTTATCATATTAATTCTTATAAAAAATAATAAGTACTTAAATCATTTTAAAAGAGTGCAAATATTCAACAGTTAAATAATAAGTTAACTTAGGTGAGATGGTCGGGTAGTACGCCATTTATTGTATACTGTATATTGTATTTGAATTCATATTCTGGTGAACTAAGTGATTCATAACCACAATCTTCATATAGTTCCATTTCCACACTATCACTGTCTTGGCAAATTTCAACAATGTGTTCATCATAGCTAGTACTTACTTCTTCGACAGCATCTTCTACAATTATAAAACGTTCCAACATATTGTTTTCTTCTTCCGATTCATCTTCAGTTTTAATTTGAATATCAGGTTTTAGTGCTTGTGCATCATCGTTAGGAATCAAAATGTTGTCTGTGTCTGTATTTGATATCAGTAATGAGTCATCTTTTATATTTATGTCATCATGTATGCCAATATCTTGGCTGGATTCCATGATCTCTGGTGTGCTCCCCACCATTTCATCAAAATTAGTGTCATTGAGAAAACTCTGCTAGGAATAAAAATCATTAGGACAAAAAACATTGAGTTACATAATATTCAGAAAGGGTAAGCACTTACTTCGACAAGTAGTTCGTCTGCAATTTTTTCCAAACGTTCTGAAACTTTAGTGTCAAGCCAGTCCATGCTAACATCGTCTGGCAACTGTAGGTCACCGAAGATTGAACAGTCATCAATAGGTACAGAATCTGACAACAGAGCATCGTATAGGACATTCGATTCCGTTTTCCCTTCTGCAGAGGGTGTCTATCGGACACTGCAGGTCCTTCAATCGATATCCTATCGTTTACTACTGGTGTACACGGTTCTGTAGCTACTGCCTCTAATCTTGACGACTCAGCTAGCTGTTCTCGTAGCCTTTCATTTTCTGCCATTAGTTGCTCTTGGTCATAGCGTAACGCCTCCACTTCATTTTTTAATTGTAAATTCTATAATAAGAAAATCAAAAAAAATATTATATCTTTATTATATTAGCTAAAAACTAGAGAAGACCTAAGTATTTAGAAGGTTAATTAATACAAATGTATTAGGTCAATCTGTCAATGGTTAATTACCATGATATTAATTATTAGTGTATAATATAATACTCGCCTCTTTCCTCAATCCGTGGACCATGCCTGATAAAATGTTAAATTGTGCTTTTTTCTTGTCCCTTGATAACTGTGCAGCTTCTCTATTGCGTAGTTTTCTGTAAAACAAAATAAATTAATAAAGATACTAATGATTACACAAAGCAGAGATAATTGCTAATTGAAAGTATAACTTTTTTGGTACAAATATATTTATTACTGGTAAAAATTAATATTATTAGATTAGTTGCCGAAGCAGCCTAACCCATTTGCATAGGGAAAATGAAGGAGAAATCAATTACATTCGTGTAAGCACAGTTGTTTACTTTCAATAAGAACTCGGAAACATAAGTATTAATATATACAGAATGTTTCATTAGGGTAAGATACTCGATATCTCTTAAAATAATTACAATTTTGTAGTGTTTTTTTTAAAACATTTTTGTTCATATATATATATATATATATATATATATATATATATATATTCTCATTGCATAAGAACCAATGCTAGCCACCAAGGTCATGCAATCCCCTGCGAATTTTTTTGGGGGGTTACGTTAAGTCGAAAGTGTACGAGAATAATCCCCGTGATCACACCAAACTCAAACAAGAAATCTGAAGAGTGATGGTTTTAAACGTAAACTTCAGGATCTACTGAACACAACCATTTGCGATTTTTTTAATTCTGATCAAAAGTAAAAAAGTTATTGAATTTTTTTAAAAAAACATTCTTTCTTGAACACCCTTTTTTTTTTATCTGTGAGCATTACTCTAACGCACTCTTCTCCCTCCTATCCTTAATTTTAAACTTCAATAACTTTAAAATTAATAATTCAAAACTGATTATTATGGACCATTCAAAATTTCCAGAAAATTATTCTTAATTTAAAAAATTAATTAAATATATAAGTTTTGAAAATTGATAGAACTCTGTAAGAAAAGAAAAAAATTTGAGTATTGCCTAATATTGTAAAACAACATATTCTAAAGTATATCCAAAACGAAAAACCATAAAATTGCAATTATTTTAAAAGAGAATGAGTGTCTTATGAATCACCCTATAGTATTATTATTATAAAGTTTTTGTTTAAGTGTAAGTTATACTTAGGAACAATAAAAAAATCGACGTTTCAAAGTTTACATTGAAATGGAACAGTTGTGCTTCATAAAGTATTTGGCTGGTAGGTATCTTAAAATGTTAGTTTCGATTTTGTGAAAAACACTTATGTACAGTGCGTTGTGCGAATGAGTAAACACTCCATGTACAGCCAACAGATAATATAATAAAGTATATACAGAGTGCGACAAGTGTGTCTAGATTAAATGTTACATTAGATGGGTTCATACGTCGGGTTAGCTCAAATTTACTACATTTCCAAACCATATAACCGGTCACCCTATTTATTATGTTTTACAACCCTATAACCTTAAGATTTTAAATGGAAACGTACACATTTTATTATCTTTTTAAAATAAGAATAATTTCCTGAACATTTTTAAGTTATTCATGTTTAAAATTTAGGACGGGAGGAATGGTAGTATTATTTTTATCTGCATGCGTTACTCAACCGCACTCCACTTCCCGTCCTAAATTTTATACTTCAATAACTAAAAGTAATAATTCAAAACTGGTTTTCAAAATTTCCAGAAAATTATTCTTAATTTAAAATAGTAATGCGAAATATATATATCAATTTGAAAATCTAAATTCGTAGGGTAAAAAACATATAAGGATTAAGTGACAGGGCTATATTGTTGAAAAGTACCTAGATCAAATTTAATTAAGCTAACAACTCTAAAAGTATGTAAAAGAATAATTTAAAAGATATTGATTAACTGGGTTATAGTTGAACAATCACTCTGTATATATTATATTATTTTTATAAACATAATTGTATTGCGATTATAGTAACATTAAAAACAGAAATATGTCTGCCGTCTGCGACTGAAAAAAAGAGAAACCAAAAAACATGGAATACTCGTAATTCGTATATGGAGAATACAATTTATTATTAAAAAAAAATGTAGATTAAAAATAATCTCGTTAGCGACACTCGTTCAAAGATAACAGTGTTATCATAACACACTAATTTACGAACGTTATACAGCAGCTTGGTAGTATATACAAACTACTTACACACACATACACAACAGCAGTAAAACATTTTAGACGTATAATAAATTATTTTGTAGGTATTTTTTGTAAATCATAGGGATAAGCAAAAACTAAATGGGAATAATATAATTTAACAAATTATTATCTTTATACTAAGTGTAGGTATAGTGGTATCTATATTAGTTAAATCGCAGTTTGATTTGCATTTCCAAGAAGATCTTGTAGAGGTACTTCGGCAACAAGTACTTCCTAATAATTTACCAATAATATTTTTCATATGTGCAAACGTCGGCCCAAACAGGTGTGTTGCTAATCTAATTTCCAATTATTTTATTACAAAAGCTTTAGACCAATTTATTATAATGTGTCATCGCCATCGGTTTATTTCCACTTCACAATTCTTTAATTATTTTTCAAATTAAAAGTACAAACCGAATTCTCCATTTTGAATTTAAATTTTTGATATGAGTACAAATGTATTATTAAGATTTGGCCAATATGAATGTCTAGTTGTTTATAATTAGTAACACAAATCTATTTAATTCTATTCTCATTTAATGTTTTAAGTGTATTTCTGATGAATCAGACGAGAATAAATACGCATAACTAAATGTTAAACTAAATTTGAAACTGATAACAGAAAATCATATAAAAACGGGAAATCAAAATTTTAACAATGATTTTTATTATATAATATGTTTGACACCAAAAGTTGTACTTGAAAAAAAAACGAATTTTCCCATAACACGACCGTAATACTACAATCTACCACTAGTCAATACTTTATTGTTTTCTATGCAAGTTGTGCAGTTATTTACCAAACCAAGCAGTTCTTCGGTTATCATTAACAGCAATATAATAATTACAACTGCATATTATTATTAGTAGGTATTTAGTAGCATGTCCAAAGTATATAAATGAGAGGAAACATCATAATATGTGGTTAATGCGAATTTCGAACATTTAACCCCCTCCAAAATGTCTTTTAAAATTAAAATATTTTATTAATTTAACAGTTAATTGCAATGACCTATTTACCCATTTCCCTTCATAAATAAATGTGCACATTTATTTCACCATGATTATATAATGTTTTATTATATTGTTTAAAGCCGGGTTCACACGACTCGTCTATTTGCCGAATGTATAGTGAGTACATTTGGTATCCCTTTGACTCGTGTCGCATTTACCGACAATCCGCGGGAAGAGGACGAATACCGAATAACGAATCCACCGTTCCCACGACATGGCGAATATACACGAATACCAAATATTCGGCGAATAGACGAGTCGTGTGAACCCGGCTTAACACGTTAACTGCCATGGGTGGTGCCGGCGATCCCGTGTGTCCTGCCATAGGAGGCCAATTAATTAATTAATGGGTAGTGCCGGCGATCACCATGGCTCAAGATAAATAACTGAACTGAGATCGCCGGCACTACTCATGGCAGTTAACGTGTTAAATTGTATTATCCGGCGGTTCTGCGTCATACTGACTTGTTTGTTAGAAAACTATATTTATTTACTGATCACATTTATCCCTCGGGATTAAAATGACATACTTGCCAGTGACTCATAATATTACTTTGTTTATTGTATTAAGTATTAACCTAAGAAGAAACCAAACAAAATTGACGTTTTTAGCCTTTATATCGCATTTTGTAACATACTAAATAGCGAATGTCTCAAAAACACTAGCTTCCAATTTAGAATTCATGAAATAATCTCTATGGAAATAATAAATGTGCATGTTAAAAATAATGAAATAATTATGTTTTTACAAAATTGGGGTATAGTAAAAAAATTAACAACTATTGAAATGAAAAAAAAACTACTATTTTTAGAACCTATATCTTTTGTTCTAATTTTCCTAAAAAGTTGCGCAGTTATACAGTTCTGTAACGTTTTGTTATGAATGTAATTTATAAAGCAAATTCTAGAAAACATTTTAAAAACGAATTAAATTTTTGCGTTTTCGATCCCGGAGAGAAGCTTGCAGTATACAAAATTATGAAATACAGTTGATAATCGATCGTACTCTATTATGCATATTGCACACACCCATATGCTTAGGATAAAATCATACTGATACCCGTGTGTTTAGTAAGAGCTGTATTCAATAAAATAAGGACTGGTCGAGTATATTTAATCAGTCGTTGTTGTCCTATTGTGGAAAAATAATAATATTATGATTCATGTTTATACATTTAATTGTTTATCCACTTTAGACACACTATTCTGCGTCATCATATCACAATATATATATATATATATATATATATAAATATATTTGAGTATTCGACCATGTATTTATAATATCATAAACGTCAAAAACAGCAAAATATAGTAATATAATAATATATAACGCACAGTTTTTCACAGCGCAGCTCAAGGTCCTTTCCCGTTTCCCATCCCCTCTTTCTTTATACCTTATGCACTAGTTTGACCTTTATGGCCAGTTTTCTAGCAGAAAACACGGGATGCGTCCATCGCATTAATACAGGGTGTCAATTCAATCTAATTCTAAGACACATGATATTTTCAGAATAGTATTGAAGATTTACAGTATTTTTTTTGCCAAAATGATAAATTCAGCTTATATTATGTTGTTTTGCAATATTAATTAAACCATTTTCTACCTCATTGTTATAGTTAACCGTGTTAAAAAGATCACTCTGTATACTTACATCTAATGCAAAATTGAAAATGTTAGTAATAACCAGTGACTATTAATAATAAGAAAAACGGATTGGACATTAATCGGCGTTCCAAAAGGTTACAATTTCAAGTCCAATTTATTCAATAATATACAGCTAAGTGCAGCAATTAAGGAATGTAAATATGTTCAAAATGTTTAGTTAAGGTTCGGCGGTGCCATATTCAATGAAATATTATTGCTGTGAGGGGAGGGCGGAGGAGGGCCTCATATTTCCCTCATCAAGACCGCCGCCTCAAATGTGTTTAATATAGGCGTGTCCTGTCCTCATCTACGTTATTTTATATCTATATATAAATGCTAATGACAGATGCCACCGCGAATATACTCACTTGCGCAATATTTTCTCTTCTGGAGATATGTTTTTCACGTAGGTCCTTTTTGCCGGTTTTAGGGGCATATCCATGTCGCTGCTGCAATCACTGTTGTTGCCACTGCTGATGCCGCACCTGCCTCCGTCCCGGCGGTGTTCCACGTAGCACATAGGACTGAAGATCAACATTTGGTTGGGCCTTATCATGTTTGGCGCCATGTTCAACGATCGATTTTCCTTTCGCTCTGTATACGTAGTGCACGAATTATTACAATAATAATAATAATTATTTCCTCAGAAAAATCGGCGGTTAGTTCATCAAATGTTTTTTCTTAAAAAAACCGTATTTTATCACTTCTATACAATATAATATCTAACAGTAAAACAGACAAAAATATACAACTGTTCTTTAATTTTACCGGTCCGTGATATTATCGCTTAACTGTGTCGGTAGCTACTGGTAATCGCGGTTGAGTCGCAGCCGTGCCGTTGTCGACATGGCACACGCCACACTCGAACTGGCACGGCTATCGATTACGGTCCCCTGTCGAAAACTATCGATAGTACCCGACGAGTATGACGCAAATTCTAGTTTGTTTTCGTTTCAAATTTCAATGAGAAAGAAAAGAACCCAACCTACTTACGTATAATGTTATAATATTATAAATACAAAAAATATCATGTTATTTTTATGACTAAGTCCGAAGTCATACTTTCATATCTACAGACTACATTGACAGTCGACAGACGAGTGACGACAATAAAACTATTTAACTGACGTCGATAAAAATATTACATAGAGTTTACCTACAGTGTAATCATGACTATATTGTATCCTAAACGATTCAAATACGGCATTGAGGGTCTAAAACTCTCGGGTATAACAGCACCGTTACAAATTATTGTAGTTCCTTCACAAAAAGGTCATCGACACGACGTGACGTTGACATAGTATTGCTGTAGTATCAATGGTATAATCCGAAATACCAGTATTCACGCATATTGTATTATAATACTATTTATTTTAGATTCGATGCGGAGCTGATGAGGTATTGTTTTTACAATGATGCATTTTTAATTTTCAATTTTTCTGTCTGAACTCAGCTATCGCCTAAACCGATTTCTTTGTATACCTACCTACCAAGTCTATAGATCAGAAATCGAAAAAATATCAAAACCCTTTCACCTATAATAGGTGGAAACTTTTTCTTTATTTTACTTTTTCGAGCATAGTTTTCGGACTAGTTGTAGTCTGAAAAGTAGACTGGGGGTAAGGAGTGGAGCTATTACTACAGTTTTCTCATAAATCTATAGGACTATAGGTAGTCAAACTTTTTTCTTAAGGAAAACTAAAAAAAGGGGGGAAATGATATTTTAAACGTATTGAATTTCCAGGTTGCTATATAAGAATTAATTAACAGAATTTTTGTACTGAAATTTTGTCAACTAATATAATTTATATTTTAATTATTTAAAAAAAAACAAATATTATTACGCTGTTAAAAAAAAATGTTGCCTGGGCACCTGCTTACTATATATTTTATTTTATAACATACATTTTATTTTCATGTAGGTAAGAACTTATAATACATGTATATAAGATAATTTTTTGTCATTTCTCTAGAAAACTATTTCTCAAATAAAAAAGATGTTTAACAACGAGGTATAATTATAATTTTAAAATCGGGAGTCGGGACCAAACAATCATGATCTTAATCGAGTTTTTTTGAAAGAACGAGCAAAACTTACAATGAAAAAGTCTATAAAAGACAATTATGATTAATGCGCAATATTTTGTAAGGTACTCGAAATTGGAAGTTGACATATTTAGGCGTTTCTTTAGGCATTGTTTACAATGTTGAGGATTTACCGCATGTGTTTTGCTCGGGTTGTACGTTTAGTGTTTATACTTAGACAATAAAAAAAACCATTTTTATTTGGAAAATTTAGTTATTTGAAAATTGTATTTCATCGTACAAACTTAAAAAAATCAGTGGATAGCCCTGATTTTTTTATGTAAAATGAAAAAGATCTTAATCAGTGACAAAAAAAAATCGTATATAATAATATTATAATAATAACGGAAATAATGTTTGATAATAATGCGTACGTCAAAAATATTTATTCTCTACGAATACAATTGGACCTTGCTAAAAATAGTACATATACAGAGTCATTTAAATTGTATATTACTCTGTAGATTACGCAGCAGAAATTTCGATGAAATAATTAAAACAACCATACATAAATATGAATGCGTTAAAACTTTCGTATACATAAATATGTTTTTATATTTCATAATCTACAGTATTATAAAATTACCAAGTATTTATCTTTTTTAGTATTGCATAGAGCTCTATGAACTTTTGAAACTTAAAGGTAACGTATACATTTAATTTACTTTTAAAATTATTAATATTTTGCTAAACATTTTGACTGGTTGACAACCAGTTTTAGAATATTACTTTTAATTATTAAAGTTGAAAATTTAGTGTGGGATGAAGGGCCAAGGGGGAGTGTAGTTTTATTTTTATCTGCCGCTCTTCACCTCCCTTCCTAAATGTTTTATACTTTAATAACTTTAAAAGTGATATTCTAAAACTGGTTATCGACTAGTCCAAATTTTCAGCAAATTATTCTTAATTAAAAAAGTTACGGTAATTAAATATGTATACGTTACAGTTTAAGTTTCAAAAGTTCATAGAGCTCTGGAAAAAATAAACAAAATAAATTCTTGGTTGTAGATAATGTAATATAAAAACATGTTAATACTAGGTCATTTTTACCTATTTTAAGTATTTCAAAGAAATTTTTGCTGTAACATAAAATTTAAATGATGTATGTAATATGTATAATGTGTGTACATGAAATAAGTTTGCTAACATAACGGCACTTAAAGTCTATAAGACAATCGTATATCACGCAAACAATACATTACACGTGTTCAAGTATAAATGCAACCTATTTAATCTAATATATAATGATTCAAAATGGGAGGAAGTTAATAATAGCCTCTGGAATTAGGTGGCCATTTAATGAAGACCTAGTATTACGTTGAATATTTTTACAATTAGAAATCATATTAGTATGCTAAAAAAGAAAATGTTTTGTCTTTATGTCTTCAGTCTTGTTCTTCTTCTCTTGGCATAACTACTATCTTTAGAGTTTTAGCTGCCACTACAATATTTATCTGGCCACCCACTGGTTTAGGAGGCCTAAACCAGCGAAATGAGCTCGTAGATCTCCTTCAACTTCATCAATAATTAATTTCTTCCTAAGTCTCCATTGGGTTTTACACTATAAGACTACTTTAAGGAGTTCGTTCTCACTTCTCTCTTTTTATTATCTAGCCTGTAGGTCTTATTTACAGAGATTGCCAGAGAAAATATTTTGTTATTTTTATTTCACTACGTATAGTTTACATTAAACATATTTTCAAAAACTCTCCATTACTGTTTTAACCTGTAAATTGTTGATTTATATGTTAAATCCATATGACGAGTGTGTTTTCATTTACAGTCATGGTTACAAAGTAAAATTGGCCCATAGTGAGAAAAGAGAAAAGTGAGGCCGGGGAGGTTACAGATATTCGGATATTGATATTAATGAAATTGATAAAATCATACCCAAATGAACGCCTTAACTGTAGATCATATCAATCTATCAATAACTACATGATATTAACATCATATGGGATCGTACAGAAAGGCATTGTCCTTATAATACAAAAAGCACCATACAGAATAAAGATAACCCTCTGTAATCCTCTAAAATCTAAATGTATAGTTCCGTAAACATGTATGACGATCATTCGGTTCTATAAGGTTTTCAATGGAGTTATCATTCCTGCGAACCAACATACCCTTATTACTTATAGAACTGAGAATTCTATAATGATGTCTAAGAATTCCTATGCAGGAATAATCGATTTTGAAATGATACCTTTGGATCTTCCTGCAGTTGTCCTGATCCAGAACTCCGTAAGAGAAGCACAGTAATATGTTATTTTCTCACAATTGGACGAATTATAGCAAAATCCTATCAGATTAGAGAATCCTATTACTATTAGAGTTCTCCGTGCTATTACGGATAGGAATTTTGTGTACGTTTTGGGTACCCATAGATACAGGAAAATTACCTTTATCGATTCCTTAGTGTTACAATACTTTGACGGCATTCACTCATTAAATATTTTATGAAAAGAATAGAGAAATAATTAAGTAGGTACGGCTAACGCGGAATTATAATGGGTCACTGAGAATAATTTATAGGAATTGAGCGCCATACTCTATCGATATGATATATACCTAACTATCGATATAAACGGTTCGATAATTGGCGACGGGCGAATCGATAAGACGATTCACGGTGTTTGGTGGGGCGGGATAGGGGGCAAGATTTGGGGGAAAAGCGAATGTGTGTGTAAGCCGTAGGGCGTAGGGCGTCACGAAACCGTGACTAATGGCTTGCACAGTCCACATCCGTATCCGAGTACTGCCGGCGGGTGTGTTGAGGTATTGCGCTGCCTACGCTATTATTGTTGAATTGAAAACTGATGCAATCGTCCCGCCGAATTGCGCGTGTATTCGTCGCCGACGCTAGTTAAATGTAATGTAAATTTCATATTGTTTTGCGCTCCTAACATAACCTATCCCTGAAACCTGAGTGAACGTTTTATTTTGGTCTATATAGGATCCATTGGAAGCTGGAAAATTATCTAGAAAATTCTCTCTCTTCCCTGTAAATCGGATGTATAATTGTTAATTGTAATAATATATTGTATAACAGGCAACAGTTATCGAAAATTTGTTGGTAATAACATACATAAATAAAACAGCAAAAAAAAAAATTCGTTTCTAAATTTTATTAATTTAGTCAATATTTTACATGTAATAGTAATTTTACTAATAATAGTGAACATTTTCAAGAGTAAGAAATTGAACTAAGGGGAAATATGTTTCTTTAAGAATTTGGATATTTGAATTACCACCACATACCAAACATAAACGATACGTTTGGGACTTTGCAGTTTAAAACTTTGAGAAATAATATTTTTTTTTTATTGTGTTTAGCTCGATTGTTAGGTAACTAAAAAAATAGTCCGCGTTGTAGGTGTAGATAAATATGTTAATGCCCACAACCGGTATTCTGTATTTTTTCGTACTATTTATAAATAGTAGAAACTAGAAAGGTGAATAAATGATTTGTGGTTCATGTAAAATTATCATAGTAATCGTAATATTTACAACAACAATACAAATCGGAATTTATTTTTATTTTTATACTTTTTATCGCTATTTGAGATAAACAGATTTAATTAAATTCTCCGACCCTGGTATGCTCCCGTCCTATTTTTTTTAACTATAATTATAAAATAACATTTTTTTTTTGGAGAATCTAGACATTTTTGTAATTATTCCAAACCAACCATCTACTTCAAAATATGACTGTATATTAAGGAAAGGGGTTTTCGATTGAATTAACATAAAACAATTCTTCTACAAATATTCATGTATTCAATGCAAGTTTGTTTTCAACATTTTTGAATATAAAATCGTTAATTTTTTTCAGATTTCACAAAAAAAAAATACCCCCTATTAGATATTTTAAAATACTTCGAAAAGTTTTTAGTAAAGTTTTTTAAACTAATTATTATTATTTTTATACATGGCATTGAATGATATCTTTAGTACCAAGGTGTATAATAGAAAAGTAAATGGTTTTTTCTCAATTATCCTGTACCATTTAGCATTTAGATGATTATGATGTTGTGATTTTCCTTCAATCTTTTAAACGCTTAAAAAGTTTATACTGACATAATTATAATGTTATGGACAAACAGGTTTAAAAATGGTGTGCTTTTTTACAATAATTATACAGAAAGCTATCATTTAATAAATTAAAATAAGGAATTTTTAAATAAATTTAAACGTCAAAATGTAGTATTCATCACATACATTAGTTTTGCAACTTTTTTTTAGTTTAGCGAAGGTGCAAAAAAAATGTGTATGGTTGACATTTTAAAATATATTTAAGAACTCGTTAGAATAGAGCGTCTATATCTACTTGAAATACCAAATATGATGGAGACTTTATATGTTCGATTTTTGAGAACATAGTACATTGTACATAGTAAACGACCAACCATTCATTTAAATTAGATAGATGCGTTTGTTCTTAAATTGCACAGTTTATCTTGTTCAAAATTTCAAAATAAATATTGTACAATATTAAAAAAAAATGTCATTTTCTGTATTTGTTTACAATAGTATCCCTCATTTACTTGACCCTTAAAAATATATTAATATTTCATTTTTTCATGAAGTAATACATTTACTTTCAATATCGACCAAAGCAAATAATTATTGAATTTTTTTGATAAATGTTAAATTTTTATAAAACACGCCAATATTGGTTAGGTGTTATAACGAATATACCTAGTTCAGTATTGCATGCAACATTATGTTTGCACAGGACTTCTGTACCCGACAAATAGTTATGTCGATATAAATGTGTGCGGCCAATATGCTAAGGATTTAAAGTTGGATACAAGCAATACGTGAATAACTGCAAAGTAATTATATTGTATGTTACAGCTGCACCAACGAGTAGCGAAATATGTTGTAGACATTACAGTTGTTTGCCTACATATATTTTTTTTATATAAACTTAGGTGGCCTATTTATTAGATATGAATTCTTATGAAAGCGCAGAATACTTATAAATTATAATATATACTTAAATAATAATATCCACGCCGACTGTACAAAATCAAATCCGGGAAAAAATAAAATAGGTACAACATTTTTTAAAAGTTTTTCTTTAATTGCGAGTTAGTAGCTTCATGTTTGTGAATTGAGGTTTATAAAAAATATATTCTATTATGTTGTACACCACAGTCCACACGTGTAAAATGATTTGTATATTTTAATACCTAAACATGTTTGTTTATACAGTTGCGTTTTTGGAAATGCATGCACAGACAAACATTGATCAGTATATATATAAATATTTATTTTTCTACGCAGATTTTACGTGGTTTTATTAATTCTTAAAGATTTCGGTCAAATAGCTTTGAGAATTGCTAAATATTAAATATATAGATTTTAATTTTACCTACCTACCAACATACGAATAAGCATAGCTATCACATCTTATTTCCTTTAATGACTTTATTAAACTATTACATAAATTAATCACACATTTTAAAACGTTTAAACAAATAGATAGCTCTCTCTTTATTATAATTTGAAATAAATAAAGTAAAATACTTAACTCATGCCCAAGTATAAAAAAAAATATATATTATCTTTTAAATATACATATTAATTAATTTAGAATATTTTGTTTTATTTGTCAATATGACGTCTAGGATTTCATTAAAATTTAAGAATGCAAATACGTCCTATTCTAAACTTCAAATAAAACTAGACTATTTTATAAGTTTTTTATGTGTATTAACTTAGAAAACACTCTTTTAAAAGTCGACAATATTTTAAAATATTTGAGTATCAATTGGTGGCCCTAAACATTTTGGGGATTCGTTCTTTTTGTCACATCTTAAATTCTGGCCCGAGTCCTCAATAACAGTCTTTGTATAATAATTATTATTGAAAGCATTAGGTCACTTTCAAAAACCCACTTTATGCAAATTTGTAAATGGTAAAACATATTGAATATTAAGAAAAATCACTTGGTAAGGTTAGGGTCTTGTGTTTATTCGTTTAATTAGTAATTTAAAAAATAAGTATCAAGTACTGATATCTTCCTAAAAGTTATATCAACACGCTGTATTTTAAAGTTAAAACATAACACTAATTTTTAGGATGATTTTCTAGATTATTTCTAGGGGAAAAGATAAACTTAATACACATTTGTAAAATTAAATACATGCTGAGCTCCAAACTGGAAATTGTATTGTCGGGGAAATATAAAATGTACCTAACATGTAGATAATAAGTAGGTCAGTATTAAAGTAGGAACTATACAATGGTTTTGCTGTTAAAGCCAACAAAGGCATACATTCCGTGATATGTATGAACATTATACTTAAGTAAAGGAAATTACTATTTAACTACTTATTGTTTTAACTGTAGGTACACATTAACAGTATAATGTTCGGTAATTTTAATTCTTATACTTGGTTGAGATTAATAGGGCCATTATAGATAAACATAATGTTTTGTGTTCATATAAATTCTAGGTAGCTATTCTCAAAAACCCATGTTAGAGCATGGGTCATGTATGTTAGGTGTTAACTTTTATCATTCATTTTGCTTAGTGTTTAATAAATAAAATCATTAATTGGAAATGTTATTTTTTTAAGTTCTAACTTTTGATCTGTTTAGAATAACAAACAATATTATTTCCACTAACGAGATCTAATATTTCAACAAAATAATTTCAACACTAAATTTAATTTGTTTAACATTTTAAGCAGATAATATATTATTATTATTATTATTATTATCATCATCAATAATCAACAATATAAAAAAAAAATTCTAAGTTTTACAATAAAAATGTATATAATATATTAATAAAAAAATAAAATATTAAAATATGGCAATTTTTCGCTACACATAAGTACGAGTGTTAACAATTCAGATTAAATGGGAAGTTTCGTTTTACTTGAAACACTAATGCCGGGTTGCAAGAAAATTGTATAAATTTAACAGACCAATCAGACTAAAAATTATTTTAAGAAACCAACAGTAAATACCCACAAAAACTTGCAACACTTGTAGTTATATATTAAAAAAAAAATTAAATATTTAAATAAATCCATAAAAATAATACTCTAATATAGATAAATATTTCGGTAGCAATGTTACCATAATCAGCGCATACAACAGACTGAGCAAACTCTAGACTGAGTTCAGTCTGTTGTATGCACTGATAACAGTAACATTGCTAACGAAATACTATATTCTATAGAGCATGATTTTTGTGGTAAATGGGTCTATTTAAGTATTTTATTATTTTATAGTAAATACCTGTTTCTTACCCTTAATGGTAGTTTGTTTTTTTTAAATTATAATTTTTTCTCAATAGACATCTAAACAAAATAGTAATACATTTAATTTCTATTAAACAAATTAGAAAACAAAAATTAAATGTTTCAAGCTTGACGCAACAATCCATTTTACCCGCGTCAACAGACATAAAATTTGATTTTAAATTTCTTATAAGATAACAACAAATAATTCAATCTAAATATTTTCCATAATTATAATTACAATATATGAATATAAAAAGATATTTACACATGAAAATAAACATTTGAATTGTTGTTTTTTCAGAGATCAATTAGAAGTAAAGTAAATGATAAAATGATAGGTGTTAATTTTAAGATTTTCAAAAAAATATAATCATTTGTGTTATATAAAGACATAGTTTAAAAATTATTTTACGGAGGCAATGTAAATATTGTAGATATAGTTTAAATAAAAATAAAGAAAAATTAGAAAAATAAATTATGGTTGTATACAATTAATTTAATATAATATAATATATAAATATATTATTGTTCTATATAATTTACTATTATTTTTTTTATTACATTTTGCAATGCTACAATAGTTTACCTTAATAAAGGTTCAGGAATGTGTCAGTTGATTTAAGTCTTTATGGTAAAATATCATAGTGTGGAAGAGATCAAAGTATTATAGAGTATGTAATAACATTAGCACTAATTATGCTAATGTAAAATAAACTTGTTAAATTGCATTTTTAAAAACGTAAAAGTTTTTCTTGAAATAATTGATTAGTTTTTGTTGTTTAACATTTGTGAAAATTTAATTAGTGAAGTATTGAGTAGTACACCGCTACTTTTCTTTATACTTAAAAATAATGTTAAAAAAAAATGTAAACAAATAATTTACAAAATTACTAAGCCTACCTAAATAACACCATGAGCTGCCAATTGATCGATACATTCATCTAAAAATCCATGCGGCAATCTTGTTTCAAAATCTGATTTGTGAATAATACCATTCCACGCTACTACATCTTCGTTACCAGTTGTTAATGAACGCCTTACCGTAAATACTAAACGCCTTTCGAAAGCTTTACTCAATAGCGATAAAACTCGTCTGCCTTTTTCGGTGTCTGGTAAATAACATATTCTAGGGAATCCAAGGGCATAGAATGGACGGCCGGGATGCGGATGTTCTTCACCTTGAATACCGGATGATATTCTAAATGGGAAAAAAACTTTTTTAGTTAGAAAATAATAAACTATAAAATGTCGATTTTATTATTGACTGTTTAGCTAATAACTGAAAATTAAAAAAATACTATAAAAATGTATTCACTAAAACTAGGGGTGGTAGTATTATAAACGAGTGGTGAATTTCAAATTTAATTTTAAGGTATACCGTAATACCAATTTATAATTACTTAACTATATACCAATTAGACGGTTTGACAATGTAACATTTGAATGGATTTAATGGTGTATTTGTACTACACTATACTGTACTTATAGTATACCTTAAATTTAATCAGTCTTAAGTTAAGACTAAGAAGTTTTAGTTAAGACTCTTAACTAAAACTACACAAAGAAATTAATTTGCAAAAATGTATATACTCAAGGCACATACAAATATCTATTATGGCTTTAATATGCCCTGAGATGAACATGGGTTACTAATATATTATACATATTTTTTAAATTTATGAGTTTGAAAATGAGACTCACTCGTAAGTAATTTGAATGGTTCGAGTACTGCCGTACCCAGGCAATGAACGATTTAAATAAGTCCATTTCATAGCACCAGGTGGTTGATTACCTCTTTTTTCTCCATACATTTTAAAGCAAATTGGACATTGGATGTACATGAACTAATATAACAAAATAAGCTTTATTAATCTGCTTTATAATTATGATATTTTACAAAATAAAATATACCTAAAATATATAATTATATTTATTACGTACCTGATTAGAGTGTGGTTGATTGTTAAGAATTGAATTGAGACATGCGAGGTGCATTCTATGTTGACATTGACTTAGAGCTATTACAAGACCCTTGTTTGTGTTAGCTGATGAAACCAGTGGGTTATGACAAAAAGGACAAAGTGAATCAAGTCCCGGCCAAAAGTCATCAACTATTTGAACGTAACGTGACAATTTTTCGCTGACTGAATTCACTCCTAAAATTAAAATTGTAATTGTTAAGTTAAACATATTACATTAAAAAAGTAATATTGTGTGCATTAATAAATAGTATAACTTTGTTAATGAATTGATTTAGATATTATAACTCACCAATAACAGATTGACTTCTACTTTCATCAGATTTTTGTTGAGTTTCAAATACATCATCACTTCCAATACTACCTCCGGAATAATCCAAAAGGTCATACTTAAAAAAAAAATACATACTTATAATTAAACAATAATTCGAAAATAATATGCAATCTGGGTTCAAACTATAATTTTAAGTCAATAATATTATTACCCGTGAAGTTCGAAGTTCATGACTGTCATGACTTAAGTATGTAGAAACGGTATCTACACTAGGACGTCTACCACTTCGAGTGCTACTTGAATCTAAGTCAATGATAGATGAATCAGATTTTATGGATACATTACAGCTTTTACTAGCTGCTGCTCCCAGAGGCCACTGAGGATCACGAGAAAGTGTAGGATTTTTGTTGGCTAAAAAAAGAAAAGTGTTAAATACAAAATAACAGTATGCAAGAACACTTTTTTTTGTTGCCCTCAATTTTAAAGGCTAGTTTATTGCAATGACCCTATTGGTTATAGTCTTAAGCAACACTTTTCACTGTGTGTTGGTAGTAGTGTACTACCAACCTCTGTTTAGTTAGGCAACACGTGTGTGGATGTCACTTCTAGTGTGGTGTGTTCCTAGAGAGGAGAGATAAAGTGAAATAAGATGATGCCACTTGTAGTCTCGGAATTTGAAATACTGTTAGAAATGATTTTACAGTATTGAAAACCAAATCAATAGTCATACATGTCGTAGCCAGCTGTATGAACACTGCGCTACACCAGCCCCACAAAATAAAATATATCTTACTAGTTTAGTTCATACCAAATATACTTAATAGAGTACGGGCAATGTTGGTGCCGCTATGATGATTATCAGGAACTACTTGTTTATTTTTTTTATACTGTAACTGTTTTTTTGTAAAAGAATCTATATACTCCGAACTGGATTTTCTTAAAGGTTTGTCTTTAAGAGAAAGATTTCGTATTGTGTCTACAACTGCTCTATCTAAAATTTAAAAGTTAAAAATTAATTATAGCACTCTTAATTACAAATACCAATGAATATGGAGTTAACTTACCATTGAATTGAATAACATCATCAGATTGTATTTTGACTAATGGATAAGGAGCTTGGTTTACTCGTCTGATGTTTTTTTTGTGTCCGCTGTCATTTCTAACTTGAGTTAAATTGCAAAAATTTATCGTATATGGAAAGCCCAAGTACGTTTTACTCACATCTATGATCTGACAACCCTAATATAATAATAATGACAGTAAAAATGATAAGTAATTATGCAATAGTAAGTAGGTTAGGTATTATTATTAAAAAAATACACTTACCATTGCATATGCAGTTTCTAGGAAACATTGCGATTCCATGTCGTAAGTATGCCATTCGCCCGGTACGTCACCCGCCCATTCCCATCTTGCTCCTTTGCCAGGCAAAGAATTAGCTGGATAATAAGACCTTCGAACTGCCGAATGTGCACCTAAATAAAAAGTAGGTTTCAATAATGTTCCATCATCTACTTCAGAATATTATAATTCACATACCTTCGTTTTCGTCTGAACACTGGTACATTGTGCGCAGGTTGACAAACGACGATTCCAATTTCGGGTCAGCGTCTCTAAGTATCACTCTCGTCAGCTTTTTGAAATGCGCTCTTTCCAATAACTGTGCCACTTCCGGACTATGCGGTTTCCAACGGCCATTGCGATTCTCCCATTCCCAAACCACAACCGCATGTCCCAGAGCCATGGCGCGCGCCCAAAATTAGAATACCACAATTTTTTTGGACAACATTAGCATCTACCGAGTACCGACCATTATCCTATTCACTAATCCCTATTAGGTAAATACTGACAAAACAATAGCGGAAAAAAAATACTAATAAACAGAAATGTTACGTAGATAAAACTTGTTTAGTATTTACATTGGCTTGGCTGATAACGTGTATAAAACAGATAGGTATGTCGGTAACTTGTGTTATTAATTTTCAGAATACCGCTGATGGCGTGCTGCCGTATGGATTACAATTTACACGACCATTTTGCTATTATCACGGGTTGCTGACATACCTTTCTTTTTGTCACTTCTGAGTGCTGATAAGCCTATAACGTGTTCGCAGTGTAGAAACTTGCATAGTCTATGGGACGGACACGGTGACCATTCTAAAACAGTTATCACTGAACCACCATATTGTAAATGACGATTAGATTAAAATCCAAATTCTTGATTAGGGCGAACATATTGTTATACTATCAGTTCAGGGTTGGAGTTTGAATTTATCTTCTGGTCTTTTTAGACTTAGTCCGGTAGGCTAGTAGCGTTAAGACCGTCCAATAATAACGTAAGGGAATTTATTATTATAACCAATACATTAATATAGGACATTTTAAGTAAATACTCCTCGCCTGATTGCGTTTTGTTATTGGTGACTAACTTACAATAATCCTACACTTTTGTGTGCCCACCTAGTTCGAGAAATGTCGGACAGAAGCCCTGAGAGTTTTTCGGGTAGATGGGAAGATCAAGCTCAGATCAACTACCCGTTACATTATCTTATCTGGTTGCAGGAACATAAGCTATTAGAAGACAAACTCAATAGTATTAATTTCAACGATCCAGCCGGGCAAGTGAGTCACTGATTTTCATTAAATTCATTTTTATTTTGTCCGTTTTCAAACCTTAATAAAACTTTAATATCTTAATAAAAAAAAAACAATTTACAATATCTTAACATACTACTGGCAAAATCACTTGTTTGGTTGTAATAAATATTATAAAAGGATAGAATAATTTTCTTTAGAACATTTTGATTAATTGTAGTTATACTTGTTGGGTAATTATAACTTTGCCGACTCCTAGAATGTAACAATAATTATTAGGTAGTGGTTATAAAAAGAAAAAACCTGCCTCGAATATTGCCAAACATTTGGGGTTTGAGTTGCTAACTCGCATATTGTAACATATGCTTCATTCCACACTCACAAAAGTGTTCAATAGTAATAATTGATGTGTAATAAAATAAAATTACGTATAAGGTGTTGTGATTTTGGTGTATATATATATATATATATATATATAAATATACCTTCCAGTATATGTAGACAGAGAAATTACGCACTCTCCTACAATGAAGCTGAACGTAAACCATGTTAACAGGCTTGCATAAGCAGTTCTTTAACATTTGTTTGTCTACTGATTTTCATCATATTGTTTTTTGAGATTAAATTTATCACAGTCATAATAATACCTTCAGAAATGTGACCTGGCCCCACCATGATCCATGTTAGCTGACCTGACTTCTATTATTATTCAAATCCCTAGGAATTCTAATTTTGATAATTTTAATAATACAATACAGGCCAAGGCCCAGTAACATATGAAATGTGTACATTAGTTAATTACAGTAATAATGTATGTATGTTAATAGTATGTAATGCAATTACTATGGTTTAATTAAATTATTAAGTATACACAATTATGGCTTCATTATGGATCAATACCTTTAAATAACTTTTACTTTTTTTTCATGTTTTTTGTATGTAAAAAAAAAAGAATCATACAAAATTACTTTAAAAGCAGACAATATAATAAATAAGGCCTATAAAGTAAAAATTTTAACGTATTTGGATTTAGCAAAATCTGGTATAAAACATATAGGTACAATCTAATTTTTGATAAAATTGTACGTGCCTAATTGTTAAAATTGCCTCCCAAAGATACATGTAATATAATAGAAGATCATGAAAAAACGAATTCTTAATCAAAGTATTTAACTTGTTAATTTTGATCATGAATTCATTCTGTACCTTTACATTCAAATTATAGAATTTACAATTTTAATATAGCAGCTACTTAGTGAATAAAGTTTAGTTAAAATGTTTAATTTTATGTATCTAGCTATAAAAATATTAAAAATTTGTATTTCATGATATCTCATTGTTAGGATAAACTTGAAAAATTAGACCTCAGAGGACGTACTCCATTGATGTTAGCGATCACACTAGGAGACATTGACGCTACTAGATTGTTAATTAATAAAGGTGCTAATGTCAACACGAAAAATGATGAAGGATGGACAGGTAAGAACTTACTTTAAGAAAAGTAGTTTTTACTATAAATGTAAAAAATATTTGTTACAGCATTACAAGAAGCAATCGCAACAGGGAATCCGGAAATTGTCCAACTCGTTATGGAACATCGGGATTATCAGAGACATACGAGTAGAGCTACAGGAATTTCTAAAATATTGAAGCTTCTCGAAGAATCTCCAGACTTTTATGTTGAAATGAAGTGGGAGTTTATTAGTTGGGGTATAATCTTTATTTTACTTAATTAATTAATTTTGAAATAGGAAATAAAACAAATATATTATATCATTTTTAGTTCCACTGGTATCAAGAATATGTCCGAGTGATACGTATAAAATATTTAAGCAAGGTTCAAAAGTTCGAATCGATACAACTTTAATGGGAAACGACCAGAATAACTGGGCACGAGGAAATTTAAGTTATATTTTTATGGGTCAAAGTGAGTATTAGAGTGTTAAGTTTACTACTAATAAACAATACTTAGTGTGGTTGATTCTTATTTCTCAATTTGATAACACTGAAATTTTACTGTACCTACATAATTTTGTTTTTTTTTTAAATATTACGTTTACATTATAAGTAACTTATATGTTGTTAAAATTTGATTAAACTAAAATGCTATAACCAAATATGATAAAATAAATAAAGCTGTACCTATCAATAATAATTAATAATTATAATTATTTTATGTGGGTTAAAAATTAACACTAATAATGGTATTTTTAGCCACTACACTCTTCAAGTCAGAACGAACTTATATGTTTCAACTAAATAAAGGTTTATAATTGAACTTTTTTTATTATACACAAATCCAATTGGTTAAAAAATGTAGTTTTTACAAAAATAGTTTTTTTGATTTTATTTCCAAAGTAGATGCGTAGTGGTGTACACACATTATTTGATGTTTTATGTGTGTTTACCTAGAAAGCAAAACATCTGAGTTGAGTATGTCCTAAGAAAGATATTAATGTTTTAATTAAGCTCTTAGTTTTTGTATTTGAACAATTTGTTAGCTCTTTAGTTATTAAATTAATACACAAAGCATTACCTTCTCTAATGTTTGCGTATAAAGCCTCTATTACTTTAAAAGTACTTTATTTTCTAAACTGTAATACTTTGAGTACCCAAAACTGTTAAACGAATATTTATATTAATATTTAATTAATTACCTTCGTAATATTTATAGGTCCATCAGCAACATTCCTTGAAGTGGATCATGATTCACACAGGGTATTTGTAGAAGAGATTCAAATGATCCCGTTAGATCAGGGAATCGAAGTGATGCGACCGTCAGAAGATACTGTAGCTAGCCGATTGTCCACTCCCATTGTTAGTTTTGATGTAGATACGAAAAAAATAAGTTTTGAAAGGTATTTAACATCTAAAAAAAACTTAAGCAACACTTATTGTATTTATATAGTAAAGAAATAAAATAATAAAATATTTTATTTCTTTAATATATAAAGCCCGTCCCACTCAACTCGCATAATTAGCAAATAATCGTTAATTGCTATGCTTTACGAGTTGTGTAGGAGATAATAATTCGTAAAGTATAACGATTATTTTCACTCAGCGTTTCTCAATGATTGTCGGTAAATGTGACAAGTGTCAAAGGGATAACGAATATTAGTATAAACTATTCCTGGGATTTCCACATGAATCGGAGTTCATTGATTATGATCGTCTATTATCACCACACAAAAGATGATATTTTGACGAGCATCTGCGATTACAATGGTCGTCAAGTACACAAGTGGTGTGGGACCGGCTTAACATTTTTCATAAAATAAAAATGTTATTTATTTTGCTAAATATGTATCTCACGTTTAACGGTTTTTTTACTACAGAAATAAAAGCGGTATTTGGGGATGGCGTCAAGACAAAACAGAAGAGATTAATGGTTATAATTGTAAAGTTTTTAATGCGAGTAATGTGGAGTTTGTCACCAAGTCAAGAACAGAACATTTGACTGAAGCTGAAAAAACTACGCTGAACTGTCCTAAAAATCCTATCCAGTCGATTTTAGGTTCTAGTGAAGAAAAATTAGTAAGCATTATTATTATTTTTAATAGATGCATTGTAATGACTTAAAATATATTTTAGCCATATAAATCAGACCTTCAAGTCACTATGGCTGAATATTTTGATGAACTTATTGATATAAGAGGGAAATACATTCGAAAACCAATAGAGCAAACCACCAAAATTACAAAAATTAAGGTAATAGTCTTAAACATTAATAATATGTTATTAATTAAATTTAATTTATTATATGTTTTAGGCCAATCTATGGTTAAGTGAAGACTACCCACTTAGCTTAAAAGAACAGATTATGCCAATTGTCGACCTAATGGCCATTACAAGTTCCCGTTTTGCAAAATTAAAAGATTTTATTGAAATGCAGCTTCCATCAGGGTTTCCCGTTAAAATAGGTACTCACAACTAATCTTGGATAGTTGGCTTTTTAAATATTATTACATAAACATAATTTTTTTTACACTATTTACACGCCTTGCGATTACTCTCATTTGGATAACTTGACTGATTTGCCAACGTTTCAAAACACTTGCATGTTCCATCTTTAGAGCTCTGGTTCGATGTTGCTCGTATCGTGTTCTCCTGTAGGCTGAGCGCTTCTCTTCCGCAAAGAGAGACAGGAGAACGCGTTACAAGCAACATCGAACCAGAGCCCTGAAGATGGAACATGGTAGTGTTTCGAAACATTGGCAAACCAGTCAAGATATCCAATTAGGAGTAACCGCAAGGCGTGTAAATAGTGTAAATATAATACCCTATTCAAGTTTTAATAATTCATTATTTTTTTGTTACAGAAATACCTCTGTACCATATTTCAAATGCTCAAATTACATTTGGCAATGTGTATGCAACAGACAAAAGTGTTGAAGGTGTTCAGACATTAGAGGCGAATGGCAAAATGTTCTGTGTCGTTGAAGATTCTGTATTTATACCACCTAGAAATTACGTTGTTCTAGGTAAAATTAGAAATGGATAAGTTCATATTATCGTTATTGAAATTGTTTTACTAATTATTACTTTTATATATTGTTATGTACTTAAGGCGCCGAACAGAGACGCCAAAACAATATTGATAACGATGAAGAATTACTTCAGTTTGCAGTCAGACAAAGTTTATTGGAAACTGGTGCTGAAGAAGATCAGGTAAAACATGCTTGTTGCTTAAGGAAAAGAGATAATTTTTTTTCAAATAATATTTTGACTTGTAAGCAGGTAGACATATGGGAAGCTTTACAAGTCCAAAGGCCAAACACCCCTAATGACTTATATCTAGATCCAGCAGATGAAGAATTACAAAGGTAACTTTAAAAAAATTAATTTACAAAAAAATTGTCTTTATTGTTGTCTCTATATTTAAGCAGGTTACCATTTAAAAGGAGACCACTATAAAATTCTTATAGTTTAGATATTTCCCATAGTCCTTTGAGATTAAATTTAACCCGTTAAAAATAAATTACCTTACTGTGTCATTAACATGTGATTAGTAATCATTTAAATTAATCACTGACTTCTGTTGTTTAATAAGTATATAGTTCTTTAATACCTATGCTTAGCTTTTGAGTATATCTAGTAAATTTCCTTGTAGAGCAATCCACGCAAGTTTGACCGAATGCACATACGTGCCTTTGTCAGAGCAAACACTTGTGCCAGATGTAGTGAGCAATTCAACACCTGACAATTTAGACAACGATCTGGACGCCGTATTAAGGTTGTCAATGGAAGAAAACAGGCAAGCTGAATTGCAGCTTCGCCAGGAAGAAGAAATGCTAGCAAAAGTCTTGCAACTGTCTTTGACAGATAAATAATCGCTTAAATAAACCAATATAATATAATTTTATGTATGTATGTAACATTCTTTACATATTTTAGCATCCACTTTTTTTCTGTGTAAAAAACTACAGTTAAAATGAAATATTTCGAAACAACCAAATAGAAATCACTAAAACTGGGCAATTATTATTTTAAATTAAAATGTGACTAGTGTTGATTATGATCATTTTTGTTCTGCTAAATGTGAAAAATTCTTCTTATTTCATTGTGTGGATAACATGTGTTTTTTTTTTAGAATTACTCAAATATAAAAACAAATATTGTTACAAAGCCTTGCAAAAAAAAAAAAAAAAAACGATCGCACTTAATTTTACATCATACCAAATTTAATTCTTTATTAATCTTGCTTTGTGCGTTTTATTAATTATTAATTATTTATATTTAATTTTTTTTTTTCTAAATAATTAATTAATCTAACTGTAATACAAAGCAAACCACCGATTTAGTATTAATTTAACTAAAAATAATTTGTATGTGTTAAGGCTTGAGTTATGAAATGGAAAACTTGTATTGCATCACACAATCATTTCGCCTAAAACAATATTTGGGTTAATATATTCACCAAAAGTGTTTAAGAGTTCCTTTTTTATTTTTTGTTTTTTTTTCAATTATTATAGTTTTATTTGAATGAACAGTGTTATCTTAATTTATATACACTCTCATTAACTTCCATCTTGATCTATTTATAATGAAATAATTGACAATTTTGTCGACAATAACATATTTTTGTTAATTTATAAAATTAAATTAAAATTTTTTTTTTAGTTATTACGATTACAATTTTTTATTGAAATTGAATACTAATACATTTTAATATTAGACTTTTTAAATAAAAAATTATTGTTTTTAAACTCTTTAGAAAGATTTTTGATAATATTCCTACTAGGTACTTTCAATCTTGGTATAATATTTATAATATAATCAAATGTGATATTTAATGTAAACGCACCCAATTAATCCTCCTAAAACGATTATAAATATTAACCTTTTTTTTTTTTTGTTAATTTTTATGTATTTGTTTTAATAGTTATTTATTATGTATAACTAGTCAGAAATATTTCATTACCACATTTTGTGTTGTTAAAAAAATATATATATATAAATATATAATAACATAATTAAATGTATTCTATGTTAGTTGTGATTCATGTATTTTAATGTATATAATTTCCAGAAAAGTATTGGGGCTAATCCTTCAAACGTTCTTGTCCTAAAAATAACTCAAGATTTTATCCTCACATAAACCAACTGTAAAAAATTAATAATTATTATTTTTGTTTTTTACTTATTCATAAACTATAAATTGTAATAATTTTCTCTAAAATTATTACAATTTTGAATTTTTATAGTTTTTATTTTTAGATATACATTAGTTTATGTTGTTGTATAATATTAGAAAATATTCAAATTTTTCCAGAGCGCTATCAACTTTTACAACTTGTAATGGAACATATATTTTTAATTAACTTTTAAAATTAAGAATAACTTGCTGAATATTTTTACTGATTGATAACAGTTTGGGATAAATACTTTTAAAGTTATTAAAGTTTAGGACAGAGTGGAGTAAATAGTTATTTTTATTTGCGCGCATTACTTAACTGCATCCACCGTCTGTCCTAAATTTTAAACTTTAATGACTTTAAAAGTAATTATCTAAAACTGGTTATTGACAAGAATAATTTTTCAGAAAAACATTCTACTTTTAAAAAGATTTTTTAATATATATTAAATACGTTTCCACTTTCCATTTAAGTTTTTAAAAGTTGATAAACCTCTGGAAAATACTAAAAAATGTGAATATTTAGTATTTAATTGTATAATATCAAAAACAAAAACTATGAAATTGGAATTATTTTAGAAGAAAATGAGTGTCTTGTCCTTAATAAATGACTATGTAATACATACTTATTTACTTTATCATAAAGAGTAAAAGTTCTTATTTACTGTAATGTCTTCTAAAGATATTTCTGTACAGTCATTTTTCTATCAATATAATAATTAAAAAGGAATCGTTTTTGAAATGTTTTAGCTGGTTTTGAGCATTAATGCCCGTTACCACAAAGCAGTTTTTTGTGAAAGCCTTCAGCGATAATAAGTAGGTGGTTACCGGTCGTTTTTTGACTCTCGAGTTATGTCTTAAAACTTAATTGTGACAAAAAAAAACCAAACCTAGGTATACCAAGTATTGAAAATAAAACGTCATAAATAAGTTGTAGGCCTAGTGTAGTAAAAAGATACTACCTACATCTTTTTCAAAAAGACTTTTTTTTAGTAATCGAGTATGATCTAGCGTTTTATTGCTTTAAGTAACTTTCTCTAATATATTTCTTAGGTATATTTTGTTATTATCGTACTTTTTTTAGGAACAAAAGATACTAAAATTGTTTAATCGTGAAAAATAAAATTGCAATGAATCAATAAAATAAAAAAAGACCCACTAGCGTGACATTTAATAGAACCAACTTTTGACAGGCTATGACTACAGTTGTTTTATACTTTATTTGGTCCTAAGAAATCCGTTGTTAAAAATATTCCAAAGAATACTATTCAAAATTATTATCTTTTAAAGGAACCCCGTACCATATTATGATTTGTTGTAATTCTCGGGAAAACAATAAAAGAATTTATAGAGGTGTTATATAAATTTAAAATGCACACCGGTGCGTTGGCCATTCAATAATAAATATTTCTTTCATTAAAAAACTGTTGTTAAAAAGTCTAACTTAAATTAGGTCTTACAGTCATTACGAAGACATACGTATACGGCGCATCTAACCTAACTTATAATATATATTACGTAATTTACAAGTGAAGCTAACATTATTGTAACCATAATAAAAGTGTATCTATTACGAAAATATGTACAACGACGCCCTACTAAAAAACTCGAAACACTCGATGTTTGTCTTTTCGAAATCGCTGGCAAGACTGGGAAGGATCGCTTTGATCTATCCGGTACGGTTTGTCGGCTCAACGGGGGACGTTGAGTTCTGTCCGAAAGTTTACGCGTTCAGCGTGCTCGCGGTAATCTTGATGACGGTTTGCGGTTGGGTTTCGCTGTTTTACGAAGTGAGATTATTTTGGGAAGGCCAGTCGAGTCGTTTCAACAGTACTTCGGTAGTGACAATTGCGCTAGTTCATTTCGTAATGGTAACATCGTCGAGTTTGATAGCCGTCATTGGCTCGACATCGCGGTACAAAACGTTGCTGGACGTCGAGCGAGTGCTGATTCGCATTGACAAGGCGCTCGACGGCCCCACAACCACTGCCGACAAAAGCGTCGAGAGGTTCGCTGTCTATCTGATGGTGCACCTCACACTGTTGTTCTCGTTGGACTTCTACATGTGGATGGGCATCGACTCCAGCAACAAAAGTTACACTTTGGCCTACGCATTCCACTTTATCAATTTTATGTCGCTGGCCATGTACGCGCAGATCGCTTGGAGCATCGGCCTAAGGTTCGACTCCATTAACCGTGAAATGGGAGCTAAGCTAAAGAGGTTGACGGCGAGAAACTGTACGGAGTTCGATAGCCGAAAATACCATAACGTGTCAGACTTAATCCAATGCTCTAAATGCGTTCATTACGGTGAGGCGCTGTGGTTAAGTTATAAAAATTATAAATTATTTGGTTCCATTTTAGTTACTAGATTTACAATATGATATATATAATTTTGCACCTTGAGATCTAAAACGGCCAATTTTACTATTTTGTAACTTTTACTAAATTACCATTGATTTCATATTTTTCATAAAGCTCTGTGTCAGTATTTCGTACATCTTCCATTTTTTTGTTTACATTATAGAACTACCGTCCAAGTTGTTAACGGGCAACGTGACCACACCAAAATGTCTATGTCTAAATGCACCGAAACGTTTTATATCTTTCCTTACACGTGTGATTATTTATAACATCTATTCGAACTATTAAAAATACAAATTTTAAAAGCGTAATCTATAAAATACATTTCATTATTTTAAAATGATTAATTTTTAAATTTTAGATATAAAATATATTCCTTTTGAAAAATTTCAAGAATATTACTGGCATTTGTCCCGTAGTATAAAATTAATCGACGAACAGTATGGATGGCAACTCTTGTTGGGTTTGGTGCAGAATGTCATAAGTCTTATCGTCACGCCAAATATTTTTATAGTGCAAATAATTAATCCGGCAAAATGGGGGCCAGCAAACGTAAAAGTCATGGTAATTTCCATGGCCTGGATATTAACTCACCTGTTGTACTTATTTCTGATGGTGATACCCCCGTCTTACGCCGCTACTAAAGTAAATATAATGTTGACAATCACTGAAATAGAGGTAGGTGTAGCAATATCGTTTTGATTTGTTACAGGCCGAACAGACAGCTGTAACTATTTGTCAACATTTAAACATATATCTGGTGCCGAACGATATGAATGTGGTAATTATAGAAGTTGTTTATAGTTTTACTGATTTGTGATGGGTCTGAAATCCGGATTACTAATCCAGTCAGCCGTTAGGTTAGGTCAATCCGATTATTCAAATTGACAATAATAGCTGATTATCCAACGATTTAATTGTTTTTTTCAAATCTTGACGACGCGTCAAAATTAGATTTTGTAAACTTGGTTTTGGCACACAAAATTTTTGTTTAAAAAAAATAAACGTTTAAATTTTTTTTTTGTTGCAATTTTAACATTTATGACGACTATAAATTAGACTAAAGCTATATGAATATAACGTGTTACGTGTGTTATAATATGATACATGCATAACATTTTAACAAATCGGTGCAGTATATTTCTCAGTACCCATTATACCCTGTATAACACTTTAAATAATGAAAACCAATTGATTTTATTTTAATTAATTGATAGATTATAGGTTTTTAGTACTTAGAACATATACTTTTTCAATTCCATATGTTTTAGTTGGAAATATTCATCTTACAATTGCAAAAATTTAAAATACATTTTACTATTTGTGGAATTGTAAATTTGCAAACATCTGTAATAACGACGGTAATATTTTCACGGATTTTTAGTGTGTTTTTTTTATAACCTTTAAATGATTATTGATTTTTAGGTGATTGGAACTACCATTACATATTTGGTGATTTTTATCCAATTACAAAAGTGACTCCTAATTAATCCATTAAGGCATATTTGTTTTTTTTTTAAAACATAGGTCGTTACGTGTAGTTTATTTGTCCTAAAGAATACATTGTTAAATCATTTTAT